ATATAAAAGATAAAAAGGAAAGGAAAAATATTAGGAAAATACCTTTTTATAAAAAATTTCAACCTCTATTACTTACTTTAAAACCTATTAAATTATAAAAACTAAAGAGCTAAAGAACTTTTAAAGTTTATAATATAATAGGACCTTATATTAATTATACCTTAAAGGAAAATAATAAAATTAAAAAAAGGTTAAAAGGACTTAACGATAAATTTAATATAGATAAACAATAACCTAATAATAATATATAAAGGAAACCTAAAATAGCTAAAATTAAACTATATAATAATAAAAGTTATAATAACCCTAAAAATAATCCTATAAAGCTACTACTATTAAATAAAAGGGTAAAACTAGTTAAAATTAAATAAAAAAAGAGCTATAATAAAGGCCCTAATAAATATTACTAAAACAAAAATCCTATAAATTAATAATAAGCTTAACAAAGCTTTTAATATACTTATTTTATAATTTATAAAAATAGCAAACAAATTTATACCTAAAAAAACCTTAAGGATAAAATAAAAGGCTTTTATATAATAATTATTAAAAGTAATAATAATAGAAAAAAAAGTTAAAAGAGCTTACCGCTATTTCTAAAGTAAAAGAACTATAATAGCTTAAATTACCTTTAAAAAAAAGGAATAACTATTTAATAAAAAAGTAACGAAAATATAGAAATATAATTAAAGGAAAGCTTTAATAAAAGCATTTAAAGATTTAAAAATACTTTAAAGCTTAATTAAATAAATAAGGTTAACCTATAAACTAATACCTAAAATTATAATTATACTACTATTATTTAAAACTAAAGGCAACCCTAATATAATAAATATATTTAAAGGAAAAATAACCCTATTAATAAAACGTTTTTTCCTAATACTACCAGTAAACCTATTTAATATTTTAAATAAAAACCTTACCTATAATAAATATTAATAGTTTAAAATAAATAACGCATCTCCCACTTGACCTGGCCACCCAATTGAGCTGGCCATCCCCCTTAACCTATATAAAAGTCCAATGTTTCAATTTGGAATAACTTAACCAATATTAGTCCTACAATTTGATAATTAATACCATTAGATTAGTTATTTAATAAGGAATCTAGCGGTATTTTTTACTGTTTTTTATAAAATTTATTAGGCGAGATATTAAGCAATACGCTAAAAGGCCGCTAGGCAAGGATTATTTTAGCGCTTACTTTAGCGTATTGCTTAATAACTCCACGAATATAAATCTTATAAATTAATGGAGAGTACCGTTGGATAGCCCTTCTTATTACAAATCTAATGGTATATTGTATTATTTTATACGACCAGTATTCGTCAAGTTATTCAATTATCACGTGATTAGCGCACCGACGTTTTTTGTATGGGCTGGTGGGGTGGCCAGGTCAATTGGGTGGCCAGGTCAAGTGGGAGATGCGTTACCGCAATAGAAAAAAAGGACATTATAAAAATAATCTAAAGGCTAGCCCTATAAAAAGTATTAAAGGGGAACCTATTACTTAATAACTTTTTAAAAGCATATAAACCAACTTTAATTAAATAATTAGCTACCCTATATTCCATTAACTTCACTTTAAGGTATTACCTAATTAAATTTTAATAAATAAAGGTAATAATAATCCTAAAGCTAAAAAAGCTAAAAAGAACTAAAGGAACCCTAAAAGGTTAACGCTTAATCGTACTTATTAACATATTAAGAAAGGTCTTAAAAAAAAAGCTAAATTATAAAATAATAAATATAATTAAAAAGAAAGAACTATTATTAAATAGCTAAATAAAAAATAAAAAAGGTAAGTTAATAAATATAACAATTAAATTAATATTAAGGGCAATTAAAACAGCCTTTAACTATAAAGGCATTATATCTTTCCTTTAATTAAACATTATTAAAGCCTTTAATATAATTAATAAAAAAAGGATAATTTATATTCTTTAATAAAAAGGCTACCTACTATAAATAATATTATAGGTCTATTTATTTATTTTTAAAAGATTAATATAACTTTATTTTAACAGTATTACTTCCTAATTAATCCTCCTTAAAGTAAAGGTCCTTTAAAGCTCCCCCCTTTTACCTTTATTATTTTTCCTATATATATTAATATTATATAACAACCTTATAATATATTAAAAAATAATTATAATAAGGTTTATAAATAATATAAACCTTTTTATAATTAACCTTTAAATAAAATAAAATTATAAAGTTTTAAAAGTAATATAATAAATATATAAAACTTAAGCATTAAAGTATAAAATAAAATTTACCCTTTAAAAAGTATACTTATATACTTTTTTAAAAGTTAAAAGATATTTAAATAAAAAGTTAAACTTAAATAAATAATAATACAGCTAATAAATAATATAAAGTTCTTAAAGGTATAATTAAATAGGAACTTTAAATAAAAACAATATTTAGTTAAATTTAAAAAGAAGCTAAATATTTAGGTATATATAATAACCAAGCTATAAAACTTAATATAAAATACTTTAATATATAAAACAATTATATAATATAAATAACTTAAGGGAAATAAATTAAAGGGTATAATTAACTCCTTTAAAAATATTTAAAATGCTTATATTAAATATATTATAAGGGCCTTTAAAGCTATACTAATATATTAATTTAAAATAAAACTAAATATACCCCCCGTTAACCTATATTTAAATAATAAAATAATAACGAATAAAAGTTAATTAAAAAACTTAATATACTATAAAGTATTAATAAAAGCTATAATAAAGGTCGATTAACTTATATAAGCATTTTAAAAATAGCGGGTTAAAAGGTAAACCAGGGGGAGATTTATAAGTAGTATAAGGAACTAATTATAAAGTAACCTAACTATAAACCTATATTATTAATAAAACAAATAAGCAAAGGGGAAAAAGCTAAATAATACCTTAACTAAAAAGTAAAAAAAAAGATAAAGCTATATTAAAATAGAATATAGCTACCTTATAATAGTAAAGTAAAAGCTTAACGGAAAAAGGGCATTATAAAAGTTTTATAAATTCCTAAAGTATAAAGCAGCTTTAACAATATAAATATAAACCGGAAAAATAGGATTTAAAGCCTTCCTATATAAAAGGAAAGTTCTAAAGTTTTTAACCCCCCTTTATAAATATATAAAGGGTAAAAAAACTCTATAATATATAATCCTATAATATAAGCTATTAAAAAACAAAAGGAAAACCTTAATTAAGGAACTAGCCGGAATATAGCTACAAACTAATAGGAACCTACAAATAATAATAGAAAACTTAATAAAAATAAAAGCGATTATAAAATAGCTATTAAACATTAGAAAAATAATTATATATAATAAAGCTAAAGGGATTAAGGGGAATAGAAAAAGAGGAATACGAAGAAAAAAGAACTTAAATAGAAAAGTTAAAAGGGCCCCCCTAAAGGTCCCTAAGGAAAGGGAAAAGGCCTTCCTTTCCTTTTTAAATAACTAAAGAATGTAAAAAAAGCAAAAGAATCCAGGCTTTCTTACCTTCCCTTTTTCTACCATATAGTTAAACGATATATATTAGCTTATATAGGGTTAAGAAATAATAAGGCAATAGCTAAAGGTTATATAGGGTTTTTATTTAATTATTATACAGTTTTACTTATAACTATATAGGTAGAAGGACCGCACCATATAAGCGGTATAGCAGGTATATAATAATAATAATACTTTATTATTATAATATATTTTAATAAATAATTTTAAACTTATTTAACTATAATATTATTATTATATAAACATATTATATTTTAACTTAAATTTTATTTAATTAGCTAAATTATATTAATGCTCTTTTAATTTAATTTTAAAGGGTTTTATTTATTTTACTTTATTTTAAGTATTATTATATTTAAAGTACTTTAGTTAATAATATAATATAGCTATTTCCTAGCTATATATAATTATTAAGTTATTTTAATAGCTATTATAACAATTATAAATATTAAAACTATAAAGTTTATTACTTTGTTTAAAATAAGCTTAATAATAATAATAATTATATACCCTTTTTTATATTTTGTTAGTTGGTAAAAAAAAAGCTAAAGATGCTAAATTATTAGTCCGGTTATTTAGTTAACAATTTAACCGTTAACCCTATTATTCTTACTTAAATATATATTATTTCTTTTTATACGATTAATTTTCTTCTTTATATAGGTTAAAGTAAGGTTAAATATATATAATTTCTATTATTAATAAAACTTAAATAAATAAAGGTATTAAAATAACTACCGGGTACCTTTATATAATATTTTAGGTAAGTAACCAATTATATAAAAGTATTTTAATAAAACTAAAACCTAATAATTAAATAGGTATATAATTTAATTAAATTAGATATCCTTTTATATAATAATAACTTATATAAATATAATCCCAAATTTTATATGCTAAATGTTAAGTGCTAAGTGCTAAGTCCTTTAGGCTATCTCCGATGATTTGTCCTATGTGGTCCCACTGGACCTTCATGTTCTGCCCTACCCCGGGCATCCACATTTCGCCTTGTATGTACCTCCCCACACCTTTTTATGGCCAATGCAGAAACATAAAAGTCCTAATTGCACCCTTGGGACGTGGCTGTGTCTGAGTCTAATCTCGAAAAAAAGAACGCCATCTAGTTATCCTGATGGTTTGCCTGGATAGGGCACCCAACCTTCATTAAGTGATGCGTTGCTGATGGAGGGCAGCTGTTTCCCCATCTTACCGCATTTTACATTTTACAGAAAGATGGCTGTCGGCTGGTGCATGTGCCACTGCGCGCATTCATCCATTTATTCCGTTGGGTCCCCATCATCCTCCTCGAACCATCCTTCCGTCTTTTCTAACCCCTCCAACAAATATAATGATCCTACCTAGTGAATAAATCATTTCTTCGCAATTACTTGGTGTTCTATATTCGCCTTTCAAATTGACATCCCTCTTATTCGCGCCCGTCGTGACCATTTACCTCACGATTTCTAATACACCTATGGAACCTGCAGGCTTGGCAGTAGGCGTCACAGGACTCATCGGAATCTTCAGTACCTGTCTGGATATCGTTGAAAGGTGGGACTCCTATAAAGACTTTGGAGTCGAATCCGGTTCTCTCATAGCTCGCTTTAGAGCCGACAGGGTTCGATTTCAGCAATGGGGTCAGCGCGTAGGTATTGATAAAGGCAAACATGGAGACGGCTATCACAAAGCCCTCGACGACCCTTTAATTCGACCGGTAGTTGATCAGATCTTACAAAGTATCAAGCATTTCGATGATGATACAGGCGATTTCACCTCTTGCTTGCGACCAATCTCCGGTTTAATTGATCCGCTAGCCCATAGCAAGAGCGTTCTTCCCAGAGAGCGTCCACAATTCGAGAAGTATCAGGACGCAACGTCACGAAAGAGTAGACTTGGATGGGCTCTGAGATGGAAGACGCGGTCTCTTGCATTTGTCGAATCGTTTGACGCTCTAGTCCAGAAGCTATATGATCTCGTTCCTCCAGATCAGCCCACTATTCCAGGCCAGATGATCTCAGAACCAAGACATAGCAATCTTGCCTCTCTCAATGGTATGTCCCACAGCTACTTATACGTCATCTCTACTCACCAGATATAGTTACAAAAACAGGAGAAACTTCATGGCATCTTGACATTCAAAGGATCTTGGCCGATGTAGAAAAACAGTTAGACAGTAAGACCCCTCTTCTCCTACATTGGATTATACTCAATACGTCAAGATGAGACCCGCAAAGAGCTGAACGATTGGCTCGATACGCATGATACAAAACAGATGTACGACGATTTTGTCCGTAGGATACTAGATGGTACCTGCGACTGGATACTTAATCGGCCTGAGTTCTTGAAATGGCAGTCGTTCCCATCGGAAAACGCAAAGCTCTTATGGGTTAACGGGCCTCCTGGATACGGAAAAACGATTCTTTGTGCAAGAATCGTTCAACACCTATTGGCGACTTCTAACAGTCCCTTGGCATATTTCTTTTTCTCCTCAGAGTTAGAAAGCCGGGCGGATCCTTTTGTTGTTATGAAGTCCTGGATCTCTCAGATTACGATACAAAATCGAGATGCATTTGATCTCGCCCGAGAAAAACGGGAGGCGACCGACGGACGTATAGCATCGCAAACCGATATTGAAGAGCTTTTCAAATCAATCGTTCAGAATATACCGAGATGCATTTTCATCGTAGACGGCCTTGACGAGTGTACTGTACGAGAGAACGACGGCAAGACAGGTCGTAGGGATTCTTTATTAAAGTTTCTCAAGTCTCTTAAGTATATCATCTCAAACTCAAAATCACGGCTTCTAGTTGTTAGTCGCAATGACCAGGAGATTCGAGAAGGTTTAAACGGTAACAAGACTAATATGGAGTGTGAACTGGTTGAGTTACCAATACTTCCACGGGATGTCGAATCCGATGCTACCCTGTTTTCACAAAGCATTATCGAAGAGAAGCTCGCCAACAAAAGTGAAGCACAACGGCAAGAACTTGCACATAGAATGGTCGACCGGTGCGACTCAATGTTTTTAGGAATTAAATTGCTAGAACCCGACCTAAAGGGTGGCAAAAATCTAAAACAACTTCAGCGACTCATTGACGAAGCACCTAATAAGCTCGATCGCATTTATGATCGCAATTGGGAAAGAATTAGGAACCTTGAAAATATTAGTAGACAGCGAGCATTCTCGATTTTGAGGTGGGCAACATTTGCCTTACGTCCGATTACTATTTGTGAGATCACTGAGGCCCTGCTTCTGGCGGGCGACGAATGCGGCACGCTGGACTACACAGAACTGCCCGACTCCATCGACGAGGTCTATATCAAGACTGAAATATCAGAACTTTGTGGGTCTCTTATTGAGGTTCGAAGGGCTGAATCAGCTTCAAGCTTGGGTTATTCAACTATACATCTGAGTCATTTCTCAGTGAGGCAATACATTCTGTGTCATATGCCGGCTCGTCCCGGAGAGTTGATCGGAAATGAGCAGTTACGATCTTCGAATGAGGCAATCCAAAGTAATATTCTTGCAAAAATATGCATCCGCTACTTGGATTGCAAGGACGTCTGGGAAGAAATACAGCAACAAGAGGGGAATAATTCCATAATCCAAGCGTTCCGAGAGTATGCAGCAAACTTGTGGCACAAGCACGTGAAGCATGGAATTGTTAATTCCGAAGATGTTGTCCAGCTAATCAATACGTTTTTCCACCCAGAAAATGAGAACTGGGAGTCATGGAGAAAATATAGCGAGAATGGATTCCAAAACAAGATGATACAGTATGAAGGGGAACTTTTGTCAGGGAATCCACTGTTTTATGCGTCACTTCTCGGCTTCTCAAAAACACTAACTCATCTCATAGAGGAGGTCGGATTGGACGTAAACTGTGTTGACTCATCAAACCGAACAGCATTGCTCGGTGCTTCCTCAAAGGGCTGGGTGTCAGGTGTAATACAGCTTCTGCAAAGAGGGGCTAGTGTGAATATTGCAAGCAATAAGGGAAGAACTCCCATATATGCTGGTGCAAGTCAAGGACACGGTGAAGTCGTCAAGCTTCTCCTCGAAAAAGGGGCCGATATGGCCATAGCAAACAAGGATGGGTGGACACCACTAAACTCAGCTTCAAGCAATGGCCACATCGATATTGTTAAGCTTCTCCTCGAAAAGGGGGCCGATATAGCCATGGCAAACAAGGACGGATGGACACCACTAAATTCAGCTTCGGGAAATGGCCATACTAATATTGTTAAACTTCTCCTCGAAAAAGGGGCCGATATAGCCATGGCAAATAAGGATGGATGGACACCATTAAACTCAGCTTCGGGCCGTGGCCATACCGATGTTGTCAAACTTCTCCTCGAAAAAGGGGCTGATATGACTATCGCAAATAAGGATGGATGGACACCACTAAACTCGGCTTCGGGCCGTGGCCACACCGATATTGTTAAGCTTCTTTTCGAAAAAGGGGCTGATATGACTGTGGCAAATAAGGATGGATGGACACCATTAAACTCAGCTTCGGGCCACGGCCATACCAATGTTGTCAAGCTTCTTCTTGAAAAAGGGGCTGATATGGCTATAGGAAATAAGGATGGATGGACACCATTAAATTCGGCTGTAGCCTGTGGCCATATCGAGGTCATTGAGCTTCTTCTTAATAAGGGAGCCAATTTAACAGTAGTAAATAATGCCGGCTTGACGCCATTAAACTTAGCATCAAACAATGGCCACATTGATGTCCTGAACCTTCTTGAGAAGGGGGCCGACGTTCTTGCTCTCCCTTCTCAAGGATTTCCTTCCCATAACATCATCGACAACATGTCGTCTTGGGACCGCTCCACCAGCTCCGGCTCCGGCTCCGGCTCTTATCTCTCATCCGGTTACTCAACGGTTGTCCGCCAGGATATAATCCGGACATATAAGTCAAGTACGTGATGCATGAGTAATCACCGCTGCACAAAATATGATATGGCGAGAGGCTAATGCCGTATATTCATAGGGAACCGTCAAAGCGAACGGATCGAGCGAACAACTTCAAATGGCCGTTTGATCACTTACAACCACCATGCTAGGGGTTATGAGAAGGATGCCCCATGCCCCAGCTAGTAAGTAGCCTATGAGAGAATAACATTTGTTAACTATCCTTGCACCCCAGGCCATGCTGATCTCGAACTTAGTCGTTCTTCATCATCGTACAAGAAGACTCAGTAGAAGTCGGATGGATCTTGGGGGAGCTATAGAGCCTGCCTCCTTTTCTTCCCGTGCGATCGTTTTAACTTGACGGTGGCTAGTTTTCTCTGGGAAACGAATTTAATCGAGAAGGGGGCCGATGTTATAACAAGGGCAGGATTACTGGGCTTGGAATCTAGGCAATTCAGATTACAATGATCAACTAGGGCTGCATAAGTCCTTGACCAACGAACTCCTCTCGGCTGTTGGTGGCTTGACTTGGCTCTATATACAACTGGTCTGCCAGCCCAGACCGCCTAGGTCTCTGGGGTCTGTTTCAAGAAGCGACGTCTGTAATATAAAGTAATAGGTTAATAGTTGTATTATAGCCTTTATTTATTGCCCATATAAGTGGTATTTAACTAGCATTATTTACTATTATTAAATTAGCTCCTTTATTCAAAATACAATCCAATTCTTTAATGAGCTGTGTTATTATATGTGACAACCTGCGCACCTATTCCTAGACCCGAGGCGGCGAACTGATCCCATGGCTCACTGATTTTCGGACTATCAATGAAAGCTCCGCTTATATGGGCAAGCGTTGACGTGATAAGCTCGGTGATGTATAGGTTCCCCCTATGAAACATGATACGATGATTCCAGTTCCTTTGGGTAGGCATCATGATGGTATTCTGTATCGCAATTCTTGGGCCAGACGTACCACCAATCGAGATATCGTCGATTTTGACGGTATACACAGCATCGGGGCAAGTTTTGCAGGTAATTGACGACCCCAGTAACCAAAATCGGGTTGGATTTTCGTCAAATGCCAGATGGATCAGAGGCGCAGTTGCTCCAATAGCAGAAGTCATGGTAAACCAATCGATAGACGCATCTTTATTGATGCGTCCAAATGTGCCTGTACCGCCAGTAGCGTTACCCAAGAGAACGAACCAGACATTACCGTCCGGCCCAGCAACCGTACCAACAGGAACACTCCCTTTCTCTGCAGGAATTTCGATCTCCTCGCCATTTCCTCCGTCGTTCTTGTAGTGCCAGATCTTGCTATCCAAATCCAATCCAGAGTAGATATCGCCACTAGTAGGGTGCGCGGCAACGAAGATTGGACGTCGGCTCACAGCCCAGATCTGGTGATCACTTGGGTTGGTGGCATTGATTCTAACAATGTGTGAACTGTCTTTGCACGCAACCCATAGATTCCCACTATGCTCCAATATGCCGTGAGGCCCGAACGCAGGAGCAGGTATGGGAATAGTCTTGATGACTTGGGGTGCTGCGTTGATATCGTCGCCTTTCGGGTCGATGTGGAGTATAGCATTATCAAACTGGACAGTTGCCCAGACACTGGATGTAGAAGAATTTCTCTTTGAAATTGAAGAGGGTGTCAATCCGTGCAGACCAGACCACTGATTTGTTATTATCCATTTGCGAGCACCAGTCGGCCTTCCGTTGTTGTCGAGCGCTACTTTGAGTAAACCTCCATCTGATTGCTGAGAGATGAGTAGAAGATGATCGCTGACGGGGAGAATTTCGTGTGTTTGGGCAGCAGCTGGGAGTGCATACTCGATGACGCTTTTAGCAGGTAAAGAGGCCGTCGTGGCAGCGACAACATAGGACAACGAAAATTGTAATTGCAATACGTTGAAGAGATTGAGAAGCCGCATCCTGGTTCTTGTGCTGTTGCACAGAAACACAACTAGTCAGGCCAAGAGTTCCTTAAGTTGACAACACCTGAAGATGACATTCCGGAGGCTCGATTCAGAGGGTGTCAGCTAAGTTATAATTCAAAGCCAATGACGTGGTTTGGTAACGACAGAATCAAATGAAAAGGGGAGAGGCGCATATAGCATCCACTCAGTCCTACACAGATGTCTAGCGCACCTTTAGCTTGGTACGCTAGATGCATTTCTGGCATAAAGGGCAGCCAGAAGAAATCAACCTGTGGTGTTTTCAGCTGCTTGGGATGGAGATCGTCGGCTTTTAAACCTTTTCTGGATGTGGAGGATCGGTTATTGGGTCGAGCTTTTTACGCATGAAAACCACGCTATCGCGAGATCACGCGTTGTTTATGACCTTCGTGAAGTTTAAAAGGTATATATGGCTAGCAAAGTAAACGCCAAGGTGTAAGATGACTGCCATTAGGAATCTCTATTCTTCTATTCAAAGACTAGGAATAGATCACTTTCTTGACGGTTTCTTTCTCAATACAGACAGCGAAAATGGCTTACCAAGGATGGACAGATCCTTAGGGCATCGGCTTTTCAGGCGACCAATTAGCGTGATGATCTAAAAATTCATAGTTACGTACTCTAGTGCCGTTTTCCGCCTAGTGGAGCGAGACAGCGGCGGCTGCGCCAGGAGATGAAGCACGGTACTGCTTGCTACGCTAATACAACATCAACCAAAGTCTTGGATCTCCTACTGGTAGATTGCAATTGCCGACAACCCCGAATGAGATGTGCATTTCGTCTTATTATGTATACTGTCACGATATCGTTGGATTAGTATTATTGCATTGGTTACTGATAGCGAGGATTTTGAATACTATAGCAACTGGGTTGACCCTGTGGATATGGTACTACCCCGCTTTGTGATATGTTGCGTTATATAGATAATTGGGACACACAGCTGTTGCTAATCTGAAGTCACTACCTAACGTAGAAAGGAGCCGGTTAGTCGACATAATTGAGAACTTGAATAATCGGCTTAAAGATCTTTTAAGATGAATATGCTGAATACAATTGTTACGCCAAGCAGTTGTCCCCTTAAAGTATGTTCAAAGATTAATGGTTTTAAGGTTATGTAGCACATTGTAACTTAACCTTAAAGCCTTTGAGGTGAAATAAAGTTGTCAACACCTGTCACTTATCAGGGGAGGCACAAAACGATCCGGAATTGGTCAAAACCTGAGCGTTACGGTCGCACCGCTTAAACCTATACAGATGACAAGTATAGGTAGGATGCGTTCAATACTGATAGCGCCGATAAGATAACGAGAGATTAGTTTAGCAGCAAGACCGAAATTCTTCCCCGGCACGCTGGCTATACCTAATGATCAACCTCAAATACAAGATAAGAGAGGGCTAATCTCCTTGGACACTCAGAAGATTAATATAGGCGGTTGAGTTAGAAAAGAAGCTGATGTGGTTGCGGCATTGCGCCGAGACTCAGTCTATGCTTAGATAAGCTTACATACTCTCTATAAAGGCTTCAATCATGGGTAGTAGCCTGCCATCAGTCCCCTAGGTATTCCTCTCCCTCACGTCTCTTTTCACATTCGGTTGTGAGTGACTCAGTAGCCATGAGATATTCTGCGTCAGCACTCCTCGCCATCTTGTTGCCTCTATCCGGAGCCCATAGAAAGGAACGAATATGCCCCTTGAAAGGCCCACAGTTCCCCGCGCCAACGGGCCTGGGCTCCGAGGCCCTATTCCGGAACGCGACGGGTATGATTGAACGGTCTATTCGGGCAAGTCTTGGGAAAATGCCATACAATAAGACGACATTCTCCGTTGGTATGTTCAGCACGACGGACGACGAGCTACTCTATGAATTTCACCACACTGATCCAGCCGTCGCGACTAGTGGGATTGGAGCGAATGAGGTCGACGCAGACTCAATATACCGGATCGCTAGTATCACCAAGATCTTGACTGTCTATCAGTGGCTAATCGCGGACGGAGACCGGAAGTTCAACAGCCCTATATCTGACTTTATCCCGCAGCTTCTCGAGTACCAAGAGCACCATGATCATTACCCAGGGGCTCGCTGGGATGAAATCACGGTCAACGATCTGGCTATGTACCTCGCTGGGATCGCGAGAGACTGTGAGACACCCCTGTCGCATGTAGGCACGCAACAGATCTGCTAAGTTTACTTCAGATGGCCTGAATGATGTGGCTGTTTCGGGTTACATCACCTCGTTTCTCCCTGTTATGGCAGCTACCGTATTGCCAAACAACCCAGCAAATGGTATTGGTGTTCCTGAGAGCGAGGATCCAGCATGCGGATACTTCACAGCCAACGTCGAATACCTGCCATGTTCACGCGATGGTAATTCAGCTCCCTTGCGCATGACGGGACCATCTCACACTAACAGTCCGTAGTGTACATTAAAGAGGTTGCCAACTTAGGATTGAGCTTCGTGTCAAGCTATACACCCTCCTACAGTAATGCTAACTTTGCTATACTGGGCCTTGCGCTGGAGAACATGCTCGGGGCTTCACTTGAAGACATATTTGATGAACATATAGCAAAGCCTCTCGATCTTCGCTCCACAACTATGGGGAACCCTCTGCAAATTACAAATAACTCTGTTATTCCCGGCGGTGGCCTGGTGAGGAGTGGCTGGTGGGATGCTCTCGGTCCTCTGAACGGCGGCGCCGGGGGTTTCTCAACCACGAACGACCTAGCAGCTATCGGTAAATCCATTTTGAACAGCACATTGATGACACAAGCGACGACACGCCGCTGGTTTTCAACGACGTCCTTCGTGGATACCATCGAACAAGCAGTCGGTCGGGGCTGGGAGATCTTTCGCGTGCGCGCCAACGGGCACAGCGTAGACCTCTTCACAAAGAGCGGTAACTGGGGCGTTTACAATTCCGTCTTCTTCTTGTTGCCCGCGTACAACTTCGGCTTCAGCATCCTCTCGGCATCGAGCACGGCGAGAGATGCGGTCGTCGACGCCCTGTCTAACGACATCGTCAACACGCTCCTCCCAGCGCTCGAGGCCATCACTAAACGACAGGCGAGTGAAAACTTTGCGGGCCGGTACACGTCCCCTAACATGGGAACAAACACGTCAATCACCGTGACGACGGATGGCTCGCTAGGCCTCCGGGTCACCGAGTACATCGCCAGTGGCGTGGACCTTCTAGGGAGTGTATTCGCCCTGTTCGGGTCGGACGTCGAGTTCCGGCTCATTCCAAATCAGCTCTACGACGGCCGCACTCGAGTGGGATTTTCCGCCGTCTATCAACCGCCGTCGGAGATCCCGCCGAAAGACGAATTCTACTGGCCCTGCCAGAGCTGGCTTGATATTGACGATTACACGTATGCTAATGTGCCGCTTGGGTTGATTGCGTTTGACCTCGATGCTGATGGAAACGCCACCTTCGTGCGATTGGTAGCGCTGCGGGAGACTTTGCTTAGGAGATAGCACTGCGCAGTATATAGGTGGTATCCGACTAGAATCACGTTATGTGGCGTGAAAGGTTAGTCAATAGTCTTTGTGTAATTCATAGGGACAGGGCATAGTTTCATAAGGTGCGCATGTAGCCTTCTTAGCTGGCTTTTCGCGAATATCCTGCGTTTAATTTCCTAATCGCGAGTCTCCATAGTGAGTGACGCTATTCAAATGCCTATCCAAGCGTAGAAGCTGTCTTTCTCTTTAGGTTTGGGTGACATACACTGTTGACAATTACTCTCACTCACTGCAGTAGTTGGCCGTGCAATTCGAAACCTAACCTTGTGATGAGTCATCTACGGCGACGTCATGTCCCTGCCATCAAAAAAATATTGACGGGACTATAGTAAGTAGTCAGGACGTATTACATTGCCTGTTAGCTGTCTTAGGTTGTAGAATCCTAATAAAGAAGGCTGTTTGCAGCCACATGTTGACCCAGGCATCCTTTCCATCCATGTTCGCCACTGTCCAGTCCCTTCATCAGTTCATGTTCTTGGGGTGTCGTTTCTGAATATATTCCAGTTTATGGTACTCCAGACGGACAATTCCAATTTTTTTTTGAAACTTATGCACATTCATAGTACCGCCGGAAACCACGTTCATTTCTCCTCCTATCCTGCTAGCAAATTCCGATTTTACAGATTTAACCCAAGCCTCCTGAAACTAAATCCCCGGCTTTGGCGTTCGCTGCACAGTCTCAATATGCATTAACTTACGGATGTAGCATTCGCCGATTTTCATGTACATATCTTTGTCATGCTGGGGTCTTAGAACTAAGGGTGCACTGGCACCGTAAAAGATACCAATATGGCCTTCGCACCTCATAGTATCAAGTCCAATTCCTCGAAGTCCCGATGCGGTAGTAGAAAGTGACCGTCTTTTCGCCACTGTCGGTACTGTGTCTCGAAGTTGGTCGAGAACGGGGAAATTGCCTTCCGATCATGGAATAGATGACATCCTACCATCTCCCGAACACTTTTCTTCTGCTCCTCAAGAAAAGGGGAATAGTAAGAAAAGCTAACGTTGATCAAAACCTTACTCGTCATTTCACGTCTAATGAGTCCTTCTGCTGATGATAGCCAACAGAATCCTGTGCACGCCGACTGTAGGCCCTTGCCCTGGCTCTGCCAGACTCCCACCCGCTTAGTCTCACGCTTCATCAGTGTTGACGCTGTGCTTCGAGATCTTGAAAGTGCGTGGAACCGGGCAGAATGGTCATTCTATGTACCTAGGTAGTCAAGTGTTCATACGGTATCGTCTGTGCCCCTTTTTGTTCTCACCCATTTGCCTGTGTCAGACAGATGCAAACCGCTCCTTCCACTCTACCAGCGCTTTGGAATCGACGACAGTATTTACAACCCAGATCAGAATACGGTTACGGTGTACAGAAGATTCGCTAGTGTGGTGCTTAGCATTTAATTTAGTATTCGTATCGAGCTACTTAGATATCTTATCTTTTTGTGAAGGTCTATGTATCCCAATGCTCCTGAACCTCTATATCGCTTAATCAATGCCTAGATATCTTATCATATGTTTCTACTACAAGCGATCCCTACGAGAGCTGATATTCCCGGATCAGTTTCTCTGCGCAAGTTGCACCAGTGATATAGGCTATAGCTTGCACGTGACAGCTTCCCAAGATAGGGACAACGCTCATGTCGGCAACACGAAGGCCGTCGAACCCGATAAATCGGAAATCATTATCTACTACAGCATCTGCATCACCACGCTTTCCCATCTTCAACGTTCCGGTCATATGCCAACTGGAACCGACATATTGCTGCCAGTAAGCAAGTAAGTCCTCGTCAGACTCTGACTTCGGGACTGCCAAGCTTGCCACTGTGTCTTTCGCGTAAGGCTCGTTCTTTAAAAGCTCCATGACCTCTCGCAAGGCCCTAACGGCGACATGGCGATCAAAAGCAGAACCTAGGAATCGGGGATTAAACAGCAGTGGCACATTCGGGTCTGAAGATTGCAGAGTTACCTCCCCACGGCTGTCTGCGTTGTAGTAAAACACTAGGAAGCATGAATAGTGTGTGGATGATGTGATGTCTGGGATGAAATAATGGACAGGGAAATGAGTTATGACCTCGTAATGAGGAACCGTCTCTTTGCGGAGAAGGTTCTGCTCGTCTTGAGGTAGACTCTGAAATTCTGGCGAAGACTCTAAACCATCGAGCTTCTTCCATCCGATGCCCAGCTCAGAGGAATATTTCGACCAGTTTCCTGAACCATCTTTCTTCCACTGCTCGAGAGCCTCCTCCATGGCTTTGGCGTCGCCATAGAACGAGGGCCGCGAGGTGCTTGTCTCCTTCCGCTGATAGACAATGGGGACAAACATATGGTCTCGTAGATTTTGGCCGACCGCTGGGATGTCCCGAACAACAGGGATATTAAACTTTTCCAATTGCTTCACAGGCCCAATGCCGGAGTGCATCATGATGCTAGGCGAGTTCAGCGACCCTGCTGATAAGACGACTTCTTTGGATGCGAAGTAGCGAGTTCCTTTCGCTTCCACGCCCAGGACCTTGGTTCCTTCTAAGATCAACCTCTGGACGGGGGCATTCGTCACAACCGTCAAATTCTCAGGCTTAGAGGCCAATAGATCATTCGCGGTAGAGTGGTAACCTGCCTGTGCTGAATTGATGACTGTCGCCATACCGATGGGATTTCCGGAATTATGGTCGGGATTGAGCGGCCAGCCGCCTTTCTCGAAGATATCAATCATTTCAGTGAAATCATCTTCAAATTCGCGAGCATATCCAACCTTCAAAGGGCCTGAAAAACCGTGGTCTGAGGCCTTGGGGGCGGCATACTTGGTACTAACGCCTTCAGGCAACGACGGATCAAAGGACTCAACCTCTTTAAAACGCCGCTGCATGTTCTCCCAGTCAAACGCCTTGTCGCCAACTATGCGAGCCCATTCGGCGTAGTCGTCACGTGCGCCTACGCTCCAGACTCCGAAGTTAATAGCACTGGATCCACCAAGGCCGCGACCACGCGAATAATCAAGCTCTCGGCCTGCACAGTCGACCTGTGGAGTAGTCTTGTAGCCCCAGTTCAGTTCAGGCTTCATGAAGGCTGTAAAACGCTGTCCACTGACGCGGAGGTTGCGATCTGTGTTATCGCCCCCAGCCTCGATCAGGAGCACTGAAGGTTTCTTGGCCGATTTGGCTAGGGTGGTAGCCAACGTACAGCCGGCCGGGCCACCTACTCATCATTAGCATATGAGAAGGTGATCACTAACAGATAGAGAAAGCTATTGACTCAGTTGCCAGCCACATCCGCAGGCTAGCAACGACGCCATCAGGTCAACGTACCTCCAACAACCACAAAATCGAATGTGTTTGATGCCATTGTAGCTCTCTATTGTTCCAGACAGGTAGCTAGCTCGAGGATAGGAAGTTGTTCGGGATCTAAAGATAAAAGAACCAAGAGTTTAATCGACCATAGGGACTCGGCTCAAGTTATACACTACCACATTCCATAGCATTGATATGCATATTGGCCAACTTGAACCCATAACCCTGGATGGGGACCGTTACGTGTGCATTGAGCTCCAAATATGTGCGCACACTAATTGTTTCCCAGGTAGCCGGAAATCAGAGATGAAACCCACTATCGTCGGATATCAGTGCTACCGTTGGTTCAGGTGTTAATGGAAAATGCTACAATGTAATTCCATAAACATTCCTTCAATTCTAGATAGGTACTTTCTAACTCGTTGTTTATCAAGCATACACTAATCTGCTCCCTATCCCGCATCAAGTCTAACCTTATTAGGATCAACCAAACTGAGGATGGAGGACCTTGCCCACCAGGGTCAAGTGTCTGTCCTCGCTGATTGGAGTTCTGTGGCGTTGCCTCATACTAGCATCGGCTATGTAACTCCGGCCTGCACTCGAAGAGTGCCGGATAATCAGCTGGCAGGGAATGGCGAGGGGTGGGAGAGGGGACTAGCAAATCGCTCTGCTTGGATTTACTCCATCTCTTCATCTGCTTGTTCATGCTGCTTACTTACATAGTAGAGGTAGATACAGAAATACGTGCGACTTTCAACGGCTTAAGGGTCTAGTGTGGAGCCAGGAGGGCAGAAACAACGTTGGGTTTCCCCAGGGCCACGTGGGGCTCTCACGCGTTGTGGGCAGAGGGCTATTAAGTCTTCATTGTTTATCTCACAACATGGAACTTGAGTAGCGGGTTATGCCAGGTGCTCCATTACTATGTACAAGCAATTTCCCAAGTGTCCAGTCCTGTGACCGAAGTTTCGAAGTAAGTAGTATAAAGGCAAACCACCCAGCCCTTGACTCCTTAGCATCACTAATCACAACAATCTACTTACGGCACCATAGGCCGGGTTCGGATATTCGGATCCGAGTCCAACGATTGGTGGCTATGAACTAGACAGGCCTGGATATGCGTAGCATATGGTAGGTCGACGGATCTAGGCGTGAAGAGGTTATACTCAGTAGACACCAGTGAACTAAGTATGTTGGGCGAGTCATGCCTCTAACCTAGCCATATATGGATCGACCTACACCCACTCCCCACTGCTGTGCGCGAACAACTATGCTTAAAGTATACAGGAGCGTGCTACTCGCGACCGTGCGCATGTAACCGTGCGCCGTCAACTTGACCTAATACCCAATTGGGAACGGAAGATTTTCCTGTCCTAGTTCTCATAGTGTAAACTGGACGTTGCTTAGGTAGTGTCTTGTGATTGTACTAACTTAGTGTGTAACATATAGACCATTAACTCTTCATCGACACTCTTAACAGCGGTCTCAATAAGGCAACATACAGGAGTGCAGTCAGAGCGTAATACGTTAGGTTTGGTGTCGCTCGCATCGAACCAGATTCTTGGGTATCAGATCATTTGTGTATCAAGCAAGAGAACTACAGTGTCGCATCACCATTCCCGCTGTAACTTGACCTGCATAGACTTAGGGGATTGCCAAGATCACCAACATCATGCATCATACCTACATGGTAACCAGGATCAGGGAGAATTTGCACACGCCCCGCAGAATGAACAGAGTCAAGCTGCTTCATACCCACAGCTAGATAAGGACTACTACATATAAAGTATAAGCAAGATGTCTAAATTCTCAGGTCTGGAATTAGTGTAAAGCCACGAGCGCCATAGTAGCCAAACCATTACCATGGTATCTACTCGCAGTGTTTACATACATACTGCTATCTGTGGGTATTCTGTGCAGTTACTGTTAACGTATCAAAAATCCCTCGGATCGTCTAGACTAGCATCGACTGGGGCTCCATGTGTGCAGTAGGGTGTCAAGGATAACTTGACTGTTGCAATGTCGTACACTACTGCACCGCGCTTGACGGTCCGGTAACTATGGCCACGGTTCTTGCCAGACGTGCAGATGATTTGCGAAACACTGCTACTTTTGGGGTATCTTCCCCGAAATATATGAGGCCAGGCTCGCTATTATGAAGTTGTCGAAACATATCCTTGTAAGCTCGAGCAACTGTGCACGGCACTCGTGGTCCCTGGCATAGGTCGTAGCACATTGCGCAAGCGTTCGACACTATTCACCTTGATCATCCACTTCGTTGCTCCCCGGTCAAGAGGGAGGTGGCAACCCCCTGCGTTCTACATCTCCATTGCGAACGAGACCAGGAGAACGATCTCCTTATAAACCTCAACGTTGGCCCCGCCATCTGAAAGTTGACATAATCCATTTTGTCTGGTGTTTTCAATTTCACTTCATGGCTATAAGCTTACTACGCTGCATTGCCGTATGACCCATTGACCGAGGGAAACCTATTCCATGAACGGTATGGAGGCGGAGCCGTGGGTGCTATTGTCGTTGGGAACATTCTTCGTTGTGCTTCGACTTTATGCGCGATGGAGTAAAGTTGGATTCCGAAACCTGGATTGGGATGACTATCTCATGGTAGTGTTCGTTGTGAGTTATCCCACGTTAGATCACGTCCATCTATGTGAAGTTCATACATTATAACACGCACTTGGGGCCTTTGTGCAGATTGGTTTCGCAGGCGATGTTGCTCTAGCCTATACAGTCGGCGCACTCTTCGATGGATTGACCAACAGTTATATGACCGATGCAGAGCGTGCAGCACTCTCTCCGTTATCATCAGAATACGAAAAACGACAATGGGGTTCCAAGATCCAGGTAGCGGGCTGGACCCTCTACGTATTCGACATATGGTGCATTAAATTTTCCTTCGCCGTCTTTTTTAGCCGCTTGACGTGAGTGCAATCTATTTTTTTCGAACGTATTCAAGACAAAACGACTGATCTGGATATCCAACAATAGATCGGGAGTTCCCCATTTGCGTATGCGGGTTCGTATAGCATATATTTTACTCATCGCTACCTATCTGTTTGTGACGATAGGGCTGCTGGTGAGCTGCCAGCCGTTCCATCATTTTTGGCAGATTAATCCGAATCCTGGAGGTATGTCTTGTCGCCACAATGAGCACTTCTTGGAGAAATCAGGCCTAACCGAGCCGTAGCATTATGCCAACCGACAAATTCGCCATTCTATGTTTTGGCAGCCCTGATTTCAGATGTCGCCACCGATCTCTACTTGGGTTCGATCCCTTTGTCTGTGAGCTTGCTCCACGTCTTTAATTTCGATTCTTCACGACTAACAAGATAAAGCTCTTATGGGGAGTACAAATACCTTTGAGGAAGAAAATTATATTGCTAGGACTTTTTGGCGGTTCTATCTTCATTATCGTAGCCGGTCTCATTCGAGGAGTGGTTATCCTAACTGTAGGTTCCGTGTCCCTTCTCAATCCTTACATATGTACACGCCGCGCAGCACGGATAAAGTACCAATATTGACTCGTTTGGGTAACAGGCTGGCCCGGAAGGGGCTGTGACGGGAAGTCAATGGGCAAATCGCGAGACGTTCGTCGCCGCCATCATCGGAAACCTTCCTGCTTCCCAACCTTTGCTCCGAGCTTGGGCTTCCAAAGTCGGCCTAAGTGGCATATTCTCTAGATCTGATCCTACTAAGGGCCAAAGTCACCCCTTAAGCAGTATGGATCATACCAAGGATAGAAGAGTGGCCCCAGTCACATACTACAACGGAACTGCTTGGGCAAGCGACGAAAGAATCGTTGAAGACACGAGCGGTGACTCGATCGAGCGGTTCGACCATAACTCGAAAAACATTATTGTTACACATGACCTGACAGTGAAATCAGAATCTTTAGATGGCAAATGAGCCTGGCTCCGGGGGTAAATGTATTATATAACACGAAACCTGTTTTTCTAGCGTACAACATACTACAACAACTCATATATAAGGATACGGTTAACGAAAAGTTATTGGTAGCCTATCTAATTCATTAATACTATATATATATAACAACAATGTCAAGGTGTTCCGTGCTCCCAAAAGTCAGCCAGTGGGCTTATGCATATATGACTACAGTTGAAGCTGTGCTTGTAGTAGAAATTTGCCACCCAACACCATCCTTCTGTACCTGTAGAAAACAATATGCTTATGCAAATTGAATAAATCCCCGCAAAGATTTTGAAGGTGCGTACATTCACGGCACGGACCGAAGACATCTTTCATACATTCAAGTCAAACCCGAGGGGGCGTTGCTATCAAGTCAGCAGAGTGTATTCTATTCCCTATTATCACGGCGTAGGTTGTTGAACACAGAAATTATTGGCTTAAGGATTTATGTAACCCCTCTAACCTCCACACATAATTATTCAGCGCCAGCCACGTGCTAGGTGGGTTTAACGGAACTGAAGGATCATTCAGGTTGCCAAGCATAGAGAGCTCGATGGAGGAGAACGGACTGGAACGGACGTTATGTTGTCAAAGCTCAAAAGAGACTGATACAGTGATACGGACAAAAGGAAGACAGAATGGTTATAGCGCGACGTTCTCGACTCTTGTCCTAAAATCGCATAGCGTGTACATGTACATATAATACGATCCCATAAGCGTCTAGGTGCATAACTTGCGCAGGAACAGGCGTCGAGCACGATCCAACTAGTAGCTACATAGTACACTGCCGGACTTGAAGCAAATTGAAACAGCGGACACAGTACATGGTATATATGATCGTGTCCGATTGGTAGGAAGACTGTTCTTGCAGATATCTACACGCACAATGATAGTTCATCACAACTCAACTACCGTACCTGACGCAAGGAATCCAATGCCTTACCCTATCCTAGTCCTAGTCAATATCTGCCACTCTTATGCGCTACACCCGGATCGCACATTCCCGGCGCAGCCCGGCGGTAGTGAAAACGCTACCATGTGAACCCTCTCGCCTTTGAAAAGAATGTCATGCATGCTTCGTACGTTTAAATCCCTGAAACCCGATGACGTACTGTTCCGAAAGCCCGGTCAAGACTGTGGTGGCGCATATACCGTTGCGGCAAGGGTACCAGGATATGGGGATCCTAGTCTATAAGAGTGCGCTGAAGGTTAACGGTCAAAAGTGAGTCGACTACAACTGAAATCAATTGAAAAGGCGGAATCTGATGTAGTTCGTCCGCCTCCTATGTGCTGATATTCCTGTTTCTGGCCGCGTCGCAGAAGGCACGATATGCAGCTCAAGCAAATAGGTCGTCACGGAAAACCTGACGCCGTTATCACCATGTGGTAATAACGGACTATTCGCAACGCGTAACCCTTATTATTATTAACCCTGTTGTTATCCAAGTCCTAGTAATCAGAACCGACTCGAGTCTCGTTTCTGCTATGTCGCAATTCCCGTCGGCGATGCTTTCAGTATCGCCACATGTAACGCGGCTACCGAACTATACCTATGTCAGATCCAATCTTGTAAATGTGGTCAAAAAGTCGTCAAAGAGGATAACCAAGTACCAGAGGCACAACAAAATTCCATAAGTGAGAGAACGCAAACTTCTGGTCTGTCGAGATCGACACCCAAGTACGCTCGGTCTCATCGGTGAAGCTCAGTAGTAACAGAAACGGGAAAGAACAGTAAGACGCGGCAGCGTACAACCACGCTCGAAGCATTGTGATTGATTTTGATCTTGAATGGGCGCATCTCGGTTGGAGCCTTTGCTCCATCTACTGCTCCATGCTTGCGGAAAATAAGCTGGCTCAGGGGGGGCCTTGTCACTCGCCTTAACTACTTAAGATGGAAGTGCCGTTGCCCTTGCGGTGGGTCGTGCCCCTTTCTCTAGTCCTCTTGTGGGAGATCAGGGCTAGGTATAGCCTTAAAACGTATTTTATGATAACCGATATCTATCCTAAGGCTTTGGCTGTGTTAATCGCCAAGCCCAGAGCGGGCTCTATGGATTCCAACCTCGTTCAGACCTCGTTGCAGCATTGCCTGGACTCACCGAGCCCCGCTTGAAATCTTATTTAGGCCATGCCTGCACTATTCCACAATTTCTCTTGATAATTCCCTGCCATGATGCGCGTCCGACCTCGCAGGTTTGAAGTACAGAAACATTGGATGGCAGATGCCAAGCCGAACCTGGTGGCGATAGAGAAGCGTGTTACGACGAGGAGATCGCAAGTGATGCTAATAAGACCTAAGAGTATCTAGCCCAGTGACTGCAGATTATAAAAGGTTCGTGTGCTCCTGTAGCGAGTTAACTTCGAGGGTGTGGCAGGTATGGCAGCTACAGATCATCTCCGGACAGACGCTTTACCATAATACTAAGTATTAAGATCTAGGGTAATCATGCGAACCTTTGAATAAAGACCCCTAGAAGGCTATCACAATCCATTGTTCGAGATGGCCATGACAGCGGTTTGAGGGTGTCATTTTTGGAGACAGAAGTTTCTTCCAAGTTTGTTCCCCGTCTAGAATTGAGCCACTCCCTGGGGTTAAGGTAAGTTTGTTTTGGTCAAACGCTAGCAATATCGCAATGTAGTGGATTGCGGGTAATAGCTTCAGACGTATTTTCCTCTGTCACGGCTGGCAAATCCCAAATTGCGCTATCTGCGTGATTAACTTTCCAGCCACTAGGGCCGTACTACAGGTCATGGATCGTCCAGCTAACAGTCGTAGTGCAGGCGCAGGCTTGACCAACTGTTCGCGCCCAAACGCCTATCGGCAGTCTTGTAATAGCAATCATTATGTTACTGATGGAAGGTTGAGGAGTACCGGAAAGAATTGCAGAGAAGCTGGGGCCTACTTCAGCATAAGGAATAAATAACTCGAACTTCGTCGGATCTAACAGCCAGCAAGAAGATAGATGTTTGTTATTCAGGGGAACTATCTTATATTCCGGTATGTAATAGAGCTTGTAAGATAGAGTTACATACTCAGTGGCAGCACTCCACACTAGAGAGAAAAAGAGCGCGTATGTTAAGGTATAGATAAGCAAAATGGTACAAAACAATTCGGAATATCTTCTTGTTAGACCTTACATCTGGGCCAGTTTTACAACAGTTTCTAAAGAGGCTTTGGGAAATGATAAATTAATATAATAAGGATGCGTCACAATGGATAGCTCCGTTGAAAGCGCAAGAGAGTAGATAATGCAGTGATAGAGTATCCCAGCTATAAAGAAACCGTCCACCTTGATTAACAGCCATATCCCACGTCACGTCAATAATTTTTGCTTGGGTAAATGTAGAATTTCCGCAGGCAAGATCTAGATCTAAGCATTTTTCTGCCGTGCTCGATCCAAAGTCGGTACAGCTGGGGTTGATATCTTTCGAGGCCAGGTTTATAGGGGTCCGCCTCTCCCGGACGACTTTGCCAAGACTAATGCATGTGATCGATCCGGCCAGAAATGCCAGTGTGATGATACAATGGCAATTATCTGATAATTAGCGAATAAGTTTTGAAATACCATCGCTGCGTTCACTGGTCAAGCGAGTTTGAGATTCAGATGAAATCACATCCGCAGTATTAACGAGCGATGTTGAACTATCGTGAGCTTCCATCTCGAAGCTTAACCATGCAGATGAATAACAAAGAGGAAGGTTGAGGTAAGCAGAGATGAATGAAGAACTAATTATCATATATATTATCCTATAGCTCCTAATAATAAATACTACCTCGGAGAGATAGGAACATCTACACCACAAGCTGTGTATATGGTGCTGTTTCATCACAATTGGTGGCCAAGAGTCGGATACCACATTCAATCCTATGTCCAATATCTGTGTAATATCTCATACAGTACCATATTTCAATCAGCAGGCTATATAGGAAGGCTATATATGTTAGATCCCATGAGCACATCTCGGTACTTATTAACTCGATCTTCTTAGTTAAGTTCTCCAAGTCTTCGCTTATTTGAGACTACCTGTCAACGGCCGTGGTTATAATGAACGAGGGCTGATACAGTTGTTTTTAAGGCTAAAGCATCAACAAAGTCTGAAACTTATAGATGTCGCCATTTCTGCAGCACCCAATCTGTAGGCATCTCCCTAGCCGTGGCTTATTATAGCTGTCACCAGGTAACTAGTGTATATGGAGCGGCATAACCTTATTGCGGGTATTGTTTATCTGTAGACGATCTCAATAGTTAGGCTTGCATGTTACAACGTAGACATTAGATCACTTGAGATCGTCAACTGATCGTTCCCGAAGGCGGCGCTGATTCATTTCCAAGCTACTCCACACCAGGGTAAGAATATGTTACATGAATGCCGCCAAGAATGCGTCCGGATGTTGCGTCTGCTCGATTTTGCTAAGGCGAAATGGATATGTGTTGAACGTAGGTAGGGCTATAAATAACCATTAGACCGCTCGAACGTCTAATGGCGTCATTTTTGACGTTCGAGAATGCGCAACGAGAGAACCAAGCCCCAAGAGATCCCTCATAAAGTAAGAGGCGATTTCGGAAGATAGAAGTCAAGGACAAAGAAAGCGAGTGTATATAGCTTGAAAAAATCTGAAAGCCCTCACTCCTGACCTTCTAGACTTTGCGCAGCAATAATATGCTTACTGTGTGCCTCGTACCTTGTTCATTACAAACAATAGAGACGGCAACCGTACAGATAAATTAGCTCATGACTTTAAGTGATCGTAGCGAAGTATAACTGATCACCATTGTGGACCAGACTCGTGTGTCCCCTTTATTAGATCAGTCCCACCCCAGTCAACGTAAAAGCCCTCGCGCCGTAGAAAACCTAATGATAGAACATGCGAGTTTTCTAGAATCCCAAAATCTCGTTTACTTTCTTCGTAACCATCCGAGCCCCAGGGTTATCTGAACTAGATACAACAAGTTTTTCAAACCCAAAGGCCCGCAGACCCTCAGGGTTGGCGTACGATTTGAGATATGATTCCGTCGGCCGATTGATATGTCGCGATTCACCTTCCCCACCAGGGAAGTCTGGGCCAGGAGTCCCGTCAAGGAAAGCCTTTCTCTGGCGAACAAGATAGTGGGCGTTCTGCTCGGTAACCGGGCAAATGGGAATGTAGAGGACGCTTGAGTCCGATTGACCCTGGTGTACACTGTCGACGGCATGTATAGCTAGATTGAACATGTTAGAAAGGTAAAAGAGAAGGGGGGTGAAGATGATGACGTACTATCACAGTGCCACGCGACGAAATCTCCCGCCTTGACTTCAGGCATATGCACCATACTCGTGTCCAATTCGAGATGTGGGTGGAGCTCTGAATTCAGTTCTTGTCCATGACCTGGAGTAGCACCTTGTAGCTCGCTCGTCATTCCGGAACCAGAGAACGCCCAGTTGTCTGCTGCCAGGTACTCTTCTTTCGACACATCTTTTGACTGCTTCAGGGGGTGGAAGAAAGGCCGTAGCAGAAGATACGCTGTTGAGAGTTGGAGCAGTGGGTTTACTAGGAGGGTGCCTTCGAAAGCTCTAGAGTTGCTCATGCTCATCCATCCCTGGAACATGCGGAACATTGAACATGCTCCCAGCCCATTATAATTGTCCATGACGGCTGATACTCTTCCGCTAGCATCCCAGGGGTCGTAATCTTCCCATGATCCTTCGAACACCTTGTCGTAAACGCCACCGAGCCCGTAACCGTGTTTTTCCCATCGCTCAACACTACCGCCGTCGACATGGGGGCCTAGTGCGAATTTGGCATCACCAGGCTGCCGTATACGCAGGCGGTCGGCATACGTCAGGGTCTGTGATAGTGCAATGGAGCTCTCGGGATTCGAAGAGTACCAAAAGTTCATTAGCTTCGACTGCACCTCCAACAAGTTTGGATGCGCCCTTGCTTTTAATTGAGGCTTTGACCAGTACAGCTCATACACTTGGGGGTCATCCTGTGGGAATGCTACACAAATGATTAGAATGCAATCAGACAATACGGGTGGGACGGGGCTTGCCTTTTGTTGAAGGATTCTGTCTGACGTATTCTTCGATTTCATTCTTGTATGATCGAGCTTCGCTCTCAGGTATCACACCTCTGATCAGTGCAACACCCCTCTTCTTGATATCCGATCGCAATCTTATGAGATCTTCATCAAGGGTTGAGAATTCCAGAATAGGAATCACCTTTGATTTGTCTTTTGCAAGGATGGCGTTTTCCTGTTTAAGTTGAGCAAGAAGCCTATTCCAACTTTCGATAACACGATCCTCGTGGCCAGCGACTAGGGACCTTTTGAGGTCCAGAAAGCGCTCTGGCAGTGGCGGTTGGTTACCGCCGGATAATGAAGCGAAAGAATCGGCAATATTGCCTTCCCTCTTCGTTTGAGGCTGAGACTGTGTCGGGGCCATAGTAGCCATGCTTCGAGCTAGAGAGGCTGTCTTGGACAGTAACACAGTAGCTGGTTTGGATTTTGAAATCATTTTTTATTAGTTATGTTAGCTAGAGGTACAGATTCCGTGATCCTTCTAATCAAGAGATATTTATCATGTCAGAGTTGTGCACTCTAAATTAGGGCGGCCCATCCCGCGTCGGAATGATGACGGACATTGTTTCGCACATCAGCGACGACTATACTGCTAGCACGAATAGCGTACTCCGTCTCCTCTAGCCCTAGGCGGGGGAGTAAGACGATATCATCATCGCCGGCGGGCCCTTGTCGGACCTGTGCGACTAAATTTGAGAGTATTAGACACAAGTATATATAGTTCAGCATCTTTTATATGCGGACGAGAGAGAACGGGCGGACTAGCCCATTTCGGAAGCCCCGCCGCACCCCGAGGCTAGTAAATACTTCCCCAGGAAAATAAGATCCGAGGGACCTGTGCTCTGAGATACTTTCCTTGCCATTGATCGTACTAGGTCCAGTGAGTTCACGAGCTGCGGCCAACCGGGATCTGTACTGTAGTTAGCTGTGCTGCCGATCCCGTATGATAACTTCACGTCTTCCTTACAGTAGATCTAGAGAGAGGCGGCGGAGTTGACAAATCTGGTCACCACCGCCTGAGACCACCCGCCGCCACACCTATCCCACCCAGTTCAACAGGTCCGTCGTCGCTCAGTCAGTCGCCATGGTCAAATTCGTGGAAACAGACACGTCCGGCTTGCCTCTCAAACGGAAACAGGTCGCGCAAGCGTGCGAAAAGTGTCGCCGGCGGAAGAAGCGATGTGTACACGCGGACCCGAAGCCGAACGTTGGCCCAACTTCTTCCGGATCACCTGAAAAGTCGCCCGGGGCGGGGAGACGGCAATCGTCAACGGACCATGGTCACCGGAACAACCAGACACGGGTCTCAACTCCGACTCCTGCAGTCGACGATACACATCCAGTGTCGCCGATTATCCAGAATGGAGAGAAGCGCGGAGAGGCTCAACCATCGACGTTCTTCGGCGACTTGAACCCAGAGGCCATCCTCATGGAGGCCACTAGCCTGTGTTCTCGTCGCGATGTGTCTGCGCCCGGCGGGCTCGGCATATGGCAAGCTCCCATGGCGCCTCGTTTAAGCACTCGGAATTCTAGCGTCCCTAGTGTACAATCATCTTCGCGACGGGCCGTCCAAGATATGGTCAAGTCGTATCTGTGGAACCACTGTCTACCATGTCGCCCTCCGCCAGACGACTATGCGGTCTTGAGACGCATCTACTTCGAGAAGATGAACCCTATTTTCCCAATATTTGAAGACCCGTCCGTGTCTGGTGTACCGGACGAACCAACAGACATCCTAGTTCAACAGGTTGTCAGTCTTGCAGCGGCCGCCGATCCTGAAGCCGTTCAGCACTTACGGGTGAGTCTGCACGGTGCCCTCATGTCTCGCCAAGAATTCTGCGCCTGCTTGTCCAATTCTGTTCTCGCAACGCTAGATGCGGGGATCGTGACAGATCGGATTTGGCTCGTGCGCCTGTCGGCTGCTTTGTCGTTGTACACGCAGCCTACGAACTCCGAAGAAGCGGACATTCCATCCCTCTTAAACAGCCGGGCTGTCCACCAAGTGCACACCCTCGGACTTCAGATGGCAGTGGATGATGCGCACCCGAAGAAAGAGATGATACAAACCATTTTCTGCTGCGTCTGGGCACTCGATCGCATTACAAGTGCGTTCTATGGCCGAGCTCGTCTAATTCACCGACAAGACGTGGGCTGGAACTTCGATGACTGCATCCGAGCACAGACGCCGCCGTTCCGCCTTCTTCTCATGATTATCGGCTTACTTGATAAGATAATCAATCTATACTGCCCTGAAAACCGATTGAGCCAGTCTACTCTCATTGAGTTGCCTATATTCGAGCAGATGATCCTGGACGCAGAGGCATTAAGAATGACAAGCTCATGCCTCGGTAAGTCAAATATGTACAGTGGCGAATCACACGTTTGCTAATCTATGCCTCTAGCTTCTCTAGAAATATTCTATCATTCAGTCGCTATCTTGTCGACTCAGACGCCAGCTGATGTCGCATCATCTGCCATGCCTAAGCCCTCAACAAATAGCCGGAGGTCTCTCGCTGCAGACCGCATAACCTGGATCGTCGGCGAGGAGTTCTCCGGGCAGCTCTCGTACATGCCGTTTATTCCCTATGCGCTTTCTCTATCTCTCAGTGTTTCATATCGGAAAATGCGACACAGTAGAGTGCCCATGTTCAGGAATCGCGGCAAGCGCGCGTTCCAAAAGAACATGTTGCTCTTGAAGTCAATGGACGACATGTTCTGGAAATCGAAGACCATGGTGGCGATGGCGGAACAGGTTCTCAATGAAATGGACAAGACCGTCGCGTCGCTGGCCCAAGAAAATGGATTAACAGATCTTTCCAAGAAGGTCGAGTCAGCACCGCAGGGTGAGCGGCCCCAGGTACAGCCCGAAGAACCTCGGGCTATGGACTTCACGCAATACCCGGCCAAAGCTGGTAATGAGATGATCTTGTTTGATGCCGTTCCTGACCTGGACTTGTTTGGCCATTTTGATCCCACCTTTGATCTAGGAGCCGTCGACGCTGCTCTTGAAGGGAACTTCGACTTCGGAACGTCGACAAACTGGTTTGACTGGCATCAGCAATGGGGATGAAGTATCAAATATCCCAAGGTCTCTACAGATGCTCTAGACATCGATCGCACCTAGAGGATCGACGGGAGGCAACGAACAACATCTCACTCGATTGGGGAAATTGGAGATATTTGGTACATATACTCCCGCCCATCCACCCAGTCCGGAAACCCCCTTGCCCTCGTGCTATTTGCATGTCGGCGTTAAACCCCGCACCCTACCTCCCCAGATCAACCCGAGGTGTGAGGCGCGTACAAAGGTAGCATCAGTTACATCATAATTTCCAACAATCACATGCTCTTCGCATTATCGCTGAACTCTAAATTCGTCGAACCGCCCGCTCCAAACGAACCTATTCTTCTCCTAACCTTAGATCCAGATACCAATTCCATCGCAATAAGCACCTAACCCTCCCACCCACACCTCCCACATCGTCCAAAGGGTCACGAACCCGTAATGGCGACCCACGCTGACGCCACCATAACCATCTCACTTCCACAACTCGCCAAAACAATAGACCATTCCCTCCTACAGCCCACTCTCACAGACGCCGAGATCCTCGCCGGGCTGGAGCTAGCCAAGCGTCTCAAGGTAGCCGCAGCATGTGTGAAACCATATAGCGTGCCCGTAGCGCGCGACGTCCTCGAGGACACAGGCGTGCCGATCTGCGCCGTCGTCGGCTTTCCCCACGGCAACAGCACGACCGGGATAAAAGTCGCCGAGGCAGAGGAAGCGCTCCGCGAAGGCGCGCACGAGATCGACATGGTCGTCAACGTGGGGAAGGTCCTCGGCGGCGACTGGGAGTACGTGACGAACGAGATCCACGCTGTCAACAACGCCGTTGCGAAATACGGTCGGAGCAGCAGCAGTAGCAGCATCGGCAATATTGGCGGCGACAGTGGGGGTAGCGGTACGGGTGGTCTGAAGGTCATTTTCGAAAACGATTTCCTCGAGGATGAGCATATTGTCCATCTGTGCAAGATATGCGCCGCGGAATCCGTGGCCTTCGTCAAGACCTCGACGGGGTACGGTTTCGTCAAGCAGCAACGGCATGGCGGTGGAGGCGGAGCACTATACGCGTGTCGAGGCGCGACGGCGCGGCATATCCGGTTGATGAAGGCCAGCGTTGGCCCAAATGTGCGCGTTAAGGCTGCGGGTGGCATCCGCTCGCTCGACGAGGCTTTGGTCGCGTTGGCTGCGGGCGCGAGCAGGATAGGCGCGTCTGCGACTCAGGCCATTTATGACGAGGCTGTTGCCAGGGGTATTGGAACGATGCCGGTGCGGGTGAACCTCCACGATATAGCTCCTGAGCTGGGTTAGAAAAGCAATGCATATGAGCAATGTGCGAGATATTTGCTTCCATGTTGCGCAACGACCTGCTGCCGTTTAAGGTGAATATCCGAGGAGGCAGGGATTGGTACTTGTCTTGCTGTTCCGGTGGCCGTGTAAAATACTTACTTACTTACCTATATAGCGTCAGGCACTTCGGTAATGTCTGTGCCTTGGGCGTGAAACGGCGGGAAAACGAACGGCCGAAGAGCACACCTAATGTTTTGATAATTCAGAAGGACTCAAGAATCCTTAATGTCAATCTAACCCCAAGTCACAAAAAATGCGGGAATCAGCTCAGTGCGGTGCAATCATCTATTGAGTCTATGCAATTCCTATAGTCCACCCGTGACGTGCGCCAATCATTTTACATATTTATTTGTTTTTTTCGTGCCTTTGGAGAACTTCCCGATCGCTTATTGTTCGATGACGAGGAAGGCACTGAGGTAGTCACCCTTGCCGAGGGGTACACCCTTCCACCGCAGTAAGTCGTAGAGGGTGGTCAGGTGGAAGTAGACGTTGGGCTTGAGGTAGCCTTCGACGTAGTTGATAGCCTTCATGGGTTTCGTGATAGGGGTGCCGTCGGGCATCTGGCCCAACATGGCTTGGACAATCTGGCTCTCCTTGCCGTCGACTTCCTCGGGCTTGACAGACTCGAGGAGAGCAATGGTCTCGTCGAGTTGCTTCTTGAGCTCGTCAACGGAAAATCCTATATCAATTATTAGCTTGTGTATGTTTTTTTAAGTTACATTCTATTCGTTCTGTTCTCGAGACTTTGCGAGATCGAGACTCATCATTGAAAGATAAACGCGTGGCATAGACAATCGTATCAATATCTTGACGACGCCTCGTTCCACGTAAGTGATACATGTGGACGGTGATGACATAAGAGGAAATTTCAGTCACATACCCTCCTCATTTTTGAAAAAGGCGAAAGGCTTGCCAGTGAGCTCATGAACAATCTTTCTAGCGTGGATGCTGCTGATGCCGATTTGCTGGCCCAGATCCCACATCTTCTGCTCAGGCCCCTCAACGAACGTAGTGCTGGTAGGGACACCCTCGGTCTTGGCGAGGAGGCCCTGCTCCGACTTCAAGGCCTTGATGAGGAAGGGAATAGTGAGCTCGTAGAGGGAAGTCATGGTTGCGGCTGTGAGAGAATGAGATCTTGTGTGGAATGTATAGGGAGATATGTGTAATGTCTGTTGAGAATGAATGAGACGAGAGAGAAGATCGATCACAACAACGACGTGGTCCCCTTAGATATATACATGAACAGACACTAGACAGGTATGTAGGTGATACACTTCATTCCGTCTCAAAACACAAGCCAGCTGTCCTCGACCCCTCCCCCTCCCACCCTGCTCTCCACCGCCTTACTGTACTGCCTCTCACAAGCCGTCTTGCCGTAGGAGGTCAATGGTCCCATGAAAAAGGGCCCGACGAGTTTCCACCCATCCCCTGGCGTGTGGCTTATTCGTAGGCCTTGCTTAGGAATCATGTTTAGTGGAGATATGATATCCTATACTTATGCAGTATCCGCTGACGATTATGGGGCCAGCTCGGGCTGTGAGCAGGGGCCGATTCGTCCTAGTGAGGAGCTGCCGGGGCTTCTTAGCTGAGGTGGTTACACTAGACATTACCTAGCTAGATAGCTGAGCTGTATGTACATTCTGCCGCTGGTTATCTGAGCTGACTCTAGGGAGCGGAGGGAAATGATGCGGTGAACACTAGGTTGCGTTCATGCGACATTCGCTTTGGGCGCCCATACTTTGTAAGCCTTAGTAACGTACCGAGACGGCAATCGCGCACTCCGCCGTGTAGGACTGTGCCATTGTTGATTCCCGTTGGAGATATTTCATCTGGCAATGTTGAGACAGTTTGAAGGAATTACGCAACTCATACTTGTGGCCTTTTGTTACTGACTGTAAGCCGGGCACAAGGCCGGACGCTTAATGCTGACTCACGCAGCTAAGCCATGGCTCTGATGTGACCAGATGGAATCTTAATAGCATTTTTGGTCTGTAGCGCATAGTCCTGACGCGACAGCTTGACCGAGAGGATAATAAGAACAAGGGTTAGGCTTGTTTACCATACAACTTCTATTTGTCGATGAATGATGCTTGAGCTAGGTAGTTTAGAATTGTATGGAATCACTGGTGGAGCATCAAAGCCGAACCTAAAACGCAGTGTGCAGATATCATGTTAATGAGAGACTACTATTACCATGCGCCTACGGATGATTCCGTATTTGAAACTGAAGTTCCATGGCAATGTCCAGAGTCCCTGGGCTCACTGTCTTGCTTAGATTGCGGGAGATTGGCCGGATCTATTCGGCAACGAGCACTGCCGACAGGTAACTGAATATAAATACCGAAGACGTCGGCGTTTATCGAGCGCGAGGTCTTAGAATCCTAACCTCCTCGTGCATAAAATCGCTTAGTAACCACACCACCAGGCGATTGGACGATCGGTAATTAGTATGGAATTGAAACAGATTCGAGGAGTGTTCCTAGTCTACTTACCCCTCCGTTAAGGTGCTTATTTACTTAGACTAGGGAGCTGGGATCGGGATTCTGACAACCCCGCCTGTGGCCATCAAGGTACTTCGGGCAATTGGCCAAGTAGTATTCATGTAAGATGTAGGTAGCTATGTAGGATTCAGGGGCTTGATGGATGTTACCCTACGCAGTGGCTTTACTGAGCAGATTACCGGTATATGATGATGGCCAAGGACTTAGGAGGAATCTTTATCTCTACAATTGGATTGGCATCAATCATCCTTCAATCACGAGCTGCGGGGTAGTAATAGGGCGTAGTTATTATGCTTGATATAGATAGATAGATAAATACTTAGATACCTTAGTACCATTAACACATAGGTGGATGTAATTGTCTGCACAATCACTGTACACGTGTTACTTTCAATGGACAATAAAGCTAATACAAAGGCGGCTTAAACGAAGGCGGTGTGTTTTTGTAATTATTAACTTCATTCGCTCTAACTCACTTTTTGAGATGTCCGGATCTGTCATCGTCGTGGCTAGTGTACCGGTAGCGTAGTGCGACAGTAACAATGCCTGTCGATGGGATCGCCGGTGGGATGACGGTGGGCTTGCGCCAAGGAAGCGTTCCTGCGCTGAGAGGGACATTATATTACAATTGTTGTTGCATGAAGGTCATGGCGAAATCTTGTGCCCAGGCTAGGGCTATGGACTGCTGGAGGAGGCTATTTGTTGCAATTCCAAGATTGTGACAACATGTGAACAATATGCGTCCGACACCATTGCAATTGTCATCATCGCCACATTGTAATTTCCCTCGGGCCTCGCGTTTGCGCGACGTATAGTATTTCGAGTTGATTTATAATATCATGCGTACTTGGCGGGATCGGTGTTAGGAGTTTGCCATTATTGTGAGCGGGAAATTCTAATGCCACTTGTTTGAAGGATCGACCACAGCCACGTTTCTGTTGGAAATTCGATCTAATCCGCCTCCAAAGCATTGGACAGAAGGCCTAAAAGACGAACGTTCATATTCGCTAGGTTAGGAATGAGAACAACTCCTAGAATAGATGTGGCATGTGAGATAGGCAGATTGAGCTGCATTGATCGAGCTTTGAGGTGTATAGTAACTAACCCCGATCGTATAACTCCTAGAGTCATCGTATTCGAAGGGGTCGTGAGAAGTGCCTTCTTTCGTGAGAGCCTGGCCTACGCAGCAAACACCAACAGCTCTGTTGCGGATTGAATGCCGTCCTACACCAACCCTGCCGTTGCAACACCAAAGACACATTCACGAAAGAATGAACGACGAGGAGAGAAATCAATTAGCATGTATACATCGGTATCATAGTTATCAGCAGACAACTGAGCATGTCAGGCAGAGTTCGCTATCTAAGATCTCACAGCACAAACCGCAGTGAAATCACAACAGCATCCCAACTGCGCCTTTCACCAATCTGATGACAATCCAGTAAGAAACAAATGAGCAGCGCTTGAGACCTATTCCCTCCCTAGAACGCGTCGCAGGACCCGGGGGAAAGAAAAAAAGAGAGCGATCAAGCAATCGCCATACAAGCAAGTATCCCATGTCGTAACATCTCTCATCCCATCCATATCTATACCATTTCCCAACAATTCATAGGAGTGCCGACACATAGGATCAACGCGATGCTACCTTTAACGCTCCCCTAGGCATAAAATCTTACATAACGAGAACCGTTCCGAAATCATCACCAAACAGAGCCCCTTCCCAATCTTCCGACAAATCAAGCTTGAACAGATGCGAATGGTACCAATCTGCGAGACAGACTAGCAAAATTAATCCGAGGTAACCCATACCCAGACTTCGTCTTTCCCGCGACCGTCTCGCGTGCCATCCCAGCTGACCTCCTTTAGCGTCAGCTTGAGGTCGGCTTCCTGGTCACCTGTGAAGATCATTCCCCGGTTCCATTTGCCATCGCCTGCCTGCTTAATCTCAGTGATTCTGTTCAGCATAGGGTCCGGGTTGACGGCACCCAGGCGCCCCATGAGCTCCTTAATGGTCGTGTTGGTGGGTACCACAAACTTGGCAAATGGTTGAAGCAACCCGTGTGTTCTCCATGGAGGCTCTGGTGATCTCATGACGTGAATCTTGACATGCTCGTCATGGAAGATGTAGTTGTAGCCCGGCTCACAGCCTGCCCCACCAGTTGAGTTCACTAAGTTGATGCCTGGGTACTGGGTGCTCACGCGAGGATGTGGCTGTGGAAGGCGTTGGTTTGCATAGTAGCCATTGCTAGGGTATTGTGCGGCTGGGTATTGTCCATATTGTAGAAACGGATAGCCTGGTGCTCCTGCTGGTTGGTATGTTCCTGGCATGCTATAGGCGGCGGTGTTCATCATGGGGTTCATTGGGTTTATTTGGTTCATTGGAGCCATTGGGGCCATTGGGGCCATAGCAGCAGGCCCATATCCTCCCAAAGGCATACCAGGCATACTATACATTCCCGGCATACCAGGCATTCCTGGCATTCCTGGCATACCTGGCATACCTGGCATACCTGGCATACCTGGCATACCTGGCATACCTGGCATACCTGGCATACCTGGCATACCTGGCATACCTGGCATATTTGGCATACTCGACATAAGTGGTACACCGTCATCCCAGCCAAACTGCGTGTTCCAGCCACCGCGTCCAGCCATGGCAGCGAAAGGTTGAGTAGATGGAATATGGTAGTGAAGACCTGCGTTGAATCCGGGGGTTGTTTCTCGAATCGTAAATGTCGCAGGTTCGAGCTCTGTCACAAATGGGTACGAGTCAAGATCAATGCAGATACCAGCGGAGAGAATCAGATAACCGTCTTCAGTGAAGACAAGATCTTGGTTTGACAATGGGAAGTTGTCTATGAACAGCACGTTAGCACGAAGATATAGGCGTGAGGTAAGAGAAATAGTGTGTTTAATATCAGGCCATTGTTGATTTGATTTAGAGGCTCAAGGCAGGGATTGAACGCAAAAACAGGGAAACATGAACTTACCGCTTCTGTATGTATCAATTTCCAAAATATCAGCCTCGGGACTGTAGCTGTTATCACTTCGATGTCCGAGAAAAAGTTCAATGCGCCGAACTTCACGGTCATCAGCGTCGTAGAATGATCCAACAACCAGGCAGGCCCAAGAACTATCAGTTGGGTGAGCCCAGAAGTACCTTCCTATAATGAGCTTCGTGGCAGGGTAAGGAAACTCGGGCGGAGCAAATTGACTGTCCGGAGAATCCACGTTGGGTGTCACAGCTCGGCTGGTGCACGAGCTGTCAACAACAAGAGGTAGTGTACTGTGGCGAGAGTTGGGTATGAAGCTGCACTGAGAAAACGAAATGGCCAAGGATCAATGTAAGCGCTGGTGGGCTGAGGAATAGGTTGAGTATATAACAGTCCACGATGCTTCTCAACAGCTGGATGATTGTGGAGAGGGGAGGATGAGAACAGCCTCCCAGCATCATACAATCCTGAAAACCATTGCAGAGTCTTTCTGGCTTGGTAATGGAGCCAAGTCAATGGGCAATAGGCCCAGGTCCATGTGACCTAATAAGTGCATTGGCCGCAAAACAGCCGTTGAGGTGAGGGTAGGTTGTACAACTATTAGGCTGAGTTCGTAGTGTTGAATGGCAAACGACTTCTCAGACCCAATGGCAACCTAGTGATAATAATGTGACCATTATTCCGAGAAAAGGGCCAGCAATGCCATAGGCTGGTGAGACCCGGTGGTTTGGGAACAGCGCGAATAGAGCTGCAGCCTAAAATTTCCATTGTGGGTGAATCATCGTCACACCCCGCACGGGGCTCCGTGATATCCAATCAAGCAAACAAACTTCCTATGCTACCAATTTGCGAGCTCCTGAAGAAATCTAGAGTAGCACAATATGCTAACCAAATTAGTCAAAAGGAATCAAGCCAACTCGATGGGCAAGGCAAGTACTAATTCAAAGAAGAAATGTATACTTGCACCATACTTACAGGTTTAACAATCCGAGGGGTATAGTTATAGGATGTGTGAGCATCAAAGTTGAATAGAAATGCGTGTCACCCGTACACCACTCAATCAACCTGAAGACAACGTTTCTTGATCGACTAGTCTTACTGCACCTCCCTTCCGTCCTTCTTCAGCCTTATTCTTAATGTGCCTTCGCTTCTCGACCTCAACCACGAGGTTCTTGAAATAGACTTCAGCTTGGACAGTCGCGCTGTAGGCAACGGCACTCCAGCTCCAAATATTCTTCTTGTCGGCGTCAGCACCAGCGGCGAGGAGGGTCCGTAATACGAGCAAGTGGCCGTTACTGCTGGCGAAATGGAGGGCCGTGTTGCCATCAACATCGGCATTCTTGACAGCCGACTCGGCACCGTCGGGAACATAGGTGAGGAGAATCTGAAGAACCGTGTCGTGACCACCCATGCTAGCCTCCATGATAGCATCTTTGCCTCGTATATCACGACGTAGTATGGTGGCGGGGTCGTTCTCGGCAAGGAAATGGACGACTTCGGTATGGCCGGCACCGGCAGCAAGCATCAGGGCGGTCTGGTGATTGTCGTTGAGGGCAGGGGTGGGCTTCTCGTGGTCGAGGGCGACGAGGACCCTGCACACCTGGAGATGTCCTAGACTGGCGGCGAGATGGAGATTCGAGTTGGAGAGGCCGTCGGCGGAGTGGTCGGGGTTGTGGATGAGGTCTGGATGAGAATTGATGATGCGCTGAACAAGCGAGGCATCGTTGCTATGTACGGCACGACGTAGCCGCTGTGGCGCCTCGATCCTATCAGGAGATCGTAGATGTCAGTTGGGGGTTCAGAAACGGCCGAGATACTCGGAGGGAGCAAGAAGTAAGAAGCAAGCAAGAAGTAAGAAGCAAGCAAGAAGCAAGAAGCAATCACAGACGAGTAGCAAGCGTCTACGATTTTCGGGCTCTTCTCGTCGCACGGTGTTTATAGGAACATGACTAACATGTTTGATGATGTTGTCGGAGGCACAGAAGCACGTATTTTCCGAAGATATCGGCCTTGCAAGGCAGTGGTCCAGTTGCGCAGGTTGCGTTGTCTAACTAGAGAGAAGTGGAATGCTGAGGATGCTGCAGCGGGGGTGGATATAGACGGAAGATGGACGGTCGCATCACGAAGGAGAATGAGAGAAAGGCTTTACATCGCTTTGCCCGTAGAGCCGGGCTGATTGATAAAGGCGTGAACGAGTGATGAGTGTCATCACGCGCGAGTTGTTGTTTGGTGAGTTGCGATGGTTCAAGGTGAGCGAGTGGAAGCAGCTAATGACGGATGAGGGGTAGATCCGACTCCCACTTCTCGCCTCTCTAAGTAAGAGGCAACCGCGGGCAGCTTGAGAGGTTCCTTCCCCACCTACCGCTACATAATAAGCCTTCCATTACTACCATATTATATATATTATAAATATTATATTAACGTTTATTATTTTCTATCGCTTTCCTCAGCCTTTCGAGCATCGTGGCTCCAAAACCCTTAGATACCATTGCACCGACTCTTGCCGTCGGCACTCATGTAGCCATAACTGTGCGTTTGTGTTCATGTCATCTCAAGCCAAAGCTGCCTGGGTCCGACTACTACGCTGAGGACGCAAAGTCGACATCTCATATAACTCTCGTCATAGCCCTATCATGCCGCAGATCAGTATACCGCTGACTGCGATACGCCCAGCAACCAGAAACACCATCTATTCCGAGGCCAGTCGCATTGACCGCTTCGGAAACAGTATGGTGGTCGTCGTAGGTGGGGAGGATATTGTAGAGATGCACACAATTGCCCACACCTATATCGCATGGGTGGAGGGTTAAAAGATAACCGCCACCCAGGTACCGGGGAGCTTAGAGCTAGGTAATGAATTGTAGCCTACCTATATCAGACTTTAAGCTCGTCCGTCTTCTCATGTACCTCTCCCTGAGCGCTTTCTCTACGGATCATCATCTACCAGGCAGAACTCCAGAATCTCAGAAGATGATGAGTCTGAATGAGACTAAGGCAAGGTGAGGCGTTAGAATCCAAGCACAAATTGAGATTGTGATAAAGTTTAGACAGAGGATAAGGCTGCCACAACTCGTGGGTTGCGAAATTGTTGCCTCCATTTCAAAGTAGAAGTTGATGGACTTGATATTGAAGACGCATCCCTGATTTCTCTTCTTACACGAGCGTATATAGATGCCTCGTCCCCAACCGTTTCCGTGCCTCGGCCCCATTGGGGCGGGCGAGGCCAAACACTCAACCAAACATTGCCCTTACCACACAACACACAATGGTAGCTGTCGAAATCACACATCGGCTCGATGAGTGCGGATGGTCTGTGCTGAAAGGAGACCGGAAATTGAGACACGCGACATCACTTACTAGCCAACTTACATCGTTGACCCGAGCTCATCTGAGCTTCTTCTCTCAAATAAGCCAGGGTTCTCGAGGTTCACGTCAATTTGCGAGGCAATTGTCGTCCCATTATCCCCATATTATGGTTTATCCCGGAACTAAACATCCCCCCAAATAGCGCCTCTTCATCTGTTTGCATGGGAAAATGCTGCCGTGGCTGCATATGGATTAAAACCATCTGTCGTATACCTGAGTATCCCCAAGGAAGACGTCAGTGTAAACTGGAACGGTCAAATAATCGACATGTAGGTGTCGGGTTGTGTGTACTCCAATGGTGGAGATACCACAGTCTATACGAGCAACACCCAAAAGGAACCTGAGCTTTCCTTACAGGGGTATGAACGCGAACCTAATTCTACCACTTTGGATAGAAGCCATTCAGAAACCCCCAAGAGCGCCTAAAATAGCTATAAGCCAAGTTTCCCAATGTTGACTGGAACTTGCGGAGACATCTCCGAGCTATGTTGTTCTTCTAGTGAAGATATTACTCCTAACATTTAGTTAGGGCGGACCACGTGCACAATTTCACGTGGACATGTCTCGATCATGTCAGAGACTACCTATGAAATGTCGGACCTAGGTGAAGTCGTACGATGGCTAAGCATCCACAATAATAACACCACGTACGAGCAAACGAACGGGACACTAAGCTGATTCACCCGCGGACAGCCCAGTAATAGATACTATAGATATACTGCTTGACTTATAATATGATCGAGATATCATATCTTGGGGAGAATATAAAGCGGATAAGGCAACATGGCTTTCTCCATCCCAGTTGTCACTGCTCATAGTACTGGCGACAAGTCTAAGAGTAAGTGGATGGGAGCATTGCCGGACCTTTCTCGCAGGGAACCTCCCCTAAACGCAGGGAAACGAATTCCGCAGAAAGAGTCTCAAAGAAACATTTTGTGCAAAGGATTCTGGACATCTGTCACAGGCGAATGGCTTTTCTTACCTAGGTATCGTGTACAGCTTGTCTATGCCTTTGAAGATGTCCATTTTGTGCAAAGGATTCTGTACATCTATCACAAGCGAATGGTTTTTTCTTGAGGTGTACAGCTTGTATATGCATCTGAAGATCTTGATTTCGTAAAAAGGATACTTGCGCATCGCAATCTTCGTAGGGACATGAAAGCCTATCCCAGTAATCTTTAGTGGCGCGATTATAGGCTTCGATGTCCTTAGGGTGTTCATACTCCTCGTGGAAGCGACGGGTTTCGGTCGCAATGGCTTCAGCTCCTTAGCCCCAACTGAGCCAGATACTGGCTGGAGACTCACGAGGGGGAGATGTGCCCACATCTAAACACCAACAGCCGAGAAGGAGTTGGTTGGTCAAGGACTTATGCAGCCCTAGTAGATCATTGTAATCTGAATTCCCAGTTCCAAGCCCAGTTTACCTGCCCTTGTTATAGAAGTAGGGTACCAAAAGTCGTCGCGTGACAGGTAGCGTCATCCCACTAACCGAATATGAGCTCATTGGGGAATAAATGAAGATGGCCGCTGCGCGACCATAGTTGAAAATGAGGAGAGGGGGGCTTGGGGGGAGAGGAGGGAATTTATACTTGAGTCTAAAAGCAAAAGACGCGAGTGAGCGGTGAAGCGTAGCAGGATCCGGTACCAGCTGCACTGTCATTCTTCCGTAAAATGCAGAAGGGCAACGAAAACGGAACACGTGAGGCGACCGAACAAACTATCCCTCCAAGATAAGACATGCCTACTTGGTGCAACGCTATCGGGTCAGATATCCAATGATCTTTTTCGTCCGAAGCTGGTTGGATGCGACTGCTGAAGGCAGCAGCATATGATCTGCCGCGAGCCGTTCACAAGGTCTGCCTAACGGCATGACCGGTTGGCACCCAAAGTGTCAGAGGCTCTAAGCCAGACAGCTCTTGTGGTTCCGTGGGTTAGGCGCTCTGGCTCTAGCTCACAGCGGTCAAGTGCCATTAGGGAGGTTTTCACTCCTCAAAACCGTTCCAACCAGTGTCCAGCATCATATCCTGTAGTGGAGATGCTCTGGGAGTCACATGCCCAGTGTGATTCAGACGTGTCCACGTATCATGTCCCCCGAACTGTGGAAGGGCCCTCTTAGATATTGACACCCATTGGACAGCAGAGAATGGCAATTTTTTAGAGATATTGGTTACTCTGGAGAATCGTGAGGCAGCCAGCAGAAAGAAGTGTTGCACTTCTAGGGCTGCATAAGTCCTTGACCAACCAACTCCTTCTCGGCTGTTGGTGTTTAGACTTGATTGTATATACAACTGGTCTACCAGCCCAGACCGCCTAGGTCTCTGGGGTCCGTTTCAAGAAGCGAAGTCTGTATAACCTCACTTTCCAATATTGCCTGCATGTCTTGAAAGACCATTGACAGCCTCCAAAGGTCCTTCGTCCGGCCGAAGTGGAAGGCGAACTGCATATTGAGCTGGCACAGAGGTTGGACATGTAACAATTTCCACTTCAGCCAGCACTCACCTTAGAGTAACCTTCTAGATAGTAACAACTTCACTCAATCAGACAGTCAATCCAGGTCTCTGCGTATTACACACAGAATCCAACACTCTGGTTCATTGGAACGTGTTAGGCTGTCTTGGGTGCCACCACAAGTCCCGTATACACCTAATACTAGAGATTGGGCTCGTAGGGACAAGAAATGCATACAAAACCTATTCTGAAGTTCCGCTGCTGTGCGGGCTTTTGTTCAAGAGAGCTAAGAAGCGATATGATGATGATGACGGCACACAGATATTTTTGTATAGCTTCATTGAGTACTGCACTTCTTTCCTGTATGATTTTCTTCTTGTCAAGCCTTTCTGCATGTATTGAAAAATTGGGGCCGAAAACCACATTAATCACTATACAGTTTGTTAGACCGTATAAGAAGGGCAGAGATACTGGGCTTGGAACTTGGAATTCAGATTACATAGTCGTAAGCTAGAAAAAGGGACCTGGTCAGGTATTCTTGGCACGTATCATTCTACCTATCCTCTTGACTTACATACGTGTCCCATTAGTCGATGTGGCCTTCGGACTCCGGCTCTGGAGTGACGGCAGACCCGAAAGAGTCCACTAAGCGTTTGGACCCACGAGCCATAATATCGTGTTATTGGCCTTCGCTGGAATTGGGTCTATGAATATGTTGTCTTCTCAGGATTGTGTTAGTGTACAGACGGTTGCGTAAGAAGAGATGAATTATTCGTTCATGGCGTTGCAGAACGAAGCGCCAGGTTTCGCTCTGACGTTCAGGGGATCGGTCAAGGAATGGGGAAACTCCGGCGTAGATATTATTATGTTCAATATCCGCGACTCAAGAAGCAGTTGGGTCACATCTGTCGTTTTAACGACAGATTCGGACCAACGTCTGGTTATCACTTTCCCCCTCCTCCTCCTCACTGCCTCACGCCATACCATAACGGTTCAGTGTTTTACCATTCGCAGTACCATCTTTCCCAATTAGTAGATATAAATGGGTGCAGGTTCCACGATATGAAGGCGACTCTTCGAACATCTATCGGTAATCGATAACGATTTGATTCAACAGTTAAAGCACATGCTCCAGCTGTTGTCCAACCTCAGGCGGCGGGTCCCGAATGAAGTCCTCGTCAACAAGCAAGTCGTAAATTCGCACCAACGAATACCTGTCGAGCGTCGCTTTTCGTCATTTACAGTTCGTGTGCATGGTTAGGATGCAGGTAATAATTGCGCATAAGTCGTCACAAATGAGCCATAGACCGAACGAATTTGATGGCGCGCCCAGATTGTCAAAGAACTTATTATGCCCGCACGGGCGCCAGCGCCTACGCGGTACAATTACAGCATGCCAGTTGTTCGGCGGCCGAAAAAAAAGCATCCGAACATTCATCCGCAGCTAGTTAATTTTCAACTATTCGGTACCAACCAATACCAGAATCCTCAGTATGTCGCATTATTCCTAACCCCCCATAAGCCCTACCGTGGGAGACAACTAGGATGCAAACACAGGCCATTGAGCCAGATGATAAGCCAGATTATATGGTTTTTTTTCTTCATCCCTCCTTCGGAGTACTCTCTGTGAGTTTTTCATTTCAAGCAGGTATTTCTCTGCCACTACATCACAGCAGTGCTTTCAAACACCTCTCAGCATCCCACACTCTTAGGGGGAAGGAGATGAGCCTGCAGAATACACGTTGGCATCGAGGCGGATCGCGCACTTGATTCTATTATTATCCATCTTTGGCTACCCCTCCATCTATGTAGGAGTTCACTCTGTTACCGTTCCCGTAAGACTTGGGCGTGGTTCTTCCATGTACATGCAACACGGAATGAAAGAAGCCCCGAGGAACACACAGTCGGAGTTTGGGAAGCGTGGAATTGATATTTCCTCGTTCAGTGAGAGAGACTCGGGTGTCCTGGCTCGTCGAGCCTGGTCGATCCGTTTTCCTTGAGCGAGGCACGGGGGCGGTAGAGTCTTGATAATTCCAAGTGGAATCAGATCCTAGCTCACATTCTAGAGTTACTTTGAGGATGTTTGCGTCTATAACTTCTGGGCTGTCTATGAAGAATGTGTTCTGGGCGGTCTCAAACGGGCATACAATTAATAATAATCTTATTGACGTAACCGTGAGGGTGGAGGTTGAACTGTGTCCTATTATACGGTCAAACGTCCGGCAGTAGTGCACCCATTTCGATCGACATTCCCCATCTCAACACCTCTCTCGAATTCAGAATATCGAATACAGACAAGCACACGAGTTCAACAATGGAAGGACTGTTCAGGAAGGCCTCAATGCCAAGCATCTTTTTGATCTACGCTCCACGGCCCATTCTACAAACGTCATGCAGGCTGCCACTTTCTTAAGAAACATGTGGCTGAGGCTGATAGGGACAAGTATAAGAAGGGTGGGTGTTTTCGGGGAACCCCTAGGGCCGACAAAGACGGTCAGAATAGGACAGGCGATAGTTGATTTTCCCAGAAGGGTGAAGTCGTGACGGCGCGTCAGAGTCGATCGTGAATTCCCTCGAGATCGTTGTCGTGCACAAAATGCCCGTCAAACACTCGCAATCAGCACCGTCATGTTCGAGGGCTGTAATCTCGGTTATCGGACCCTACACCTCGTTGACCGAGTATATAGTGTCCCGTCGCGGCGTGGACTGTCTCCTTCAGTCTAGTTATAGGATCACTTCGGTGTTCTCATGACCTTGTACACTCGCAAATGCTGCTAGTCATGTCGATACTGAGCACTTCGCTGATTTGCGTTACACTGATGTGTGGATTCGCCATGAGGATTCGCACTGAATTACGTCAGTTACTTCAGCAATCAAATTAAGTTGGCGCAGTTGTTCAGTCGTTGACCAGGAATTAAATATTACTCGTCGACGAAGTCGTAGCCTTGTCCATCCATCCAGTGAGCCAGTTTGGCTAGAATATTGATCCGGCACCGTTCTGTTGTTACCAATAAAGCTGTCACTGAAAGCCCCCAGCTGCGGAGAGCAATTCCGGCCTTCCCATCATCGTTGCATATTCGACTTGAGAGAAAGGAATAGTTCTGATACAGCCGAGACACAATTATTCCACTTACCCGTCGTCAACTGTAACGATCCAAGAAGGTGTGACATCAGCTCCGAGAAGCACACAGGATAAGTAGTGGTGCTGGCCCAACCGACATGATTTCGCAAATCTTGAACTGGCAAGGAAGAATTAAGAACACTAATTTTCGCTGTAGGTTTTGATATTCGAGTTGTTCGATTTCTCCGTGACGTCGACATGATTTCTGCCCATCGCGATGCCACTTCAAAGCTCAACATCACATTTCTTTACCTCTCCGGGGTTGCTGGCGTGGAGGATGACAGAACTATCACTGATCCCATTGGCATAACATTGCCATACACAAAAGTGGGAGAGCGTACTTTTCCCAACACTACGTCCGATCAGCATTCGTCCTATGGAATCGGCATGTGAACTCTAGCGACAGAGATTCTCTCTTGAGGAGGTCCTCAAGTTTGTCCGTCTTGTCTTCATCCTTGATAGTTGGGTCTTGGTGTATGTGTAGGCGTAGGTCATAGTTCTCGTCAGACGTCATGGTGATGGTATGTTACTCCTTCTGGATAGGCGCTGGTCGGATAAATGAACGGGGGAAGAGTGATTAAGACTCGAAACATGGAGACTTGGGTGGCTGCATTGTAAAAGGTTGCTCAGCGGTACATACATGATCCACGAGTTGCAGACAAATGGCTCATGCCGTTGACACAAGCGGGAACTGGTCAAGCATACAAATAAAGCGAAAGCAAAGAGAGAAAACGTGAGGAGATCTGTGCAGAGGCGCAAAATCGAAAAGACTGCTAACTAGAGATCGAGTATCTCAAATCAACCGAAACGACTAGTTCTCTTGAAAGATATCCAAGGATTACTACTCCGAAGGATTCATACCTGCATTGATACCCGGAGTGCATTAATTCACTATCTCAGGAAACCCCTATCGCATTCTCATATCACCATCATCATCATTCTTTATCATAATGTAATGGATGTGGTTAGCTGGTCTGGCCGAATTTGATTTCGGTAACGGTTCCACTGGATCGTTCCGTGGATTCTACTCTAGAGGCGGCAAAGGATACGAGATGTCAAAGGCAGGGGGACAACCACCAGGAGGCAGAGCCCCATTCTCCGACAGTTTGACATTTGCCGCAATCTCTAGCATTATTAACCCGAGCGAAAAGACATCAGCTGAGAGCCATATTTTGAGCTCAAGCAAATCAAACTTGATCACGTTCCACTCCCAGTACCTGGCTCTAAGACAGCCTATCTCTATTCAACGTGGATCTAAACGAGAGTGGCAGCAATTGCTGTAACTGGAGGCTTAGAGATTATCACTTTCGAGCATTTGTGTAATCTCGATGGGCTGAATTCCTAAATGTTAACATGGATATTCAACTGTAGAGGGTGTGTTACGGAGATCAAGCCAGCCGCCAATAAGATTCTCGTGAACCACCCTGGCGTAGTGGTTAGTGACTGATTCCTGATACAGAGCCAGCGTCGGAGTACACGGACACGAGCCCAGCCCCCTTGATGGAAATCAGCTGCAGTCTGACTATAACCCCTCCTATTATTTCGCATCAATTATAGAATCGGGTTTCTTACTGCTCCCCAAGGAAAACCCACCCCTCGGCCAATTATCTGAGAATGAGGAAGCCTCTGAGAGATGTGGTAACATGTGACAGTCAGCTAATTTCTCAACATCAAGTGGCTGATAGTAGCTATCCTCCTCAAGACCTTGAAGCCACAAGATACAGACTCTCTCCCCCCTTCAGCGGGACGTCGGAGAGCTGCTTGACTCGCGGTTGGCAACGACTCTATTTCCTGCCTACTAAATGCGTTTCTGACCATTGTCCACCACATCTTTATCTTCCCTAGCTAAGAAGGTACGGTCCCAGATTCGACCGTCCTATTTTGACGCGAAGCTATGTCACTCTATGGATATCACTACTAATGGCAGCAATAAAAACCAAATTGCAGCGAAACGACTTGATGAGGTTGTGACTAGAGCAATATCTGTTGGATTGGCTTGTATTGCTCATGTTGCATGGGCTAGTCATGGGACCATAAAAGGTAGCCCGACCATACAACATCTGCGAAACTGGACCAGATTCCAGATATTGAACAAAGTTAGCGACGAAACCATTTCGTACTCATCAACCAACCAACAGATGACGCCGAACGGATCTCCTTCCCGACAAGGTACGTTGTTGCTTCTCCATTGGAGTATTGAGTGACAGATCCAACAGGTTGTGATGGATTTGCACGATTAGGAGTTTCTCCCGCAAGATACTCGTAGTGACATAATCTGAAACAAGTCCTCCCACCACCGAGAGCACCAAGGCCCGATTCTCGCAAGTGCCAAGCGCCCTGTCCGAGATAGTTCTTTTATGTCTCTGGGACATGTCAGAGGATGGCGGGAGCAACAACGTGAGATCGAAGTACCTTGTTCCCCTTGTGAGCTGCGAGAGGTCGAGAATCAACTCTCCCCGCACATAGCTGTCAAGTCGGCGGGCGTACGGCGGTTTTTTTCGGATCGAGATGTACTCATATGATAGCCTGCTCAGATGACGATTTCTCTCAGATGATGTATGAATACGATTGTAAGTGGTTGGCGAGGTGCAGCGGTGTCCTGCCTGTTTGGGGGGCGCCGCCAATCGGGGGAATGTATATTAACACCGTGATACCTCCGCGCTGACTCTCTGCTGTAACATTGTGCGACCTTCCACATCTGTGGCGCTGCGATTTCCCTTGTCGCTGTCTATGACTGAAATGTCTGGCATTCATCCCCTCCCTTCTCACGATGGAGGGCATGGTGAGTCTATTGAATGAGCATGCCCAAGAAGGGATCAGGTAAGTAATGTCTATATATATAAAGATGGAAAAGCCTCTAGTTCTTCTGTTAGCGTGGAAAGGCGAGACATGGTCATTCCTCAGACCTCCGCGTTAAACCGCGTCCCTTAAAGTCGACAAACCACGTCCTCTCTTTTTCCGAGAAGCTGCACGTCTGCTTCTCATCCTGCCAACGAGATGAGAGATACCTATCGTTCTGCGCTTCTATGCGCTTGCCTCTCTTTTTACGCTCTCCTTGTATTCTCTGGTGTCGCCTCTGCCTTTCCTCAGATTGCACGCCGAGCCCCAGCTAGCTCCCCGGACCCCTCCCTGTCTCCCTTCATAACAGCTCAAAATGCATCCCAGAGTGACGTCGAAACCGCTCAGCAGATTGTTCAGAATGCCATTGCCGAAATGACCAAACGTAACAAAGCGCGGCTTGCAAACCGACACCGTAGAAACTCCAGACGCAAGCCTGGCAGCCAGATGGCAAAACGCGACGACTTAATTCCTGAGTTGCTGGAAATTACGAGCGAGATGGCACGGGCTGCTGGCATAGTTGCCGAGATCGGCCAAAAGCCTAAACCTGCGTCGAATGAGACATCAAACACTCCCCGTTCTGTTGAAAAGAGGGCAAAACGCGACGACTTGATTCCTGAGTTGCTGCAACTTACGACTGATATGGCGCAGGCTTTTGGTGTAAAGGCTGAGATTAACCTCAAACCCAAACCTGCGCCAAATGAGACATCAAATACTCCCCCTTCCGTTGAAAAGAGGGCCGGCACTTTTTGGATGGAAGGCATCGCGAGAAAAGGCACAGTACCATGGGGAAATGACGCTTCCTATAAGGTTCTCATGACCAATTTACGTTTGCGAGATCCAGACATGCTAATATTCCAAGTGCAGGTTTTTCGAAATGTCGTCACCGACTATGGGGCTGATCCTACTGGCCAGAGGGTAAGTTTGAAGGGAGGAGGGAAATATCTCGTGAGAGCCCATGCTTATGAAATCTATCATAGGATTCAACTCAAGCCATCCAGAGAGCGATTGACGACGGTAAGAGGTGTGGCGCCGCGTGCAACGGGTCGACCACCAAAAACGCCATCGTGTACTTCCCCCCTGGACGCTACCTCGTGTCTAGCTCTATCAGCGTCTATTTCGGCACCCAGATAATAGGTGACGCCAATAACTTGCCAACCATCGTGGGAGCGCCGAGTTTCATTGGTTTGGGAGTCTTGTCAACTGATGTCTACGTCGATGGCGGCGGACAAGGGCCAGACGGAAACGCTCTGGAATGGTACATTAATACTGCGCGCTTCTACAGCCAAATTCGAAACATCAAGATTGATATCACTGCAACTGACGCTGGGGCATATGTCGCTGCGCTGCATTATCAGGTTGCTCAGGCTACGAGTCTGGAGAACGTTGAAATAATTGCGAATTCTGCCACGGTAAGCATTGTTGTTTCCATCTTCCGGTATCTGCATGTTCATAAGATAAGATTGCTGATTTCAGTTTCATAGACTCAACAAGGCATATTTGCTGAAAATGGAAGCGGAGGAGTGATGTCTGATATCACCTTTACAGGCGGTAACTTTGGCATTTGTGAGTATGACTGGTGTACGCGCATACAATAGACTGACTGTAAGACTAGACGGCGGTAGCCAACAATTCAGCGCTGCTCGACTGACTTTCAACGGCTGCAATACTGCCGTCCAGCTCATTTGGAACTGGGGATGGGTGTGGAAGAGCATCAAAGTGAACAATGCCCAGGTCGGCTTCCGGCTGTACGATGATGGCGGGCCGATCCCGGGTTCGGTTACTATCATGGATTCCATCTTCACTAATATCAAGGGGTCGGCTATCGAGATGGCAGTGCCTAAGGATGTGCGCGACTCAGGATTCACAGGGTTGGTTCTGGATAACGTCAATCTCGGAGGCAAGATCCAAGACCACTGGAGCTCTCAAGTGATTCTCCCGGCAGGGTACTATAAGTCTGTGAGCTAAAGTTCCGCTCCGCAGAAGATGAGCAGCAGCTAACTTTCTATTTTACTAGTATGTCATGGGCGCAACATACAAACAGGACAAGCGCGCATGGTTAGTTCCCCAGAGTTGTTTATCCCCCCCTTGGGCAGGTTTTGCGCTTCATTGCTTCTACATGCTCCCGAGACACGTGTGATATTCTTTGTGGTGATTACTGACTTTAGCGTGCAACAGGACCACTGCATCTATGGATTACACACGTGAATCCACGCTGCTAGGTTCACAAGTCACAGGGCTTCAGGGTGCACCGTACTTTGAGAGAAAGAGAAATCAGTACACCGACAAATCGGCCGCAGACTTCGTCCACCTTAAGGACCAAGGTGCAAAAGGAGACGGCGTAACGGATGACACAGCCGCAGTGCAGAAGGCCTTCAACACGTACGGAGATGGTAGCAAGATCATTTTCGTGGACGCGGGCACATATATTCTGAAGGACACGGTGACCATTCCTAAGGATGCCAAGATCGTGGGCGAGACATGGTCCCAGTTTGCCGCCAGTGGCAGCAAGTTTTCGGATGCTAGTAAGCCTGTTGTTATGCTCAAGGTCGGCAACAGCGGCGACGTTGGCACTGTCGAGATGCAGGATCTGATCCTAACAAGCAAGGGCCCGACCCCCGGTGCGGTGTTGATGGAGTGGAATGTTTCGGCCAAAACTCCGGGCGCCGCGGCCTTGTGGGACGTCCATGTAAGACTCGGCGGCGCTACGGGGACCCAGCTCACACCGGCAGAGTGTCCACCGACCACGACCGGGACCAATCCTTCTAGGTGTCAAGTCGCAAGTATGCTCCTACACGTCACTAAGAACGCCTCGGGCTACTTCGACAATATGTGGCTCTGGGTATCCGACCACATGGTCGATGACCCCAATCTCACGGATCCTCTCAACGGCTTGGAGCAGAACTCAGTATACAGTGCCCGCGGCATGCTCATCGAGAGCCAAAAGGCGACATGGCTGTATGGCACGGCGTCAGAGCATTCGGTCTTTTACCAGTACAATTTTAATGGTGCGCGAAACATCGTTACCACCTTCCTGCAGACCGAGTCAGCTTACTACCAACCAACACCTGCACCACCAGCCCCTTTCAACAATGTCGTTGGTGTATTCCCGGGTGATCCGGACTATTCCTGCAATGGCAGTGATATGGATGGATGTGACGAGTCGTGGGCGGTCATTATGAGAAATTGCCAAAACGTCCACATCGGGGCGGCAGGGACCTATTCGTGGTTCAGGACATATTCCCAGGACTGCATTGACGGACATGCATGCCAGAAAGCACTGTGGCTTCTGGACAAGAACTATGATAACAATCGACTGCAAAACATCATAGCCATTGGTGCCAAGAACATGATTGTTTCCCCGGGCGGCGCGGCGATTTCGTCAAGTGCAAACCAGGCTGTCACCAGCCACCCCTCTTGGGCTCATATCTCGCTGTATGAGGTTCCATCTCTTGGAACAGCTCCTGTTTGATTTAACAGGTAATGATTCAAGCTGAAAAGCAGCAATGGTTGATACCAATACTGTGGTCAGCTGGTGCAGAGTGCATCAATTTTATGCATGAGGGTCCTTGACTTCAACCAACTTGCGATCAAGAGCCGCGGGGAAATTAGCAATGGGAGTGGCTTCGAGATAGACATTCATGAACACGCTGGGTTGGTTATGGGAATGGTGGTAACACGTGACATGGCCTGCCGCAACTTTCTCTCATCTGCATCTGTATGTGTAGCATCTAGGAGTAGTATCGTATCGTTGTTGTTGTTGTTGTTGTTATTGTTGTTGTTATTGTGTGGCAGCATGGAGGAGCTGCTGTATTTATCGAGTATCTCGCAACTATCCTAGGCTCCCCACAACAGCGCTCTTAGAAAGACTTGACAGTAGTCTGCATGGATCGACTTGGTTTTAAGGCGTTCATCGACACGCAGGAGCTTGGAGATGTAGATCAGGTATGATGCTTGAATATATGTAGGTAGCCTAAGGTAGGTAGGTATTGAGTCTGGGCGAGTCTGGTTGAGGGTCTTGTCTTAGCCACAGTGCGCCACATCCAGGATATTTGCCAAGCCACTACCTACCTCCCCCATCTGGATGAGCATGAGCAGCACTTTTTTATCTTATCTACCGGTAGTCTACAACAAATTCCATGTTGATTAACACCCACTCGAAGTTATAGGACATCTTCGTCGATTGCCTTTTTCTTTACTATCTCTATCCAGAATTAATAGCTCCTATAGCTACTCTTCCGACTCCGTAATTTCTTATGTTTACAGTCCGCAGTAGCCATGGCCGGGCTCTCTACTCTCCCCTCTTCCTGAATACCCAGCGATACCTCTTCTCTTCCACATGCCGCCGATCAGCCGCCAGCACGACCGGTTCCTCTTCCATTCTGGAAGCCCATGGGCCAGTCGCCGAGGAACTGCATGCCACCGGAGTATGGACTTCTAAGCGCAAACATCGCCCCAGAGAGTCGTCATCACCTGCTAAGACGCCTGCGAAGACGCCTGCGAAGAAGCGCTCGTCCAAAGAAAAAGCACCTTCCCCACCTGATGGCGACAAGGGGCGCGTAAATATCGTGGGCGAGAAGTTATGCGACGATATACTGTCCTACATTGGTTCCTCCCTTGAGCGCCACCGTGGTTGCGACATACTCGACCTCTATCCGGGCGCCGGCTTGTGGAGTAGGAAACTGCACCAGTTTCTGCAACCTCGATCACATGTCATGCTGGAACCCGATGCCGAGCTATACCGACCCTTTCTCCAACCCCTACTTGACCAGCCCGGCACGACTCTACTTCCCAAGTCTGGTATCATCTGGCGCGAGCTTGGTTCGGCTCTAACACCCGAGTATTTTCCTCACCAGACCATCCCAGACGACCCAACCGCGCGCAACGATACACTGCTGGTTATCGCCAATCTTTGCTTCCACCCTAAAAAGAAATTCCTTCGGTTCGACTCTGTCGCCTCGCTGGTACTGCACCAATTTGTCGACGCCATTCGTCCTGGCGCTCTGTTCCACCGGTACGGTCTAGTTCGCATGCTCATATGGACTCATCCGGATGACAAAGCAAGTTTCCTACCTAAAACTATCCAGAAGCGGAGGCGACAAGCGATCACGAATGATTTTGTATGTGAATGGGTGCGCGAAGTGTGCGGGAGCGACTCACTAGCGACCTCATATTACCTCCGTGATGATACTATCGAGCATGCCAGTATGGTGGCGACAGTCAAAAGAATGGAAGAAGCAAAATTCAAGATGCCCACTGGACGCGAGTCAAAGGACTTCATAAAAGGGCAACAAGCATTGGGGAAGTGGGTGCATACTCCGGGAGTGAAGATGCCGACATTCAGAAGACGTTATCATAATACTTTAGCCGACCTAATGGCTGCTAATGCGGAGCAAGGTGGTTTTGATAAGGGATCTGATGAGCAACAAGACCTGCAAAGACATGCGGCGAGAGCGCAGACAGACCTCCGGAAGGCCGAGAGACTACATCACGTTTCGAGAGGCTTAGATCGCATTATAGAACTCCGACGATCCGGTGGTGCGACTCCCGAGTTGGCAACGCTTGAACATGAATGGCAGATGCAAGTACGAGGATTCGCTGGCACGTTCGGGGCTGAGTACAGAACGTACAGGGACAACCTGGACGCTTTTCGTCGAGACCCGCCGCTGCTTCAATGGGACCGGCGGGTTTACGAGCCCATGATGGTAAAGCCAGAAGAATTTTTCCCCAATGTCCCCTGCGGTCTGTTAGACATCCAGCCGCGTACACCTCATCCCCTACAGCGGCAGACAGGGCCAGGCTCGAATCGGTCAGCTGAGATGTTCGACATTATATTGGGAACGTTAATGCACCAGCCTACCCACCCCCTCGGTCCCAATTTAGATGCCTTGTGGCCTGGTTCCGCAGACTACATCATGCCGCGTTGGAAGAGCAGTAGTGACTTGTCCCAGGGAGGCTTCCCGCTCCATCTGCATGGCGCCGAGCCTACGCCGCGATCGTTGGACGCCCGGCAATGGGAAGAGCTCTTCGAGCTTTGGATGGAGTGGCCGTTCCGGCCCGACTTTTATGAATTAGTGGGACGGGCCCATGACGACCTGAATGAGAAGGATGACGACAGCCCCAACTTGGAGTTCTAGCGCCCGGCTCCGAAATCCGCAACCGTCGTCATGTCTTTCGGAACACGTCAAAGCGCGAGCTCCCATGGTGGAAACCCACTGAATCCTCCTCATAACTACTTTGGTACCTGTGTATAGTAACATATGTAACTGTGCGATATTGAGTTAGCATGTCGGCTTGAGGATCTGGTTGCTCGTCATGCATATAGACGTAGGAATGTAAGGTTATAGCCGGGCAATGGCCGCATTTTATCCTGTACAATATCTATATTAAGCAAGGGGTTATGGTTACCTACAGTACATTTGGACAGGTGCATTTTGGAGAGGGTGAATTGGCATGACGTATGTACCCAGGATGCGTTGACCTTGACCTGCCAGCGGCCAATACCCGGGTCTGCCCGGGCTGGAGAGACTTGCAGAATTTGGTGGCGTCGCATTTGGAACAGACATTACTTCGTAGGACTACCTATGAGACAGTTCCTCCTATTTCCCCTCGTTTCCCTTGTGTCTCTCCGAGGTATGACCTCGTGTGGTATTTGCACAACATCAATAAGGGGCATTACGAAGTAGGAATGTTGGCTAGGAATATGCAGACCATTCTTTCCGTGTTGAATGATGTGTCCGTATTGTTTGTCTAGGAGCCCGAGTATATACTGAGTAAGACTGCTTGCTCTATTTGTACAAACTTATAAATGAAATGCATGATGTTGCTGATTCCAGCCCATCTTACATGAAGCTCAAGGTGTTGCTTGCTGCCCACAGGTCCCTTGCCTTTACCTGGTATTTACAGTGTGCGCTAGCAGGCTTAGCCAGAAGCTTAGCGTTCCGGGGAAATAGTGGGACATTGAGATCGGCCTGATTCAGCAAGCCCAGCGAACTGCGCGTCATCCCGCCGTCCCCCTTCATTTTCCCATCCTCCTCTCACGGATTGCCAATTCATTTCCCACTGCAGGACAGGTACCTGGCGTCCTCTCTCCTTCATGTCCTTGACCCCTCTCTGCCTCTCGACCCTCAACGGCGTATGGTTTTGAGGCTGTTTGCGTGTGATTCCCGGCGAGTATACAACACCCCCCAGTTCATTTCCATGGTGCTGGCTCAGGCGCCAAGCCCCTGAAAGACAGTAGGCGTTAGCGCTTCTAGGTAGCCCGCTCTCTCTGCCCACTGAACCTTGGAAGTGTTACCAGAAGTCTTGGTAACACGACAACTTGGTGAATTGCAGCACAAGACATGATATGGTATCATGGTTCTCCAACTGTTCGTCTGATCTTGGAATATAAGCATATCTGTCTCGTCTGTCTTGTATTGAAATCATCCTTGTTCCGCATAGCGAGTACTGTCCTACTGAGTAGACCTCGACGGCGCCCTGCCCTAAACCAGCCACCACGTCTTCGATTCCCTGCCTTGGCTTGCCTTGGCTCGCCTTGACCTAGACGAACCAATCTAACTTGGCCATCGCTCTGCGCTAGCATGATCCTAATCCTAGCACTTCATCGATCATCACCTCACGTTTTCTCCGCTGCCTTTGTTAATCCCTTCTCTGTCCCTTCTTTTGCACCGCCTCCATTGATTGGTCTTGTCTCGGAATCTCTGACTTCCCCTCCTTTTTTTTTTTCCTTTTCTGCCTCAACATTTGCGCTTGCTTAAATGGATCATCCTACAAGTCCGAAGGGGCAATGAAACGGCCGAGTTGCACCACAAGAGCCCTTACCGAAATATCCCTGCGACTTCATTTCGTCTGGCACACCACGTCAGCCTACTACCGGTTCGAAAGTCGCTGGCCTTCGACCTGACGTCCGACGCGCTTTTAAGCGCTGACACACCCCGTCGCCCGAATCGTCAAACCACCGGCTGTGGCCATATCGTCGCTTCATCATGCGGTCGCCTGCTTTCCCGCCACGGCGACCATCGCACGTGATACGCTATCTCATTCCTGTTGTGCTTGTGACATGCATTTTTTACTATTTTTTCACTGGTTCTAACTACCGCTCGCCCGTCCCCGATATCTCCCATCCCCAGAGCCACGATACTCTTATCCTCGATACCGATCAAGTGCCAATAGAACACCCACCATCGCCACCTTCGTCTAACTTGGAGGCGGGGACGAAAATTCAAGATATTGAGGCGGTCAAGGCAGAGAAGGAAGAAGAGAGCCCGGTCGAGAAACCCATAGGCCAAAATAGCAAAACGAAGGGCGAATCTAGCAATAAGGACGATAGCCTAGGGAAGATAGATAAAGGGAAGAGTGGTTCTGCCAAAGAACAGGACAAACCCGGACAAACGAAAAGTGGTTCTAGTGGAGGTACCAGCAAAGACGACGATGACGATTCTACGCCTGCGAAATCGAAAGGACACTCGAGCTCGAATGCCGTTGCCGATCATCCTATAGATGAGTTAATAAGACTCGCAGACAAGAATTTCAAAGAGGTCCTCGCCAAAGAGTCCACAACTCTCGCTGGGGCCGCCAAGGCCTATCGCGAGCGCCGTGGCAGACATCCACCTCCCGGGTTCGATAAGTGGTTCGAGTTCGCCCAGGAAAACAATGCCATCATAGTCGAGGACTTCTTTGACCGCATATACCACGATCTCAATCCCTTCTGGGGTCTCGACCCCAACATCATCCGCAAAGAATCATGGGACTTTGAAATGACCATCAATATTCGCAATCATAATGCAAGCGCGAAGAGCGACTGGTTTTGGACACAGATCTGGTTGAAGATGTTCAAGACTATTGAGCATCTATTACCCGATATGGACGTTGCCCTCAACGCCATGGATGAACCTCGATTGGTGGTACCATGGGAAGAGGTCGCGACGTACATGAAAAAGGCCGAGCGTACTCGGAAACTGACCCCAACAAACAAGGTTGTATCAACCTTCCAGGACCGGCCCGACCCTGAGGAGGGCTATGAGAAGCCCACCACGAGGAAAAAGAAGTGGGAGGAAACAAGTAAGCTACTTCTCCATGGTTCAATAATACGTGCCAGCAAGACACACTAACCCCCCACAGGTCCATTTTGGTTGATTGCGCGTCGCGGTTGTCCCCCGGACAGCCCAGCTCGTCGGTTAAGTATTGTAGGTTCTTACGATGATACGCCCAAGTTCTCTCCCGAATGGGCCACACCTCATCAATATCAAGGATACGTGTCAAACTACACACTTTCGACCGAATTCTGTCATCAGCCCGACCTACAGGGTCTTCAGGGAATCTTCATTCATCCTCTATCCACCCGTTCCACTCGAGTACTCTTCCCTCTCTTCGGTGGCAGTAAGCTAGCTACGAACAATGAAATTCTCTTGCCCGCGCCTATGTACTGGAATGAAGAGGATAGGTTTACCGGTGGGGGGTTCCAAGGCTCTGAATGGGAGGACAAGTACGGTCCACTCATATGGCGTGGGGTCGCCACGGGGGGGTTGAATAAGGAGTCGAATTGGCGAGGTTTCCAACGACACCGTTTTGTGGCCATGAATAACGGAACAAAACTTGCCCTTGCCGAAGCTGGCGTCGAACCGCCGGTGAATTTTGAACTACCCTCGGCTGCTTACGGCATTATGGCAAGCAAAGAAAAGCGTTTGGGGGAGTGGGTATCTGAATGGGCTGATGTTGGTTTCACTGATCTGATGTGCGATGCCGACTCAAAACCACCAAAGTCCGATGATGATGAAGAGGAAGAGGACAAAACTTGTCCCTATACCACACCTCATTTTGAGGTGATTGACGGCGTTGATCTAGCAGAGCAGTTCACATACAAATACCTCCCCGATATCGACGGCAATTCCTTTTCCGGCCGGTATCTCGGCTTTCTCCGCAGCACAGGGGTCCCCATCAAAAGCACCATGTGGCACGAATGGCACGATAGCCGGCTGATCGCGTGGAAACATTTTGTGCCCATGGACAGCCGCTTCGGCGACTACTACGGGATCATGGAGTACTTTTTAGGATATGGCAAGGTCATGCCGGGACACGACGAAGCCGCTAAGAAGATCGCCATGGACGGCAAGGCATGGGCTGAGCGCGTCCTCAGGAAAGAAGACATGCAGATATATGTCCTCCGCCTACTGCTCGAGTACGCCCGACTCTCTGATGATCGACGAGAGAGTATGGGGTGGGTTGAAGACTTGAAATCGAAATCATGAGCATGATGAGATTCATGCGCCTTAGAAAGGCGCGTATCTTATCGCAAGATCAGGGAAATAGGGACCGCTATTGCATGAAACAGGTGTATTCAATGGCCATGGCGTTGTTATTGTTGTTGTTTCTTTTTTTGCGTTATCGTTTTGGCATGGGCGAATTTCTCGGGGGGAAGTTCGCTGGTATCATATATATATACATACATACCCCTGGCTGGCGTTGATGACGCGCCGCATGATGCATTGCATTACATTGCATTGCAGAACAGAAAGTGTCAGATTTTCACGCCGTGTACATATTTACATGCATACATACCTACACATACCTACATACCTTTCCTCTGCTTTTGACGGAACGGAGGAAGGGCTGAGCTGAGTGCATCGATACTGTGTATCATATACCCACCTATGTACCAAAAATTGCTAGAAACCTACATTGTTGTTCAAATTGTTACGTGTTAGGTCTTTGAGGCCTGGATGATATCTAATGAATATGGGCGGCGAGATGAGATTGATGGGCATAAAGCTTCTCTTGCTCAAATATCTTCTCGAATACGTATCTCCCCTCCATCAGAGTCGCAGGCTACAAGCGCTGCTTCTTTCTTGGAACTACCCTGGGTACCAACTGAATTCAAAGTGTTACATACCCACCTACCTACCTACTAAATGAATAAACTCGGCGATGATGCAGGTGGTTCGATATATATACGGCCCATGACCTCACTATTGGCGGTATATGGTAGGGAAACGCCATGAAGATGATCGCTGGTGATGTCATTTGCTTTAGACCGTCTACTAGCTATGTATGATACTTCGGGGAGGAGAAGAGGGGGGACTGAGATGGTGGAATAGAGAGTGAGGTGAATGATGGAGAGATGAAATGAAGAACGTCATACTTAACACGTGCTAGGACGGGTGGAAGATGGACTTTGGTAGGTAGGTAGGTAGGTATGGCCGTACAGAGATCAATAGGATGAAACTGAAAAAGAGAGAATAGGTGCTCACATAACTATGACAGCATACACAGTTATCATCTATCTATCTGCCTACCTATCGAGGTCCAGGGGATTGCTATAAGTATTTAAAACCCCCGTTGCTCGGATTCCTCTTTACGGCGTTAGGATCACTTATTTCTCCCCATCGCATTCTTCGTTCCGTTTATCTACACTTATACAAACAAATACCTGGAAACGCATTCTGATCACATATATCACATCGCAATGGACACTCTCAAGAAAGTCGTCGGAAAGGGTGACAAGGCGAATGAATCTGGTCCCGGCGCAGCGAAGGAGGGGCAGGATTACGGCGACAAAGGTATGTTTTCCTATTATTTCATCTGCTTTCTTCTTTCTTTTCTCCTCAAATAAGGTGATTAAGAAACCCAATTAACGAAGTCGCGTGTTTGTAGGCGCCGAGTATATCAACAAGAAGTATATGGGCGACAAGTTGTCAGCCGACCAGCGCGAGCAGATGACGGATACAGCGCGCCAGGGGTTCGAGAATGCGACGGGGTAAGTTGAGGTATTCTCATGTGGTCTTCCCTGGGAGAGGAGAGAAGTAAAACATACCGGGTTATACTTCATGGTGAGAGATGAATGGATATGGCTAATTCGTTATATATGTGTAGCAAGAAAGTTCCCGGCAAGCTATCTGAATAAGTGGTTGAGGGGTATGATATGTGTTGGTGTCAGACTGACTGACTTATGGGTTTTCTCGCTGTGATATCGGCCATAGAGAACGTCCTTCACCTGTAACAATACTGCCATCGGCACAATTAATAAGTAAAATACAGCACACATTGTAAAATACATAATCATCTGCAGCATCAAGCACGTGTCTCTATCTAGCCTGTTGGTATCTCAATGTCCCCATCTTCCCCAAATAAACCAGAAATCCACATTGTAAAAGTTGTACCGCCGCTCGACCCGTATAACACCCAACGCCAGAATATGCCCGTAGTGTAACCGAGATGCAGAAATTCAGGTCGTTCCAAATCATACATGGCATACACCTTCCAATAAGAAGCAAACGGAGTAATTAACCCAAAAAATCCAAAATTGGGTGTGAAAATCGTAGGCCGACTATGTGCCATAGTGGCACGGATCCGCTACGTGTCGTCGTAAAAGACTTGGACGGCCATCACGATGATCCAAAGCAAGAAAATATTCCCTATTACACCAAAGGCGAAGACGGACTGCCACTGCTGACCTGTAATAAACGCAAATGGCGCATTAGCAATTGCTTAAGCTCACCGTTGATATCTCAACCTTAGGTATGAAGTCCACATCAAATGGGTGTGCAATGTAGGCCTAGATTGGGAATTAAGAGGTTATGTGTAACTTACATATCGACCTTTGCTCCAACCACGCCAGCGTAGCCTCGTTATTGCCAGTCTGGACATTGTTCCAGACCAAGTTCTCGCAATTCGCGCTGACGGAGCCCGCGGGGCCCCAGAGCTCGATGCTGATCACGATCAGCCCCACGAGCCACAGCACGAAGAGCACGAAGGCGCCGATGATGACGATGGCAGGTAATAAGCGCCGCTGCGCTATTAACCAGAGTAATAGGACGATGAAGCCTACGGTTAATCCGGCGACTGTGATGTAGTAGGCGAAATACCTGTTCTCTTGTGTTAGTGATCAGTGCCGATGGGATATGGTTCTCGCTGGGGGCTTGTTAAAGAGAGGGGTGTCCGTAGGGGGTGTTCGTAGCTAGGGAGAGGGAAGGGAGGGATGTAGGACAGAAAGGGATGACCCTACCAAGGCACGAAGAGGTCCAACTGCTGCTGTATGTCGATGAACGAGCCGAAAACACCAATGATGAGGAACGATGCTGCGAGCATGACTAGCATCCAGACGTTAAGTTGTATGGCGGGCCAGTGGTAGCGGTGGATGCGGGCGATGCGCCGTTCGTACACGTACGAACCCCCCGTCGTCGCGGATGCAGCCATCTTGACAATATTCCCAGTCCAAGCAACAATAGCGCGTGTTATCGAAGTAGAATTGCGGCTCCTGGGTGTCGTTCGTTGCGCGCTCTAATGGCTGCCCAACAGTCCGTTTGCAGATCCCCTAGCTCTTATAAGCTCTCTTTCCAAGCTGTTCAAGCACGGGTACAACTCCCAAGCTATTCCAAGAATAAAATCGTCCAATCTCCAACCCTTTGAGAAGTATGTAAATGCTTGGCAAGTGCGTCCTTATGTCGCTGTATTATAGACGGCGGAATGCTTAATGGGCGCAAGGTATCGAAAGCGGACCGAGTGAGGCTCTAAATATCGTAGAATGTAGATCGATCTTGATTCAAGGACAAACGAACGAATTCCCCCCGTCGGTGTCGACGCTGTCACTTGACCGCCTCATCCAGGGAGCCCAATAGCGACGCAGGGAGCACCGGTGATGGTACAGGGCGGGCGCGCCCAATTTGCCAACGCAGAGAGGAAACAAACGCGCGTGCGCCGATTGGTTTGTTGCTCGGTGGTGCCACGGGCAAAGCAAGCAAGCAACGAGAACCCTGCCTGCTTGCCTGCCTGCTTGGTTACTCTCGAGTGTTGTCGCGCAGTGGCGGAGCAGAGGGCTCGTGATGACGAACTCGTCGATTGGAGTGTGGTGAAGGTGTTGGGGAGCAGAGACCCGACGAACCCGGTTGGGTGGGAATGATGATGCAGATGGAGCGAATCCGAGCGCATTTGTCGCGAAATCGATCGCCCAACCAGCATAACCCAAAGCCACTGACGATGATGTGGGTATCTGCCCGTAGCTTGCTGACCTGCCTTAGGGAGATACCTAGGCGACGGCCCGGGGGATTGCTGCAGCGGGGGGCCGGTTAAGGCTGTAGGCCCTGTAGGACCCCCCTGTAAATGACCCGAATCGCGCTTTTAGTGAAGCCTTGTAGGGCTTACGTGCGGCTTCTCTCAAGATCTACCTACCATGTGTAAATTCCTCCATCATACAACCATGGCCATCGTAAGTGGACTGGCTGGTCCATTCATTGCTGTCACAAACGGTAGATCACGAGAAAAGACGCGGATGGCAGCAGGTGTGTTTAACAATCAATTCGGTTGCACACTCAATAGGTATGTATCTCTTGAGTACCGCCGTGGCATCGCCGGTACGAGTAGCGAGATTCAGTCTGCCCCCAGATCTGCCTGGTCGCCCAGGTCATCGGTCGATTAACCGTTCATCGTACGCTTCAGCGTAAAATATACTCCAACAGCCGTGTCTCCCAGCTATGTTCGTGACCAGTTTTCCATCATAAACGCCTGAATGTCTATAAAGCCTGCCTGGAAATGCCCCCCCTTTCCCCAACCCTACCTACCGATGAAAATGGGTCGACGAGCTTCACCCACCCCCTTACGACTGCTTTTTACAGCAGCGACTCTCCGAGTGCACACCGTACGAGCGAACATCCGGCCCTGATGGTCTCGTTCGCCTCGGCCTCGCGGTCTGCTGCGAGACTCGGGTTGACCTCGACCAGGTCCACTGCCACCAGGTTTCCAGTTAGGTGGACGCTCTCGCAGATGAAATCGCCCTCTCGCAGCGTCAAGCCTCCTCGAACTGGAGTTCCGGTGCTGGGCGCCCACATGGGGTCGAGTGCATCGACGTCGAACGAGAGGTGAATGGGTGTATCGGTGCCGATATGAGCGAGCGCCATCTCGACGACACGTCCAATACCGTGACTATGTAGCATCCCATGTTAGCTTTTTTCTTTTTTTTTTCCTGCTTCCCATCCCGCATATATATGCAAACAAGGGGGGGTGACCTACCGATCAATGTCAAACATGCTGAATGCCCTGATGCCGTTCTCCCGTAGAATTTTCTTCTCGCCGGCGTCCACATCCCGCAGGCCAATGTAGACGAGCTTGCTGACGTTGAGCATGTGCTCCGACTTGAGCCAGCCGAAGTACTCGGGCTTCTCCTCCTTGGCGAGGCCCGACACGAAGGCCACGGGCATGCCGTGGATGTTGCCCGAGTCGCTCGTCTCGGGCGTGTTGATGTCGGCGTGTGCATCGACCCAGATGACGGCGATCTCGCGCCCTAGCCTCTCCCTGATGGCCTTGGCTGTGCCCGCGATGGTGCCGATGGCGATCGAGTGGTCGCCGCCGAGCGTCAGCACCATCCTGCCCTCTTTAGCGTGCGAATACACCTGCTCGCTGAGTCGCTGCGTCACGGCGCTCACGGTGCCAGGGTTCTTCATGTTGCGGTAGGGCGGGTCCTCTTTGGGCACCAGGTCGTTGTAGGCATTGACTCTGTCGTCGCCGTGGAGCTTGTAGTTGAGCTCATTCTGCAGTTGGGCGAGGAGGCCGGATTCAATGAGGGCCGAGGGAGCGGCGTCCACGCCGGATTTGCCCTGGAGAACAGTGCCTGTCAGTAGAGCCACAAGCATTCATCGGTAGCAAATTTTCGTACCTGGCCTCCACTAAAGCCGACGGCCACCACTCCAATGTCCTCCGGGTTGGAGAGGAACTTGGATTTCACCATGGAGGTGTTCATTCTTGGTAGATGCTGTGTCGGGCGACGTGGGGAAATAGGGCAATAGAAGACCAATGTAGCCTGAATACTAAGTAACGCCGTTGGGTTGCTATACAGAACAGAGCAGAGCAGACAGGAAGGACAGGACTGGATAGAGCCGGGACAAATCAATGGTCTTAAATAAAGAGTGAAAGAATGAAGAGAGAGAGAGAGCTGTTCTGCTTCTACTGTTGGCTAAATTCTGTCGCTAGGGACAGCGCTATTTAAGTACCTACAAAGAGCCGAGTCACGGACTGACTGATTGACTGGCTGGCTGGCTGGCTGGTAGTCTGTCTGACCGACGACTGACGTCTTGAAGCTCTCCCCGTCGACAAGCCGATCGACTAATCGACCTTCCCATCCCACGTTGGCTTTTGCCCACTGGCGCCTTTCCAAGGTTATTAGTTGAATCTGATAATGCAGATCCCAGGGTCCCCCCTGGACGTGCAGTTGCAGCTCGCGCCTCTTTTGACACGGCTCTACTGTATTTTCCCTAGTGTTCCTCTTGTTCTAGAAGCATTCTATCCGCTGTCCCGCTGGGGTTCGGGAAGGCAGGTAATGAACCCCAACCGAGGCCCTCCATCCTTTCTCCAACTCGTCCGTGATGGTATCAATCAGGAAGCTCGATGGACACGTAAAGATACGGGAAGTTCCTAGCATCTCCATCTAATATCTGATGCGTAGCACCATGGATACTTACTTACGAAGTAGCAGGTAGAGTCAGTCAGCAGCCTGTCGTTGGTAAGCTCGGCTTAGGGCGGCACATGCGGCAACGCGTAACGATCGGGCGCAACGACGCACAGAGAGGCCCGGGATACAGGGCATGGCGGCCTCCCGGCTAAGTACAGCAGAAAAGCTTCCAACTGGATACTTACTTCGCCTAGGTATCTCTGCCGTAGACTTGCCAAAACCAGACAACCCGACAGCTATCATTCGCTTGCTGGTGCCAATGCCCTTGGCTTATGTCTTACTCCTATTTGTTCTGTGCTTCTTACCCCACTCCAAGGGCTCCAAGGTCTAAGTCTCACAGTGTTTAGCGTCGTGGATAGTGTGTCTGTCTGGCTCCAATTGCCGGTGACGATGCAACCCAAGGACCGGAAGCATTTCACCTGGACGAGACGCTACCTTTAAGTACTTAAATAGGGAGATGTGTAGGTAGGTAAACAGACCCCTGAATGACCTAACTCGGTTGCGAAATAGACAAGATATATAACAGATATATACCACTTAACTACAGTTAAATTACGTAGCATTCTGTCACTCATGTTCGTGCCGCGTCTTCTACGCATCTCGCCGTCATGTCCCTTCGACTCAGCTCAGTTCGCCGGATTCAGGAGAAATGTGGGGGACCAGAGGCCATTATTACTATGACTCCGAACTATGCAGAGCGTCTCACGAAAGGGAAAAATAAAGAGGCCGCGTCGACCCGAAGCTTTCCCTCTAAGTGACATATCTCCTAACAGCGCTTTCCCCCTAAGTGATAAACGCCCTCGCGCGCGCTGACAACGCTTTCCCCCTAAGTGACAAACCTCCGGGCCCCGAGCCAAACTTGCCGGCGTTGCCAGCTTCCCAACACATAATCAACACATAATTGTTACCACATCGCACGCTTCATCCCAAGCCACGCAGGTTAGTTGATTGTCCGTCGGTCAATCAAATCAGCGCCGGAGGAAAAATTGCCGCATCTCATGACCCGTCATCTGACCGCGTCTTTTCTCACCGCTTTATCCCGAGAAGTGTGGTCTTGTCTTTTTCGGCGTTTCTATCATGGCCTATTTCACTTTGATGCGCTGTGAGTTAAGTAAAGTATGGAACATCGAGCGATAAGATGAAGTCATTCTACTTTCTTCGCGTGAGCTTGTTGAAGATTACCTGCTTAAGTACAGTAGTTTCAGCCCCATTTTGCATAGTGGGTGGAGATTGGTGAGCTTACATAAGAAGAACTCCTCATCGCATCTGCAAAGAATCGAAAGGTTGCGAATGTCTTTCATCGTGTCAACTACGGAGAACTTTGACTTTAGAATGAGTCTCGATACAGTCACGGATAAATTTAGGCGTCGTGCAACTTTCACTGTGCATGACTGTTACACATAAGTAACATTCTTCGAGACTAAATATACTTAAATTGCCCTTGTTGATGCGGAGAGGCGCAGACCCTGTTACAGGCGCTGAACGCGCCAAAAACCCTTGCACGCTTTTGGGATGCAGGGCAGGTTTCGTCATAGCTAGGACAGTCTCAATCACACCGACATGAGGCAATTTATCTCTCACTAATATGAGTCAAACCGCTGGAACTTGAAGGTCAGGAAGATCGGTCGAGTCTTGGCAGCCACGACAGGTTATGAGATTGTGAATAGCTTCGCCCTATTCCCAACCCTTGTTTTGGAACACGACGAGTTGGTCTTGGTAGACGTTGGGGCGGGAACCAACTCTAAACTACTTAGCTACCAAGTTATATTGAGCATCCTACTGTCCAATATCCCTTATCGATCCGGCAGCCGGAGGTTACCTCTTTCGCCTCTCTGCTATGAATATCTAGAGTATACCAACTAGGTATAGTAAGGATGGCTCCTCCACTACTAAACTGAGGGTACCTCCACTTGACCTTGAAAGTCCCGTATATTGACACTTCAAGGGCACCAGGTTGGCAGCGGCTAGGCCGCGAACAATCACAGTTCAACTATGATTATTCTTGAATCTTTTCACTTCTAAATGTTCTACCCTCTAGAGTAGCAAGAGGTGGTTTACCTTCACTTTATTTGATCACTTCTATATAAAGCTTCGTAGGTAGTATTCAAACGTGCCAAAGTACCTGCAGGTCAGCCCAACAAATACACATACTTAGGATCTTTCCCCGCTGCTGTTATATGTACGATCGCAAGCTTGCATATGAGCAGATCAGGCAACTTTACACCTGCTCATACTTCACTGTATTCACAAGTATGGAACTTATTCTGAATATTGCAACTAAACTCATACACCATCGACAACTTTATTATGTTCTTTTTCGGCAGCGTCATTTGATCATATTTAATCAACACCATGAGCGAATTACAATCAAACGCTTCTGAGAAACGGGGGAGGCATGGCGATTCACAAGGTGACGATTGGGAGCTGCAAGACAATACTAAAACAAACGCTATCGAGTCACGAACGACCATGAAGGCAAGAACTGTGGAACGTGCATCATCCATGCCGCCAACATCTGGTTCTCCGACTATGTATCACTTCAACCCTTTGGCAAATGGTTATATCCGAGTACTTCAACTCATGCCACATCCGGATAAATCTGCCCCGATACAATGTCAACTCATCGATCACTCTATTCTTGACGCAGACCCAGGGGCAGGGCCCCATCTCTATGAAGCTATATCTTACGTTTGGGGCTCATCTGAGAAAGCTTACAAAGTCTATACGGAAAGGGGTTTCATTCCCATCACGCAAAATCTTCACGCGGTCCTGTTACGTCTCCGCGATTGCACCTTTCCACGAATCATCTGGGCTGATGGTATTTGCATCAACCAAAATGATTTGGCGGAGCGTGCCTCTCAGGTTCAAATGATGGCAATGGTATATGCGAAAGCAACCCGTGTGACTGTCTGGCTTGAGGAACCACAAGGAGGTAGTTGCGAACTCGACGGAGGAACCATAACCAATGGCGACCAAGCACTGGAAGCGTTACGCGTTGCTGCACAGAAGCAGCCCACCAATTCTCGTCAAGTCGATAAAGTACTCGATCAAGCAGCCCAGAGAGAAATTCTCGAATTTCTGCAGCGCTCATGGTTCCAGCGAGTCTGGGTAAGAGAATAGCTAATCAAAGAAGTCTGTGGATACTATTAACAGTTTTGCTTTAGGTACTCCAGGAGATATCTGCAGCCCGGCAAATCCTCGTCATGACTTGGAGCAACGAAATTGAGGGTTACGCGTTTTACTTAGGCTTACTAGCCGTTAATGTCGCCTTGAAGGACTATAACACGCAACATCTAGTCCATTCTCTGACTTATCTGCTCGAGGACTTGCTCTTCCGACCCAAATATGTCAGTCCTCGCATGAACAGGTTTTCCCTCGATATGGCACCTCTCGGTCAACTAATTGATCTCTATTATACCCGAAAAGCCACCGACCGCCGAGACAAGGTCTATGCCTTGCTCGGAATGAGTTCTGACATTTACAGCCCACATAGCCTATCGGTTAACTACACGATCTCATGGGGACACCTCTTTCGTCAGCTCGTTCAGTTTGTTTTTGGCCAAGAAACATTCGTAGACACTTGGGACGAAGAAGAGGTTGCACTGATCAGGACCAAGGGCTATATTGTCGGCAGAGTAACGGGGCATTCAACTGGAAATAACATTGGATCGAGTGGGAAAACCCTTCTGTCTTTGAGCACTGTGTTCTCAAAACGCCTCAAGATTTCAAAATATTTACCCAAGAACTATATTTGGACAGCCCCTGGTCCTATGTTCTTTGATTATTCATTTAAACCCCTTCCCAGGCCTCTACGCCAGGGGGATATTATTTGTTTCTTGGAAGGAGCATCCGAGCCAACAATCATCCGAATGTATAAGGATTATTGCGAGCTGATTACTGTCGCTCTGACGAATACTGGGGGCGGAAATTCTACGATACCATTCGATATGCTACGAGACCGTATAATACCTGAGCAAGGCTCTCCTGTGGACCTCCTGCTTCTTTGGGATTGGAATGCTCCCTTGATAGTTCCAGACAACTGCGAGAACTACGAGTTTCTACAGCATCGAGTAATTGATCGCTTAAATAGTAAGCCCCGAAATCACTCAGGTGAGGCGGCGAGGCTCCATATCACGGGTTTGGTACACTTGGACTTGAATGAAGAAACGGATGCGTGTGAATTGCTTCTAAGAGCAATCAACTGTTATGAGAAGGAATTGGGAATAGAGCTTCCTGATGTACTGAAAGCTACAGATCTTCATGGTGAAGGTACAGTCCGACGCTTGGCGATAATAGGGAGAATTCTCGGTCACAAAAGTGACGGCCTCAGCATCACACAAAATGATATCCTTGAGGTCGCGATGGAGCATGATGTAGAGCTGATGAGATTACTTCTTCGCCAGAAGGGGAACGAGGTCCAGATCACTGAAGCGGCTCTCGAAGAAGCAGCTGGAAACAAGCTTTTCGACATCGAAATAATGACCTTCCTTGTTGGAAAAGCTGAGAAAACCATGATTAACGAAAGAGTTCTTATCAAAGCAATATGCTCTGGCCGGAGCATACCAGACCTAGTAGAGCTACTCGCCTTGCTTCTTCGCCGTCAGGGCGATAAAGCCGCTGTCACAGAGACGGTGCTAATGGAAGCAGCACGACAAGGAGTGGGCGCAGCAGACATCATGACCTGCCTCCTTGCCCAACAGGTCGACAAGCCTTAATAACAGATCAAGTTCTCACGGAAGAAGTACAATAAGGAGAATATACGAAGGGGTTATTAATCGTGTTGCTGACAGAGGTCCTTGCAGCAGCAACAAAATAAGGGAGAAACACAGAAGGGTTGATGAATCTACTCCTTAGCCAATGATTTGGGAAGCTAGTTCTGATCAGAAGAGAGAGTCCTTGAGTCAACAATTCGAACGGAAAGAACACACGAAAAACTCAGTCAGCTTATCATTCCATGAGATTATATGAGCGTCATCCCAGAACAGGCACCCAGGAAAATAGTGTATAACAGACCAGTGTAGCGCAGCTAATTACAAGGATGTAAGACAACAAAAGAAACCCTCTCAGAATAGAATTACAGCTTTAATTCCGCTTAAGAAATTTAGAAAGACCCTTGCGCAGCAATGAAAATTATATGCCACCTTATCCGGCATTGCTGGCATCTTGGAATAAGGGTAATTAGCATACAATGAAAAAGAAAAAAAAATTAGTATTACTTTTCTGGTAATATCATAATGAGGTTATTGCTAAGGGAACGCTTCAAAAGAGCAGAGCTAAATGGGCAGCCTTAGGATAGATAAGCAACTCGGTGGGACGGGTGTGTGAAATAGGCTATCAGCCGCCTTTCAACCTCACAACATCACGCTGTTGACTTCATGTACCTATCTTGGTAAACCTATCAGATGAGTCCCAGACGTATGAACCTTGTGGATATTCAGTTATCGCGGCCCGGAGATGTAATGATGAAACCTTAAAGGGTAAGAATCGCGGAGCGATATATAAATACATATATTCTTCATTTCGCTATGAGCCAATGAGTATTCAGTTAGAGGGATCCAATTTGGCCACGCTAGCATAAATGACTTAAAGGCCTAAACAGAGTTTATTATACACACTTGTTTCCTTGCCCTAAGCAAGACATACATGGTATGCACCATGAATAGTAGTGAAACGTTATAGTATATTAAATATCATTGTGCCCAAAACAATGAGGATGACGGTGCATTATCTTGCTGAGTACGAAATGATGTACCATAGGTATAGTAGCCGTAGCAATATTTATAATCAAACTAGTCTCTTCTTTACTAGCTGTTAAAAAATAAAAAGATAAAGCGCTCATTCCGTTAGCTTTTATATCCCGCCCTTTATAAATAAATGCTTAAGAATGGTTTAACACATCAATTGTGAAATACGGATAAACTTTCATTTATAAAGAGCACAGATTATCTATATTAACAAAGCAAGGGCATGTGTATGGTACTAAGAATTTCATGAATTTGTCGTGTATTTAGAACCTATGTTTTCCATCTTCTAATGTAAACAAACAACTAGTGAATCCAAAACTCTCAATATCTAATTACACCCATCTTACTGCAATATCCCACCCAAAGGCAAGACTCAGCAAGACCTCGCAACGATGCAATCCTCGTACTCCGATCCCTCATCACTATCAGCACCATCAGTACTATCAGTGCCATAACTCCCATCAGCCTCTTCAAATTTAGGCAACGGAGACCGCGCCTTTACATTGTCAGTCTTCCTGAAACTATACTTATACCGGGGGAACAAGCGCCTATGATTCTCCTTCTCCCGCGCCGCCAGCTCACTGAAATACCGCCGCACGCTCACATCCTCCATCTTCCAGCTCGCGCCCACGATCCTCGAGACCTGCGCATTCTGACTCACGGGGAGCAAACAATACGCCGCCTTCCCGTACGCCACGCGGTACAGCATGAACGGGTTCAACGGACGGCTGATCTTCCCCCGCGTGATGCGCCCGTCGGCGCCGCGGGACACGAAGGATTCGAGATCGACGGGTGTGAAAGATGGCATTGTGCGAGACATGATGCTCAGGGGAGACGTCAGTTGCTCGGGCTGGAAGAATGAGGGCGAGGACAAATGGGCGCGGAATCTGGACTTGCGGAGGGCTTTTTCCCGCGCGGCTTTTGCGCGGGATTTTTCCTGTTCGCGGGCGACGCGTGAGGAGAGAGAGACATGGACTACGCGGTTGCGGAGGGAGTATGTACTACGTAACACGCCGTCAGATTTCAAGTCAACGTCTTGCACGGGTGAGAGGGGTGCTTCGATGTCTGTCTGCGTTGCGGCGCTCACGTATTGGCTGTAGTACGGATACTCTGAGGCTGCGAAGGGGGGGTAGTTCGGGAGCTGCGGGTCGAGGAAATACCCCGGTTGATAATTGGGCTCGAGAGGACCCGAGGGGTATGGCTCTGCGTACGGAGAGTAGTACTGCGGCATGCCATTGTTAGTGTAATCGTAATGGAACGGGAAGTCTGTGAAGGAAAACTCTGCCTGCTCCTCTCCCATTTGAGAGGGCGATGGGGTGACGGGGCTGTCACTGATGAGTTGCGGGTCAATGAACTCCATGTTGGACATGTTGTTGGAGCGGTGCTGAGTTATCTTCGTAGATTTGACGTTCGTGTAGTTAATGGTTGTTGATGTTCGCAGTCTCGAGTTGGATTACTTGTGTTGTTTGGATGTAGTATCACGTATCAGATCATGTAGAAATTACAACACTTTATATATCACTTGCTACTCACTCCAAAGAGAAACTCTATATCAAGTCTTCAAAGAAAACGGACTTTGCAATTCAAGGCATTGTTGCTGTCTTTGTGTTCATTTGCTTGTTTACCTTTCACGAGGAGAACATAGGTCTTGTTCAGTCTTTTCACTTCAATCTTCCTTGGCTCAACAAGTATTCAATAATTATGTGAAAGAAATTGTGCTCCGGAGAAAACAATAGCCTTTGATACGTTTTTGTTTTATGCTCATTTGAATTGAGTCCAGTACTCTGGTACGTAGCCATCCATGAACTCAACGTATTCCTCACCAGCATTAGCCCAACCTTTGATGCCGCCCGTGAGGATCACGCTTTTCATGTTCGCGTCCCCTTGTTCCTGAATATGATCATTGAACCAACCCGCGGCGCGAGTCCCACGACCCTGTGACGAGCCTAAGGGAAAAAAAGATCTCAGTCTTAATGAAGTACTGGTTTGCGCTGGTGACGACTAACCGCAGAACCAGATAATGTATTCAACGCCAGCACTCTTGAATAATTTGTAGAGGGTAGGAATAGTCGGGTAGAGTGATTGCGCGGGGAGATTGATGGCCCCGCGGACCGTGCCGCCCTGAGTTCGGTGTGTAAATGGATAGATAGTCTTGGAGAGCGATCATAGACGCACCTCGTAATCGTTGCGGCGAACATCGACAACTATAAAGTCACGTCCGGCACCACCTGCGCGTAGCTTCTCTAGGACTTCATCCCGCGAAAGCGACCCCGGCTGGGTAGTTTTCGGGGCAGGAAAAGCTGTGTGCCATGGCTGTTCTGATTGCATGGTCGTTGATGCGAGGATTTCCCCAAGGTATCAATCAATAAGATCACGAGGCAGTATGGGCTGATAGGTTTTGTATGGTTTTGCACAAGTTAATTAATTACCTAACATTGGATGTATCGAGGGATGGTCTTCTTCACTTCGACAGGTGAGGGAATTCGGAATCCACTCCCTCACCTTCCCCTCACGGCTGTTGACCTCGCATGATTGGCTGTGAATAGTTTGAGGTTAGGTAGTTTTAGGTAACTTTAGTCTAAATGATGCCGAATTGTGCTGTTGTCATAGGCCAGCATGAATCGCATACTTGTAGCTACATAATAATTCTTTAATCTGTGCAGCACAGTATCTCGACACATAAAAGAGCATACTGCACTTTTCATGGAGCAATTCAGTTTGCTCAAAAAGTCCACAATCTCATTACACTAGGTTCCAGATTCCGAAGTTCCGTGTCATTGGACTGTACGCTAAAGGTTCCCAAAAGAATCCAGTACCAAGGCACCGTATCGTTCCCTCCACACGGCGTCTAAATTTGATTGCATGTCGTACCGGCGGCTCCGTGCCCTGGACGACATAGCCGCAAGGGCCTTCAAGGCAGTCTACACTAGATACCTAACCTAGCTGAAAAATGAAAAGATGGGACGATGGCGTATTCAAAGGTCTATCAATGACAAAACACTGTGCTGCTGGGACGATGTATTCTTAGCGCTGACAGGACGCCGACAGTCCGGAGATGAGGCGAAACCTGAAACACTTGGGTTTGGGTCGTGGTGAGTATAAATCATGAGATAAACAAGGAGCCGGGCTTTTCAATAGTTGTGGCCATGATGCCGAGACAGGCTGATGTAAGACTCGTTGCCTGTACCTTTCTCTTTCTATACTGTATTCTAGAAGATGAACAGTACAGGTTAGCCCAGAACTACGTAATACTTGCTTACTTAGAGCTACAGTACTATTTATATTCAGGTGAGAGAAGCTCGATAGGTAATGTGCGATTCGTAGTAGACGCGCATAGGTACCGGTAGTCAGGTCGTGCAGCGTGCTGCAGTGTAGATCGATCAACAGATGTGCCGACATGATCTAAACCTCCCGTTGCAGGGCACCTAGGTAAGATATTTGCATTGGTATCTGAGACAAGTATAGGTATCGTCGTCTTCTACTGAGCTTGGTTACGGCGAGAAGAGGCCATCACCATGTCATTATTTACAAGAACAAGTCAGTCATTGTACGTACATAGTAGTAGTCAGACATTGCCACTCTCGCCACTGTGCTTCTCGAATGATAGACGGAACTATTCGTACACTATGGACTCGATAGAATTACTGTGTTCGAGACAGAGCGGAAAATAAAATAAAAAAAGAATCCACGAACATGGCAAAAGAACAACACTGGAAGACGGGAATGCGTGTGCCAAGCTTGCGGTAGGCAGTTAGGCAGTTCGCAGCGCTTTTAGCGGGCCGTTTAGCGCCATGTACAATTGTCAGTGGCGCCTGGGCTAGGCCTGATCGAGGTGGAGAGGTGTCGTGGGCAGCAACCGAGGCGCTGGAAAGGGCGCTGAAGAGGGCGCTGAAGAGCCACTGGAGCCACTTGGAGAAAGGCCTGAAGACAGAAGAGGGTTAGTGGGTTTAGTGGAGGCGGGTTCACGACAGTGGAGTTGTTACAGGGTCTATTACAGGGGGGAAACTTCGTCGGAGCGGGTATGTCGCTGGATGTCGCCGTAGCAACGCGCGCGCAACGCCGTGGAAACGTCAGTCAACATGCCTGGCCCTGCTGAAATGCCATCACTCGATTCATTCTCATATTCCGAGGCTCGTCCGCATCGAGCAGTCAGCCCGTCTACAATCCCGAGCTAGCTTTGCCTACATTTCCCTTTTTCTCTCTTCCAACTACCTATCTATCTATCTACACTACCAGTTCAACTCCATCCATCCATCCATCCATCCATCCACATCCCCATCTTTATCCATCCCATCCCATCCCATCTCCAATTGCATCGCCAAATCCAATCCAATCTAGAAAAGTTGCGCATTTGATACTCGCCTAATAGACACAGGCTATACTTACATCTCTCTACTATCCAGGTCGCTTGCTGAGTTCCGTATTGCTTGCTGAGGACATTCTAAGACTCCCGTTGCCCGGCTAGCCTGGCTTGCGCGCTGCGCGAGGTGAGTAAATTCACTCCAGAAGCCTGTTTCTGTCCTTCTCCTTCGCCATGATTCCTGTCATTGCGACGATTGGATACGCGAGGCATTTGTATAGCCTATCCAAGATTCGAATCCATCGCTAACAATGGACGCGCTCGCAGTTTCGGACCCAATTGATAGGCCATACTAATAATTTCGACAACTAACATCTATCGACGACAACAGCAACCCCCGTCCGGACTCATCTCCCATCATAATGCTGTCCAATCCGCCACAGAGCGGTCTTCACGCCAGAAACCGACAACACAGACGACAAAACTCAACGCCCACAGGATACGACACAATGAAGATCGCCACAAATCTGCCCAACATACAGCCGAGCCCCCTGCGCCCACAGCACACCCAGTATCAACAGCAGCGCTCCCGAGTAGCCCACCGCCGAGGCATGAGCCTCGATACTCGGCGCCAGATGCTGTCGCAGAAGAGGCAGAGCTATGGCATGGTAAGTAATACTAACAACAGCACAGGATCAGCAACCACACCACAGCATGTGGTGCGAGAAGCGCAGCAGCAACGCATAGCACGCCCGGGCCCCCAGCAAGCGTACGCGAACTTGGCAACCGACGAGAACTACCTGGTGTCGCCCGGCGCGACACCCCAGCTCCAATGCTTTGATCAGCAGTGGACTGATGGCCTTCCACTCCCCAGTGACCTGTCCATGGTATTTGACATGTACCCTGGATCCATGGATGTCATCATCAAAGAACAACAAGATGGCTATCCCAGCAGCTTAGATTCCCCTGATTTTGACTTGTTTCCCCAGAGCGCCATGTCTACCCCAACCATGATGAACTTCCAGGATAGCATGAATGGTGTCCCTGGCTGGCTGGCTGACAACAGTGCTGCTCAGTTCAAGCGGAGAGTCAGCAACGGGATCGCGGATAGAGTAAGCAAATTCGAGAATCTGAGTCAAGAGCCGTTACAACGGCCTCTTACACCACCAAAACAGAATGAAATAGGTGAGTAGTTTCCTAACCAGTCGAGGCCACAAATCAGCTGATCAACAATTCAGATTATTTCCCAATGACCCCTATGGAGACGCCTCAAGTAGGAAGTTTTGAGCAGACGCAACCTCCTCAACGATTTGTTGAGGGATATGATGAATCCAACGAGGAGACCGTAAAGCCTATACGGCAGAAAGCTAACCGGCGGTCGCAAACTATCTTTGACGAAATGCGGCAAGCAACTGAGTCGTTGACGATAGTACCGGAAACGCGGCGTGCCAACACCATGCCCACAAACGCCTCAGCTGTCCAACCTGCAACTTCTGTGCCGGAATACTTGGCTATGAATCACTCATCAGATACCGATCTCCGCATTGATACCAACAATGACGGGTTCCAGGGTCCATCGTACCCATCCAGCGCACGCTCCGAATACTCACAGCACATGTCCCCCGTCACCCCCAACATGAACAAATTCGAAGCCTTCGACTTCAGCAACCCCGAGTCTGATCCCCAGGCTATATCAAACGACATGCTTTCCGACGTCGCTTCATCCTCGGCCACCGAGAAACCATCCAGCCAGACATCTCACCACCGGCGCACAGAATCCGTCGCATCTCTAGCTAGCGCCGCAAGCATTGCCACCATAGACATAGAGAGCACCAAGACCGTCACGGGAATCACGCTCGAAGACATCCAGCAATACATCGAGGGCCCCGATCCGAAGGACAACAAATGGATATGCACCTTCGAAGACTGCAACAAGAAGTTTGGGCGCAAGGAGAACATCAAGTCCCACGTCCAGACCCATCTCAACGACAGACAGTTCAAATGCCCCGCGTGCCAGAAATGCTTCGTGAGACAACACGATCTAAAGCGCCACGCGAAAATACACACGGGGATCAAACCATATCCGTGTCTCTGCGGGAATAGCTTCGCGCGCCACGACGCGCTGACCCGGCACAGGCAGAGGGGCATGTGCATAGGCGCCTTCGAGGGGTCCGCCCCGAAGAACGCCAAGCGCGGACGGCCGCGGAAGCCGAGGCCGGAAAACGAGGAGCGCAGAGAGAAGGCGTGCAGGACGAGGAGGAAGAACAAGAGCGTTTCCTCGGTGTCCTCGATAGGCACGTGCTCCGACGTCTCGGCTGCTACGTCGCCCGAGGAAGAGATGAACGAGTTTGACCTCATGGAGGACGTGATGGATGTCTCGCTGGGCGGAACCACGTTGAACCCGAGCAGTCTCCAGTCCATGGGGTCGTCGGCGCCGATGCCCGCGCTCGACGCTGCGTCGCCTTCGAGCATCCATTCGTATTCCTCGCGGGCCACGCCCCATTCATCCGCGGATCTATTACCCCCTCACCATTCCCCGTCCTCGCCCGCCAGAAGTATTACCAGCGCCGTCAACGACCCGCCTGAACTCACGGACGACTCATCGCCGCTGGCGACGCAGTACTTCGACATGTCTGAGCCCGGCCTGGACGCCATGATCTCCTCGGCGTCCGACATCTCTTGCATTCCCACCCTGGGAGGATCGAACGAGAGCAGTCTGATACTCGAGTGCGACATGTTTGGCTCCTCTGCCTCTGCTTCTGCCGCGGATGTCGCGAAGTTCGAAGACGCGTATGATGGCGTTGATATGTTCACTAGTCATGATGATCTCATCTTTGGACATTAATAGCGAAGCTTTTGTAATTTTTTTCATTGCAGGGCTCGCTGGCTATCAGATGTCTGGAGTGTCTTGTTCGTGTACTGTCATGGGCGGCGTTTGTGTGCTTTGGAAACTATGCGGACCGGATGAGCGATGCGATGAGATGCTCATGCGGATGTGTAACAATTGCTCTAATCGGATCCGATGGTGCGGAGAAAAGTAATGGATGGGTGTATGATAAGCTAGATCTGCTTGCTTGCTTGCTTGCGAAAGAAAAGGGCGACTACTTACCTGCTTAACTGGTTTCTTGTCGTTGGGTTGCGGGGTTGGGATTGCTGATTTGATTTTGAAATGGAAAGGGACTGGGACCGAGCTGGCGCCATGTACAACCATAAATCAACGCGTGCCTACCTATCTAAATGAAATGGGTAAGGAGCGCGGGCTTGTACGAGGCGTTGATGGGAATCTATGGGATCTAATGGGTATGGATATCGGACTTATTAGAGGACTTGATTTGATTTGAGTATTCGAAGAGATACTTATTTGAGCGTTGACATGTGTTGTCTTGAAGTAATATTTTTGATGGACGGATGGATGATTGTTGATTGAAAATGTGAACCTAATTAATGGTTTCTGAAATTCGATGAGTTCGGTATGAACAAATTTGAGTGTTGTGACTGTGAGTGACATAAGTCGCGTGAACGAATGAGTGGCTTGAGTAACTCGATGTGTTTTGATGCGAAATGACTGACGCCCAGTGCTAGGAGTGAGTGTAGCTAGAAGGTGTAACAACTTTTTGATGGAGGATTTTGATGGAAAGCAATATTTAAGTTCTAAGCTAACGTTGATCTGCTTTCTTATTTTAGATGTATAGTATATATGCGATCAAGTTGGTGGATGTATTGATTATATAGCCTGTGATAACACGTTCTACACTGGTAACTTCTCGTGTGGACAATGAGTCAGCAGTATGCATTAGCCTCGCGCTGATAGTGACGATCAGGTCGAGTTTTGTATAATAATTCCATTCGCACTCTGATGATCACCGCCCACGACGTCGAGGCAATGCTGGGACTCAAGACGCCCTACAACTCGTCAGCCCCAACATTCATCTATTCCTCAAATTTTCACCGTTCAATATAAGCATTAGCATTTCTGCCTATATATTGCACCAACGCAGCTTCGATTCAGGTCTGTTAGGAGCGTCTATTCGTATTGGCTGGTGTGGTACGGGCGTTGCTAGCCAGTTGAATGCGCTTAGAAACACTTCACCATTGAGCTAGCTGAACGCCTACTACTTTCCACATGACGGATATCCCATTCCACCTACATCAGCCACTGAGGTCACCGAGATGTATCCGCGTACTAAACATCCAGCCAGCAAAGTTGTTGGAAGCGCCCATTCAATGCACACTTAGTGAAATTAACCTTGACGAGATTACATTCCCAACGCCATACGAAGCCTTGTCATACGTGTGGGGTGGTCGTGTTAGAACTGTTCCAGTTATATGCCACGGAATATGGCTTTTAGTAACTCCTAATTGCAGAGATGCGTTAGTCCGACTTCGAAAAAGTTCAGAGGTTCGTTGCCTTTTTGTCGATGCTATTTGTATCGACCAGCGCAAAGAGATCAACAGCACAAAGGAGAGAGAGAGCAACTAGTCAAGCTTATGGGTCAGGGTTTGTGAGTAATTTGCGAACCACTTTCATATTTTATCCAATCATGAGCTTCATAGTGCAAGCCTGTGAAATCTTTGCATTGAGGTTTATGTATTGACCTGATGCGATATAAACAGACTCAAGAGCTACAAGAGTTGTTATATGGCTTGGGCCTTCCCGAAAATACACAGGCAGATTATTCAAACTCTTGAAAGTTGTCTAATGGAGCAATAGGTATAGTGACTACTCGTATGAAGCTAGGCCCCTATGTGCACAAATCAAGCGAATTATCTCTATACATGATCAGCATGTTAATGAAGCCGTATTCCTTCCTCTTCACCAGTAAATTGAGCGCCTCCTGGTACTCAGCCACCAAGGATACACGCGCAACTCAGCAACGAGTGGTACAACAAGAAATACTAAACTTGTAAGGCGTCATTATTGGCAATGTGGAATTTTTGAGTGAGCCTGGGTACATGGTAGAGGGCTCGCAACGTCTTCTCAATTATCGTGGGTTTGTGACTGCCTGTCGCAAATGGTGCCAACGTGTAGTATCCTCATTGCCCAAGCTAGATACCTAGAAAGCAGCACAACGAACTCTATTGTTCTCCTTTGTTCCTTCCCCATACACTTATGTTATACCCCGACTGCAAATCACTTAACGCAGAAAATCTCAGAGCCCGCGCTCAAAGGATTCGTGAAAAGGAAGATCTTGAAGAAATTCCAGACACAGACAGCAATTTAAATCCGTCGGTCGACCTTATAGGCCTGATTATGTGGAATTGCGTTCGAAACCATTAGAAGAAATGTCACCCCTCCGGTATCATTGCCAATTATCTTATGAAACATGCGGACTATGCATTTATGATATTGATCATTGATTATTTCACATGAGGATTCAGGGTTTGTAAAAAACACGATGTGGTTGCTCTTCTGGCCGGCTGCCCAGTTCCCGTTGCCCTCCGGCCTGACGGCAATAGCAGATATACGTTCGTGTCCCCGCTGTATGTGGATGGCATTGTGCACGAGGCTTGGCCTGAAAGTGAGTCTAAGTTAATCGAGATCGAGCTTGTCTGAGTTTATGATACGTGCAATACATAAATGGCTGCGATGTAATTAGGAATTTGGCCATTTAGTTGTAATTACCAGTTTCAGTCATAACCTGGCTAAAACACATCGCCCTTGCTATGTTTTACAGGTTAGACTTAAATATGGTGGAATAACTGTGTAACTTTCAATTGCACCCCGAGGAAATCCCTGTGCTAGAGGTTAACGGGACTCACATTGTGAAGTCCTCCTGCGTAGCGTATAATTCAGCCGAGGAACATATAGCTATGACACTACATTATCTTAAATCTGCACATGCATCAAAAGGCCAAAAATAGGCCATAAAGGCAGTTTCCTCGTTATCACCAGTTTTTCCTGTGAACTTGCATCATTTCCATCAACTAGTGGCTAGCGATCCTCCGAAATGGCGACTGCTACTGTTATAGACACTATTCCAACATCATGCGAATGCTTTACGAAACACTGAGACTAATAACACTTTCATAAATGAACGTATTATGTATATTTCGAATCGAATAATCAGAAGAAATCTCTCAGGGCATGGTATACTATACTTTCAACGAACGCTATGAACATCCAACCGAAATACAAATCATGACGCACCTACGCCAATTTCTCCTGGACGAGACGTCCCTCTATATTCCCGGTCGCCGTCTCTACGGCAGACGCAACATCTAGATGGAAGTATGGGCGATTAACGCTTTGCAAGGAAGCCAGATTCTCCGGCACCCTGATAGTGCCATCCCGACTGCACGAGGATATCCCATCCGCAGAGCCCGTCTCGACGTCTTTGTGCGACACCACCGCCCTCTCCTTCTCGGAATTATGTAAACCCTCAGAGCAAGCCACACTGAAGATCGGGCGCCAGATGGTACTTTCTGCAGGGGCGTCGGCTGAAACGCGCGGGAAGCCAAAGCCCGAGGCGGCCAAAGCGCGACGCGTCCAGCGGTTGCTCACGTTGGCGACGTGCCACTCTGCACGGTCTGGGTACGTGTGGTAGTCGAGCTGCGTTCTCGTGTCGATCAGGCCTTGAATTGATGTCACGTCGATGTTATTCACGGAGGAGAAGTCTAGGATGAGGGCGCGGAGGGTGGGGAGATCGTCTGCAGTGTCGATTACTTTCCCGCGACGGGGGCCGGGGTTGTTCCAGGGACGATCCTGTACAATAACATTAGCTCTAATTACTTCTGAGTTGATCTGAGGGAGAACCTTGGGAGTGGCTCTAGACCTGCAGGGATGTTTGGGTGTCTGGATGATGCACTTACACCTAGTTTTTCAAAGCGATCGACCGTGGTAGGGCGTGTATGTTTTTGAATGTACGCGACTAGCTCATCCATGTAATGTGACGTGTTCGTGTAGTTGAAGCCTTCGCTAAAGCGGTAGACAAAGATGCCAGGATAGGGGTTGCGGACAGCGATGCTCGTGTTCGAGCCATCTCTGCGTTCGAGCGGGAGGAACGTCTCTCGTTTGGTCGTTACAGCCGCCGCCTCGCCTCCCTCATTTGTATTGCTTGATACACGGTACACATCGACCTTGCCGAGGAAACTTCCGTGCGCCTTGGCGAGGCGAAGCAACAGCAGCGCGGCTGACGCGGCGACCACAAAGTAGATCCCGGTTTCAATGTCTGTGAACACCATGATGAGGACACAGGCAAAGAAGATCACTACTTCAATGGGCGAGACCTGCCAGAACTGGTACACGGTTGATGGTGGTGTAACGAGGTCGCCGACTGCGTGGATGATGAGGCCCGAGAGAGAAGCCATGGGGATGTAAAAGAAGACTTTGGTAAGTGCGTACAGGGCCAAGACGACTAGGAGAGCAGTCCACAGACCAGCAAGAGGCGTCCTGACGCCGGCTTTGGACTTAATCGCCGTGCGCGAAAAGGAGCCTGTGGCAGGGTATGCACCAAGGAAAGGCCCAAGCACGTTGGTAAAACCGACAGCGACGAGTTCCTGGGACGGGTTGATAACGTAGTTGTTCAGTCTGCCAAATGATTTTGAAATGGCAATGTGCTCAATGATGAGCACGAAGATGGTTGCCGGGATATCTGGAGCAAATGCAGAGATCAACTCCTTGCTGATCTTCGGTGCACCATGGACTCGAAAACCTACATGGGCACAACGGTTAGATAATCAGATGTACTAGGAATGAGGGGTTTGCTTAGACTTACCACTCGGAACAGTTCCAAGGATAGCGAATCTTGCCTTCTTCGAGTCAGTTACACTGCGGTTCGAGAGCCAGCTGATGAGAATGTAAAGCAGGATGACGAAAGCCAGTCGAAGAGTTCCGATGAAGAACCACATCTTCTTGCGGTTGGGTTGTCGCTGCGCCATGTAGTTGGTAAACCACTTGAGGAAATAGAGCATAAACAGGGTCGTTAAACCCAGGGCAGCGTCAATCTTAGCTGTTGGCAGCGCGCGCAGTGTGTTGATAATGACCAGATAAGTCGAGTCACGAGTGTTTACACCGCTGACGCCGAGTAACTTGGGAACCTGACCGGCAGCAATGCTAATAGCAGCACCAGTCATAAAAGAACAGATACCGATAAGAGGGATGAATTCGACAAGCCAGCCAAGGCGGACGAGACCAATGAAGAGCAAAACTGAGCCGGCGATGACGCTGAGGGCTCGTGCAATCTCTTCTGGCGCAAATTCGGGGTGCGCCTCCGTGACACGAGCGACAATTCGCCCAACAAGCGTCGACATGACAGCTACCGTTCCGATTGTGATATCCTTCGACGTAGCGAACAAGAAGTACAATATGAAACCAACGAAGGAAGTATAAAGACCATATTCAGGCTTTAATCCGGCTAGCAGGGCATAGGCCATTCCTTGCGGAACAACGACAAATCCTACTGTGATACCGGCAATGAGGTCACCAAATAGCCACTAGTAGTGAGCGTCTTAATTAGTATAGGAAGCTCGAGGGTGGGATAGTATGGTAGTCTTGAGGCTTACTGTCGTGTTATAATGGAAGATCCAGTCAAGAAACGGGAACAAGCTTCGAACGTATCGGATAAAGCCAGACAGGGTTGGTCTGTGTTCAAGGAGATACTCCTTTACTGTGGGCTCTGTCTCGTAATAAGGATCGATTGATCGGGACTGGAGGCTGGCCGTCGCAGAGTCGAGAAGGGCAGACGGCTCAGCCTTGTACCGTTGGTCGACGTCGATACCAACGGCCTTTGCGAAGCCGCGGCCGACTTTGTTGCCCGTCATGGCTATGATTATGTTATTCGCAGAGTCTTTACGCGCGAAGTGAATGAGTCTGGTGTACGGTGAGGGCCTTGTGGAATCTGGAAGGTCTGCTACTCAAGTTTCGTCACCAACTTGAAAAATCAGCTGCAGATTCTCTTCATACAATCAACCATTCTCTCTCAATACCCACGGCGCGGGCATCGTCTTATTATACTCCTCTATCATCACAAAAATTGCGCGCGATATCGTTCAACCACGGCGATATTTAGCACCGATTAGCGTGCCCAGACAGGGCCAGCGAGGATTAAGCATGCATCCAAGAAGTCAAGACTTGTTGCCCAGATCTTGGAAAGCCTCTCCGCCATAGAGGAGGTGTGAACAACTTCTACTGGCGATCTCATGGTTCTGGGTCGCTCGAATTGCTGGGATCAGCCGCATTCTTGCGTCAATTCTTCTCAGCGTGATGCTGCGTGGGGATGTCACCACGCCCGCCTAGCTCGTTTCCAGGCTGATGGGACGACAAGCTGAAGTAAATTGCTTTTGATCCTAACTGTGTGACGATGCCACGCTTTAATGATACGGTTGACTTCAAGGTGTGCGCTAACGGGGCAAAGCACCGGAAGCTCCAAGCGGAGGTAGGGGTCCGCGTCTGTGGCGCAATGCCAAGTATCACGACATCAGAGCCCAAAATGACGACGAACCCCTCTCCTATGTCTTAGTCTCTCTCAATGACAAAATCGCCCATCCATCATCAACGCCTCAAATCCCAGTGACATGGTAAAGAGGTCTTGTGAGCTGTTTCTTATTCTTTACAATGCCAGCGTTCCTGTTCGCCTAGACTTACTACGCGAGTTCTACAGCAGGATTGCCCAGCAATATAACCCCAGGGTTCAGATATAGGTGCATAATCTATATGCACATCTTGTTGACGCGAGCCATATCTCCCCTCATATGTATATTCAGTATTAGGAATTTGAACATTCGAAGATTCACATCAGCTATTTTCTACGAGGAAGTCCGGCATGTTAACTTACTGGTAATTATGTGTAACGCTCAAGCCAACGGAACTGCAATAATCTCGACGAACATACCACCATGAAAGGTCGATAACATCGAGATCTAGGCCTTTTGCAATCATGTACAAGGGACCCATATGGGCTAGACTGTTCAGCCGTCAACGCAGGGATACCATAGTTTGGATCTCCGTGGATGCTTCAGACCACCTAGCTCAACATGCCATCCGCCTTACGATGACGTGAAAACGCCAATGCGTTCTGTTCAGCTCTAGGTCTCTTCTAGTCACACAGCCGGTTATCTTCAATCGTTCGCTTGTTTTGATAGCTCTCTCATATCAATTTAGAGGAGCCTAAATGAGCGGGGTTGAAAGTTTTGCTGTGTGTGTGCCCAGGACAGATCAACCCATGAAAATGGTTTACTTGTGCTATGGAGCACATGTACTCAACCCTTGATGCGTCAGTATGGTGCTACGGTTAACTGCCGACTCAATTTTCTGGATAAGGAAGTAGATCAAGTGCCATTGAGGCCAAAATTATTCGACGCTCTCTGCACCCCGGGAAGACAAAGATGGGAGTCGCAGAGCTTGAAGGCTTTGCCACCCCAGATGCTACACCCCAAAATTGTCAATCATGATAGCAACAATGAAAGCATCAAGTGGCAATTAGATGAATAAGATATCTTTGTAGTAAGGATCGCCAGTGTTGAGTTCTGGGCTCTTCGGTTTGTCAAGATATCGAGCTTTGATATTAGTCCTCGGGGTCGCCTATTCGCTGATTGAGGCATTCCATAGATCGACGCTACAGCTAAGCTCACGCAATTCGCGCCGCAGTTGAGACGTATGGATCAGCACACCGATCTAGACACCATCTATAGCAGGCGTTCCTCATGATGTACAAATAGTTACATAAACGTACGTGGGGGATTACTTCTAATGATAGATAACTGATCTTACTTAGCTGCTTATCATCCCATGTCACCGCGGGCAGCGCGTTATAGATGGTGACCATGAGCAGGGACTACCACTATTGCTGAAAACTTACCAAATTGGTCTTTATTGAGCAGTCAATTCTTCAGCTAGAGGCATGCTAGCTATAGATTACATCACTGTAAACTAAAACGAGTTTGGGCCCATGTTGTATAGTTTCAAAAACCAAGGGATGACTCCTCTATCTTTATCGTTGGAAGATTTTGATCCTCAGGAATTTGATCCGAGCATGGGCATATTTAGCAATATATTTCTGCTCACACTGCTACTAGCTACTCGCTATTCTGAACTAGAATAGGACATGACAACTTGTCCGCTTTGTACAGTTTATTTGCTTCGTGGAGTTGCAGCGTGAGAGGTAGAAGGGAAATCTTAATGCTTTGGTTCCGATAACGGTCAATGAGGCGTCAACCCGGTGACCCTATGAGAACTTATTGAGGATAGCAAGGAATGGTGGCAAGAAGGTTTTATCAGCTGGGATTATTTTGACAGGGTGCTTTTTTTCACGATGCGTGACTTGTCTCGTCATCCTGTGTACTTTCCAGGTGCCAAGGTCTTCCCACTCTTTGTACTGCCGCACCCATTTTATCCCTTTCTCATACTGCGCATTGATCCATCTCGCAATTCATCGCTACGAGCATTATAGATCTGCTGAACGATATTCCATGAGATCTGATCGTTACCTTGACCATGCTACTGTTCTGGTTTAACTTGAACTTAAATTTTACATGGACCAGAGTCCCTTGGCCCCAGGGACTGCCATTTCCCCGACATGACTATACACTATTACGTCTTTACTGAATTCGTTGAGGGTTTTAACTTTACATCCTGTTACGAAACATCAATGCTCAACTAGGGATAATCCAGTTTATTATCTTGTCTTATCATTTGAGCTCAACATATCAGATGCGCCGAGCATCATAGCATTACCTTGAGGGATGAATCTGCTATGTTGCGAAGAACAAGATAGATAGGCTGAATACTGCTATAACATGATATGTCCGATGATGGGATTATAAGATGATCACTGAACGAATATCTACCAACTTATTACCCAAGGACGTTAATTTGGAGTGCTGAAGAGCAATCCCCGGTCTATATCGTATCGTGGGATGAACTAGTGTCTAGGCTCGAGAGGAGAAACATGTCTCTGATAAGATAAAGGCACTATGACCATGAGGTGTAAGCACTTGGCGCACTTGGCTTTGTGTTCTTGTTTGATATCCTCTCTTTAGAACGACTTCTATTGACAACAACTCATGTCCAAATAGTCGATAACGTGATATATCGGCAATTGTAGACGGTAGTTAGCGAAATGCTTGCAATAGCGCAACAACTATGCCATGATACGTCTTCACCAAAATCACCATCGAACAAGTTTCAAATGTATATATTTTTCTAGGGACGTTTGGGAGCTTCCGTATTCGCGGCACTCATCATAGTCCGTACAGTAAACCGGCGGTGACTGTTGGTTTTTCTAGCCGTGTTATTAGCTAGCAAACGCTCCATTTAGATTCTCAGCTAAGCTTTGCTGATAAAATACTAAAACGACAACGGCGTTATATTGGGGCTTCACGTCTTAATGCAGTCAGGTTGTCGGCATTTGCCATGATTCATTCTAGCATCAGTGACATCGGTGTTAGTTTTGGCAAGCCGCGAAAGGATGTGAGCCGACGGGAAAATGAGAAGCGGAATTTAGCTTCGTTATATCCATTATACCCCGCTTAGACCTCTGTTACGACACGAATCCAGCTTCTACCCGTCTGAGTCACAACCGCGGGTTGACAATTTCTGCACTGACTGGAGCCGCCTCGGGAGAACCCGAGATCTAAACGCATGCACAACTAGCTCAATGCGGACCTGTAGTGCCTCGCCCTAGCGCATAGCCATTATCCTGTGAGTTAGAAGAGTATAATTGAACCGGCCTCTTTAGCCATGTGTATACGGTCTTTTGAAAGAGGGCAATGGTGAGTCGATGGCCGATGGCGGTCTCAGCGTTTAGATCTAGGTACTTAATTATGCAGGCAGTGGAAGGGATCATGGCGATTTAGTGCTGACGTCAGTACTGCCAAGTAGCTAATTCAACTCGATCGCTGGACGGAGTATCGGACTCCCTACTATGTATAACAAAGTGTCTATCAGGGCAATCGAGGTCAATTGTGCCTGTTCAAGTTTTTCCAGGGATTTTTCATACATCTAACAACTAGATATGGCTCCTATTATCTTTACGACCTTCACGCGTAGTGTCTTTATAGCTCGATCGGTTGATACATAAATCTAGGGATATTAGCCTCACGCTGTGCTACAACACTAAACATAAACGGCCAATCAGCTTCAATGGGAAATATCTGGGGGCAAAGTGCAGAGCTCAAAGACTCGCGTGAATTGTGCCGTCTGGGGAGTCGATTTTCAAATTCAATCAGCTCTGCGTGAAGCGGTGATATGGGCACAGTAGTGGCACTCCAAAACAGTTCCTCGGTTCGGGATAACAGACCTTTCGGATATGTACGGCCGGAATATCCCTACAAGGCGGCGTTAAGAGGTAAAGGTCCAATGTTTTGGGAAGATTGGTTAATAACAATAACGCATTATCAGTCGATGGTGAGAACTCAAGTTGCGAATGGATTCTAACACGTGCTCGCGGGACAACTGATTACAAATCGGTATCGTACTAGGCAGTTACGTGTTGAAACCACAAGTATGTGTATGATCAATCCGACTGATCAAGGACGACCCCGGGAAAAAATGTTATAAGTAGTCCTACCAGTCGTATGTTTACCGCGATAGATGAGTGGAGTTCCGGTTTCCGTTCCCCACGTGTGTTAGTACCACCACAGGCCATGTTCCACCCTTGTACATACTTATGTCTGCGCTCTGCATCTGAGGCCAGTAGACCAGCATGGGCCGAGGTCACGGCTGAAAGTTGTTCTGCGTGAGATGGAAGACCCAGCCTGGCGGGTGGTCCTACTCTGTGCTGATCTTGCTTGTTTTCGACTGATTTAAGCTCGGATGCTGGACTATGTTACCGAATTATTCCTTTGAAGTTAACTCTGCGACCTGCCGAGAGGTCTTTCGGCTAATGAAAACAACTAGACTTTAGAACTTCAATTCACACGTAGATTGGCAGTCTCTAGAAATGACTGCGAGAATAGCCACTACTTGAAAGCTACTTGTTCTTGAATCTTAAGATATACAGTACTCAAGTGACCCCCGTACTATTAAGCCATACTTAAAGCAATGCTCCTTTAGATAAGTAGGAAAATGATAGCTGCGTTCATGATGAAACCCACTTCCCGAGGTTAAACGAGACCCAATAAAAGAGAGGGATGAAAAATAAATGGGACAGACCTGAATCCAGTGGTGGGGGCTGCTACTGCAACGAATATTCGATGCGTCAAAGCTCCCCACCTCGACTCCAATTCTTGTTGCCAAGCTTTGTTGACATGACCATTTATTGCAGCGGGTGAGCAGCCAAAAGTCTAATTTGATGATCTAAGAACTATATATATCATTTTCCATACTGCTCTGTGAACATCTGAAGTCAAAGATTGGTAGTCTATGACTTGGATAGAGCACGTTTTGTGATCACTGATTAGCAATGCCCCTCTGCTCGCGTGTATCGTGGAAATGCCGAAGCGCGAAGCTAAGCTTACTTAGTGTATGCTACCTAATCAGATGCGCACAAATGGGTAAATAAGTAACGGTATGTAGGTAAGTGGTGTCGACAATCTCGGCTCAATGCCCTTTTCTTCTGGCGTAGTGGGTTGGACAATGAGTCAATGGCACGCAAATTTAGGCCCGCTCTGACTCCTGTCGTAAGTATGTAGTCAGAAAGATGTATCCGCCCGCTCACCCCTTTACATCCACTTACTTTAAGTATATCGTCGAAAGTCGGCAGTTCCGATGATGCACAGCCTCTCTCTAAGAAAACTCGAGAGGGTTGGAACTGCTGGTAAGCAGCCCAGGTGTTCATTATGCGCAATCTAAGTAAGTAGTGTACCAGCGCTTGTTTCTCCCCATTGACGGTGGACAGGAGCTAGCCATCTTATCTCCGGTAGGATTGCAACTAAACTATGACCCTCCGAAAGTGGGCTTGTTAGCTCTTGATGAACACCATGGGAGTTCTGAACATGATGCGCTGTACAGTAGACGCAGACAAGTGGGTATTGCTAACAGCTGCTGATGGAGCCTTGAAAATCCCTTTTACTAATCGGGCCACCCCACAAGGCGGGTGCCCTTGACATGTATAGCTGTTTAAAGATGTAGGCTTTGCTCCCATCCTTTTCCACTCGAGCACTGACTCGAGGTTTACGGTGACTCTAATTATCCACGGCTCTCTCGCCAAGTGTGTTTTACTCGAGTCAGTCTTCAAGTCGAGTGTTAAGTGGAACCCTTCCGAAGGATACGGGCACTGGAGAAGCTGGAGAAGCTTCCCGCGATCGCTTCGCTGGGAAATAGGCTTGTTGGTACGAAAAGGACTACCGGCGTGCCCAGAGCGTAACTTCACATCATCATGGCCGAACCGGGGATTTCAGAAAAGGCCACTTGGGTCGAGACTAGTAACTCGCAGTCTGAAGGGAAACGCAGTCGCGCAACAAGCAAAGTATCAATCGCAGAGGATGACAGCAGCAGCCATAGTAGCGATTCTAGCTCGAACGGTCGCGTATCAGAAGACAGTATCGGCTTGGCGCCCTTGGACCATAGCATTTCACCAGCCCTGCAGGAAGTCATACAGATCCAGACCGCGACGAGTGTGGGCAGTTCGATAGCGCGACCAGCCGAATTCGAAGTCGACTTTGAAGATGGCGAAAACCCTAGAGAATGGTCATTCTGGTATCGAGCCTGGATGACGTTTGCGATCAGTTACTCTACCTGGATAGTTGTGCTGTATAGTACAGCATACACATCTTCTATACCAGGTTTAATGGAGGAGTTCGGTGTGTCGGATCAGACTATTGCGACATTGGGTGTGACGACATATCTTATAGGCTTGGGCATTGGCTCACTTGTCTGGGCGCCTGTTAGTGAATTGTACGGGCGCAAGCCTGTGTATATCGTTTGCATGGCCATATTCACACTTCTGGTCCTGCCAACGTGTCTTGCGACCTCGCTCACCGAAATCATCGTGGTGCGCTTCTTCGGGTATGTCGGAGCAATTAACCTCTTCTGGGATATCTGCTAACAATTGCTCTCTTCTAGTGCTTTCTTCGGCGCCGCCCTTATTGCAAACAGTGCCGGGACTGTTGTCGACATTTCAACGGAGGAAACCCGGGCGTTGGTCCTATCGCTGTGGTCTATCGCACCTCTGAATGGCCCGGTTACTGGACCTGTCATTGGCGGTTTCGTTTACCAGTATCTCGGCTGGCAATGGAATAACTGGCTCATTCTTATTCTCGCCGGCGCTGCTTCGCTCTCTATGTTGGGTACGGCAGAGACATACGCCCCTGCTATCCTCAAGGCCAAGGCAGCCCGCAAGCGCAAGGAGACGAATGACGACCGGTGGTGGACTCGTTATGACCTGAATCTTTCGCCATACGACCTTGTCAAATTGAACCTAACGCGACCATTCATTCTTTTCTTCACCGAGCCCATCTTGTGGTTCTTCAACCTGTGGTATGTTTCCTTCCTATATGTGCGTGCAATATGCCTCTCTAATTGGACATTAGGATCTCGATCGTGTACGGAATTTTGTATTTGTGCTTCGTAGCATATCCACTTGTTTTCAGTCAACATCGCGGCTGGTCACCCGGCCTGACAGGTCTATCCTTCGTGGGCATTGGTCTTGGCACGACGATCGGTATTGTCGGTGAGCCTATCTGGCGTCGGGTTATCAACAGCCACCCCGTGGACCCAGAAACAGGCCGCAGACCCCCTGAAGCTACTGCGCGCATTCTCGCCATTGGCTCCATCCTGACTCCCATCGGCCAGCTGGTCTTTGCCTGGACATCATTGCCCCCGACACACTGGGCTGTTTCTATAGCATTCGGAATTCCTTTTGGGCTTGGAAATTCTTTCTCTTTTATTTACGGATCTAACTATCTCGCTGGTGCCTATGGAATATACGCTGCTTCGGCTCTCGCTGGCAATGCTGTTACTCGCAGCCTGTTGGGTGGTCTACTACCCCTCGCCGGTCCCAAACTCTACGCGACACTCACACCACAGTGGGCCGGCACTTTCCTCGGTTTACTCGAAGTTGCTTTAATTCCTATCCCATTCGTCTTCTGGCGCTACGGTGACAAGATCCGTGCTAAGAGCCCTGCGATCAAAGAGCTCCGTGAGGATCAAGAGCGAATTGAGCGCAGAGCGGCGAAGGCTCAAAGACGAAAGGATAGGGCACAGCAGAAAAGCGCAGTCGGTGTCACCTCAGACCCCATCAAAAAGGAGGAAAGCGTTTAGGTCTACATCTGAATGGGAAATCGGCGTTAAGCTACACTGAATGATGTAGTTGAATGCAGATATGTTTGGAGGATAGGGAGTTGCATTAGCGGAGTTGGATTGCATTATAGATGGCACGTCATAATACGTCTTGAAACATGTCCTCACGGCCGGCACCATAGTACATAGTCATACTTGTTGAAATTAATATATATTAGATACCCTGAACCTACATGCTCTTGCCACAATGCCATTTGTCTATGCGCCTGCGAGATGATTGGATGTACATGAGTACAACTCCTTCTCGGCGCACAGAGTGACGTATCCTGAGTTTCATCTCAGTTATACCCCCAGTCAACTGGCCGAGTTACATTCTTCAATCATTTCGATGAGATGAAAAATTGCGTATTCAGTGACTCATTCACTGAGTACGATCAGTCAGCATCTTACAAGCTTTTTTTTACAAATATTCCATCTTAGGTACCTATCCTTGCGATTTGGACGTCAGATTGTAAATATACTTACAAGTTAATATAGTATCGGCTTATTCAACGTCTGTTATCGCTTTTACGTAAGGTGGCGGTATTGTCATCATTTGCGTTGTCTTATGTGAGCATAACGGATATATCTCAGTGTGGACAGCTTAGGTTAACAATTAATCTTTTCGGATAATTATCCATTCCTTTATAAACTCAAGCCTCACATTTTTTCTTCTCCATATTTCAAAGTGGTATTGTAAAGGTTTGAAAAATCTTTATTAATTAAGGGTTTATTAAGTTATCTACTAATGGCCATAAGTAACCATCTGGTTTAGGGGATTGTTGCATGCTAGCAATTAGGAATGCATATGCTGCATAGTCAGTGAACTCAATCCATATGTCAACTATAGATCATGACCACGCTCAAGATAGTTGATGAACTCGATCATCAACTCGGTCAATAGGTCTTTCAGCTCAAATTCATCAAACTGCATCCCTTCGATCCCAGGAAAAGTGACTTTCTGCTGAGCAAAGGTAGAAAGGGGAACAAATTCATATCTCCAAGAGTCACCTCTGCTTAGCCCGTTGCGAGCAACAGCAGCCTCGAGATCAGCAGTAGATTGATGTAAGAAGCAGCGGACCCTGTCTATATCACCACCACCGTAAACAAGGACTGACCTCTCAACTGCCGACTCTTCGCGGGTGAGGTCAATTCCTAAGTCAACCTCAGCGAAGGATTTGATAGCATATGTCTCAAGTTGACCTTCTCCCACCTGTCGACCTCGGATGTGAAACTTTCGGTCAGGTTCAGGGAGCGCATGGTTTTTGGCTACCAATACTTCATGGCCGCCGTTTTCAGCTTGTCGCAGAACCAAGAGAGCCACGTGGGTGCCTCCTTGTGTGGGGAACCCAGCAGGGCTTAGCAGACGATTTGAAAAGTGAAGCATGTTGGCAAGCGTTTTTGTGTGCTGTGAAGTAGTTGTGTATGCCGTTGATTGTTAATCAGATGGTAGTGATTGAGTGAGTTAGCTGATTTATTAAAGTCAGATGGCGTATATTTGTAGGCAATTGGTACAAACCATTTGTTTATTACATTAAACAGATTTCTTGACCTGTTTCTTAACAATTAGGTGATTTAGATGATAGAATTGCTGTTATTGTACATATAGTTAAAGCATAATATAATGTGTACTTTTTGTACGATATGCCCTTTCTGGCCTAACGCTGAGACAATGTGTCTAAATGAAGTTGTCAAAGAGTTATAAAGAAAGTGCAAGAATATAAGTCGGCAAAGGAATCTAAGTAAAGGGGGTATAAGGGAGAACTACACTTAAAATGGGTATACTAATAGAGGAATACTAGAGAGTCTTGCCTTACAATAAGTGTCGCGTCAATTTAAATTAATGATGAATTGCTTCTTGTATTAAATGCTAACTATTGACCTGTTCATACCTCTTATTCAAGAATTATTCATCTGTCACGATATAGGAAATCTTACAATCACCATTTCAGTCTGTGATATTGTGCAACATTGCAAAGTCAAGCCATATGAAGTTCACTGCTCTATTAGATTTCAATAACATAGGAACCCCTATTTCTATCCTTAATTATCCCCTTGTCCTAAAGGCTTTTATACCAACTTCAAAATTGCGTGCCGATTTAAACATTCGCTATAGCAACCACTGCTAACTATTACGCGATTGGTTGCGTTCCAATACTATTGAAAAGTGAAGCATATTGGCAAGTGTTTTTGTGTGCTGTGAAGTAGTTGTATGCTGTTGCTTGTTAATCAGATGGCGCATATTTATAAGCAATTCGTATAAACCATTTATTTATTACATTATGCATCCCCAAGGCCAGCAAATGTAATTCTCCCATCATCTTGGCATGATGACGAAGTCACTATCGTGGATGCTCAACGCCAATCTTAAGTGTTGTGTTATACGACCAAGATTCTGTGGGCTGCGAAGGAGAAAGACAAGGCCACGAGGATCCCCCATCTGCAAGACGAGGCTTACAGGCAGAAGCCAAAGGTTTTCACTTCTCTATAGCCACAAATGATGAATCATAGGTATACCAATATATCAATTTCCCTTCGAGCGGTTCGCACTTCCATCCCTTCTCTTCATGTGTGTGAGGATCAGCTTTACAATCAACTTGCACCGCGGAGAGTATATCACCGTGGTTTCCGCGCACCGAGTTGATACGAAAACATATCTGCGATGGTTGCGCAAGTTGTTTTGTTGAGTCCACGGAAATGCGACACTGTCCAACCGCGCGGCAGCCACCGTTTTGGTAATAAAAGATAATGCCTCTACAGTGGCGACTATTTTGATCGTAAAATACCTCCATCGACCGAATACCTTCCAACGAAGCCATAGAGAAATAGGCGTCTTCGCCAGGAGGATAGAATTTAGGCTTACAGCTTTGGAAACGTTTCGGGAGTTGACTCCCACTTGTTGGTTGGCAGTACGCACCAAAGTATGGAACTGTTTGCCCTTCCTAAGATTCTCCATAAATAAGTGTAATAGGAGCATGCCAACCTAGACATTGATCTTCGGCTGAGCCTGATATGTCCGGACCAATGATCACGTCACCGGCCTTTTGCATTCTTACTAATATGTTGAAATCCAGGTTCGCCGACAGTCATACGCCCAAAACAAGAATTCGATCTTGATTCGTTATAGGCAAATAGCACCATAAGGTACTCCTGCGCCGCCGAGATGGGAAGCGCTGCAACGATGACGACGCACAAGGAGCAGTAGGGCGGTGAATATGAACGCCATAGAGCTGATGCGAGGAGAAGAAGAAGGTGATACCTTTGACACTGTCTAATTCAACAGCAAAAAAGCGTTGAAACTGAGAAAGTCGTTTTTCTCATATGCTCGACAAAGCTGCAGATCTGGGGGGTTGGGTGTGTTTCAAACAGCTGAAGAGTATGAAGAAGCAGCTAATTCGAGGCGTAAATCCCCATCCTTGATTATGTTAAATACTAGCAACGCTACTAAGCTCTTTTCAGAAAACGTACCTTGAACTACGCTTTGTATTTAGAGATTACCTCTTCGTGTTCGACTATATAGACGCAGCTATTGTGGCATTCCCCTTTATACGGCTGGACGGATATACGCTCTACATTGCTTATCCCGACCGCGTCAACTACGATTCTCATCAGGGGCAAGGGTGACAACGATGACCTGACTTGGGGTTCTTTCCCGCGTTCCCAGAATACGATATCCCTCTAACGGATCGTATTTAGTGGACCAGCCCGCCACAGGGCTATCACTGGATGACTGTCAGAATTGAGAAAACAATTTCGAACGCCGTCGTTTCCCTTTCCAATCTTCCTCTAAAACTACATCGACTTATATTTCCCTTTATCGAGGACCAGTCTTTTTGTCGATAGGCAGTTTAAGAATTTAAAGACACCTTCAAGTGATGACGGGTGGCGGTTGGAGGGCGCTGCCACTGCGCCTAAGGGGTGCTACCTAATAGCATTAAAGAAAGGAGAAAGGTAATAACAAACAAGATCAATGGCAGCGAGCGCACAAGTATATATTGGAGGGAATAAGTGCTATACCCGGCTGGTTATACATACCTGAGTCCGACCAGGTACAGTATCAATAGTACCCAGTGAATATGGATTGAGGTTGGGTTACTTGTTTTGCTCTGATTACGTTGCGTTTAGTTCTTAAGCTGTGTTGCAGCTCCATTTCCAGGTGAGGTTCATGGTCCACTGGCACATATAACAGATAGGCTTCCTTGCTTTTATATTTCTACTTTATAAGAACCCCTATTTCTATCCTTAACCCCTTATTTTAAACGCTTTTATATTAACTTTAAAATTGCGTGCCGGTTTAAACATTTGCTACAGCAGCCACTACTGACTATCACGCGATTGGTTACATTCCGATACTAAGAAATGATTCTTTCAATTGTTCTATGGTGCGTCTTTTATGTCAATGTCCTGCCTTGTTCCCCGTAAGGGGTTCAACTGCCCATACGAAAGCACAGCACGAGCCTAGAAAGTAGTACCTATGCAAAGAAGTGCATCACATGTGTTTCGAAAAGTCTGTAAGATTTCTTGTACACTAGGGTGTCCTCGCGAATAGGAACAAGATATACAGTTTACACTAGCTTGCACATACAAAAGCCCCTGTGAAGGATCCGGATTCTATCCTTCTAACGTCAAATTCATTAACCAACTGGTCATAAAATTACATAGTGCCATTGGTTCTACATTTGTATTCTATGTTAACTGGCTAGTTGTTTGTTTTGCAATCATTCCGTTGTGTGGTTGCTTCTCCGCATCGTTGATATCCCTTTCCAAATTCCCTAGCAAACTGTTTGCCGTACCGACGGGGGTTTTGTAATGTCGGATTGTTTTCCTACACAGATAAGAGTAGCCACCAGTAATAACACCAAGGAATATTTATCTTCAAAAGCCGAGGTAGTACCTATGGTGTCTTTTCTCCCACACAGCTTGCTAATGAGGCCGCTACTGTTCTACCAATGGAATTCCCGAAAAGCGAGTTGTGATGATGA